TACGAATCGTCTAAGATAATATACGAAAATGGAACGCAACATTTATAAAATATATGTAAACGTATAAAAGAAAACTAAAAAAAGTAACAATAATGAAATAGAAACGCTCTATTTAATTAAATGGAGCGTCTAAATTTTTTTTCTATACTTTCTCGTACAATGTTTGTTTTTTTTTTCGGCGAGTTTCATTTCTTTATAACTTTGTAGGGCTAAAAAAAAGTGACGCTAAATAATAATAATTATAAAGGCTTGGTTATAACTATTAGTTATTTGATACAACAGCTTAACTATTCTTATAAATATATATATATATTCTATTTCCTATTCTATTGAAAAGTGGTTAAGTTCAAGTACAAATATAAGAGTAAAATAGTTAGAGATATCGATAAAACGGTAAAATAATTCATTGTATAAACTAGAGGTTAACTTCATTATAGGACTTTTAGGTTATTTTTTTTTTTTGTTTTATCTTTCTGTTACTTAATAATTTATCTACAATTGTTTCTTTTAATTCTTTTCTAACAGCCCTTCTAGCTACATGGTGTGAAGAACTTGCTAGGCATATTCTCTCTTCTAAAGTCGCCATTAAGGATCCACCATCTTCAGAGATGAATGGAATGCCTCCCGCAATACAGGCGCCTGGACCTGGAACGCCTAATTCTTTAGTACACAGAATGATACCCTCCCCTATGAATCAACAGTAAGTAAAACTCTATTTATAGTTATAAATAACTAAAGAAAACAGAAAGAGAATAATAAAAATAGGATGATAAGGCGGCGTTAAAAACTTGAAAATATCGGTTTTCTTTTTAAAGAAAACTATTAATATATCACTATTGTTATATTAAGGAGTTTTAGACTATAAAAAAGTTGTATTCAAGATAGTTATTACAAGAGAAAAAGAGAGAGAGAATGAAAGAAAAAGAAATATTCAAGAGGAATCTCAAAATAAAACACTACAGTTAGTGAACTGAAAAAATCCCATGATACTTTCAAAATTGTTATAGTTTCACCACAAGTTTGTAAACAAGGATTTTATATGATAAAAAAACAACAAGAAAGATGTGGGAAAGAGTTCATCATTGAAGTAAAATGAATATTTAGTGTCTATTAATTGAACATATATCGAGACACTTCAAGAGACCAATAGACAAATGACCAATTCTAGACAAAGAACTTTTCTAGATAACGATAATACGTCAATTGTATTTTCATTAAAATCATTCTTCATTCCGTAATATATCTTCTATATAACGTCAAATAGGTTATTTTAAAACTATTTATACTCCTATGTTTTCTTTAGTTTTATTAAAGGGAACATATATAACTAAGTGAAATTGAGAATTCTTGGCCTTCTGCTTTTATTTATATCAATTAATACTGTTGGCCGTAAATAAGGTTAGGCGTTATGAAATAGAGAAAAATAGATTTTGTCGTCTTAATGACATCAGACAAAGTCGAGCGCGTTGTGATTGTGTGAAAAAAAATCGGTCTTTTACAGATTATTGACATCCTGTTCGATATGCGTCCCAGTTACCATGACGATACTCGTTATCTCCTACTAATTTTGAAAGTAAAGAAGTTTTAGTTAGTGTGATAGAGTGCGCATTCTTAGCGCCTTTCCCCTACACGGTTTCTATGGTTACTCTTTTTCGCTCCTGGCTATAATATAGCACTCGGTTTCCCTTTCTTGTTGACTACTTAACATTTCTAGCCAATATGTGAAAATGTTCGTTTGAAAAATGTGCGTAGGACGATAAACATCGTTTATATTTGTCAATGTGTGGGCGATTGTTACTTAAAATTGACCGCCAAGATGGCTCATAACGGCAGATAACGCCATCTTGTGTTTCATATTTAAAAACTTGTGTCCTATTGGTTGTTGGTGAATAGAACAGTGTAGCTGATTGGTTGAAAGGCGACATCTTCCGGCAAGCGTCGTTGGCAACTTGTCAGACTTGTTTTTATTGGCGGTTGAAATTTGTTAAACAAGATTTGATTGGCCGATCTTTGTTTAGCTCAGGTACATTACGAGCAGACGTCAGACGAGCTAGTTTTCATGCGGATTTTTTTAATATTTTTCTTCGTCTTTTTGAAAAATCGATGATTGAAGGCATCTTCAAATGAAAGGATACGCCTGTGATTTATGGATTAACTCGACTTTTTAGAAGATTGGCGTCGATGGACGCAGAATTGGAAGCGTTGTTGTTCAGCGCAGCTGGGTCTGTTTACTCGCTAATTAATTACGCGCGAAAAACGATTAGTAAAGCTGTTTTAACGAAAAAATCAGAGGCAGGACGATTATTATGCGCATAAAATAAGGCCTATCAGTCAGCTGCCCTATTCATCGATTTCGTTTCAGTACCGTGACACATATCGTTATCAGTAGTAATACGTCAGAGTTATGTATACAAAAAAACGCCCTGACCCATTTTTCTAAAAAAATCAAGCTTGTTTTTTTTCGTCCATGTTATTTACATAAGGTGTTGTTAGGTATTGTTTATACGGTCGCCAACTAATAAAAATTCCTTGCCTATTTACAATTAACAGAGACGGCCAACCTTCAAATCCACAAGCCCAATGGCAAGGTCAAAACCCACCGTCGCAGAATGGAGGTCCACAAAATGGAAACGTTTCCGTCGTGACGACGGCCGTATGGCAGCAAAATCGAGCACAAATCGGCCACATGGGAAAACCGGAATACGGACATCCCGAATACGGAAAAGCCGGTCTTCATGGTCGACCAAAGTTTGTATATTTATTACTTATTCGATGTTTAATCGATTAGATCTATTGTATTTCCCTATTTAGTTTACACACCATAGAAAAATATAGGTAAATAGAATTGACCGGAAGTTGAGGGTGGTCAGTGGCGCCGCTTCGATAAAAAAAAAAATATATAGCATATCAATTTGCGATAGTAATATCAAAATGAGGTTTTTATACTTTTTACATTTAGCTTAGCAGATAGAAAATCTGGATTAAATTCAGTAAAAATTATAGTAGAATTTCCTAAAGACTTAACTTTTATATACAAAAGTTTAGTCTATCCGGTTTGTGATTTGCAGATAAATACATAAAAGAGTCATTAATCCGTTTTACGCACGCCGTATGTAGTTTTTATAGTAATAGCTTATTGCCTAACCGCTAAAATGGCCATAATTAGGGGGAAAGTGAATAAAGTAGGAAAAGTGTTTTATTTATTTATACTTTATTCTCTACTCAACCTTTCTATCTCCCCCTTTTTTCCCCACCCCCTATTTCCCATCTATCCCATTCTATACTCTAAATTACCTTATATCTACTACTTGCAATTTGCGCCAATTGAACAATTACATTTCTATATCGTAGTTATTTATTATCCTTCTCTTTAATTTTCTTTGACGAATATTCCCTTAAAACAACTGACAAACAAGTTAGGGAGGAAAACCGCAATTCGAAGCAGATGTTTAGCTTGTTAACTACTAGTAAAGTATTGGTAACACCTGTTTTTATTCGCCAACAGCGGATACAATTCGCCACCTTCTTCGACGCCTAACGGTATGGCCGCAGCTGCAATGGTAGCTGCAGCAGCTACCGCTACGGCGACGGCAACAGCTACGGCTGTAATGGGAGTACACGACCAAGGACAACAGCCACAACCTCAGCCACCACCAGGACAGCCAATAAATATGAATATTAACGTAAACGCTAATAGTCAACTACACGGTCCACACCATCAGGTTAGTATCGAAGATGCTTTAATAATAATAATAATAGTAGTACCATCGGGAATTAAGCGCACGTAATTGACTATATAGATTTTTTTTTTTTTGAGTATACGGTTGTTTTATAGTTCGGTGCAGGTGAACTTTTGTTTACGACGTTTCTTATTTTTATTAACAAAGTATTTCTATCTGGATAGTTTATTTTTCGTTTTTTTTCTTAACAAGAGGTTAACGTCTTAACGTATTTGTATATAATTATAATCCAAGCGAGAAAAGTCAATGATCTCTCTCTACAGTCTATACAATAGGTATATAGATATCTCTTGGTGTATGAATGCATATCTCATCATTATGAACAATTACTATAAAAACTTTTAAATAATTCATTAAAACACGAGTATTAAAAAAATTTCGATTGATTCTATTAGTCTATATTATTTCTATTTAAAAAAATCTATTTTTTATTTCAATATGCAAATGTCCGATTCTTTTCTAGTTTTTATTAAAAAAAATCATATATTAATTTTCTTTTTTTAGAAATATCTATATTTAAATTACAAAAACAGCTATAACGGTATTAGAAACAATAACGCATGTAAAAACTATATACTACCTCGAACGTGATAGATAGCTAAACTAAACGATTATTATAAAAAAGAATTAATAATTTCACAATAGGAAGGTAAAAGAAAGATAGAGAGAGAGAAAGAAAATCACCATGTATCAGGTTGAAAGTTTAGTAAGAAAATAATATATATCTATATAAAAAATTGTATTAATGGATCAGTTTGCTCTTTTTTTTATCCTATAATCCAGTTTTAACAAAGTACGAATTTTTAGAAATTTTTACGTTTTATTTAAATATGTAAAAGATCTTGGAAAAACTATAATGGATAGATTAAGAAATAATCGGTAATATAAGTAAGTTGGGGATTATTTCCCTAATTGTTGACAAATAATTTCAATAGAGAGAAAGAAAAAAAAAGGAACCCTGCAAGATTATGTATAGTTACTTATTGCGATATTTACGTAACTTTATATAATTATACGTATATGTATAATTAACTATTGTTGAAAGGTTATTGTAAATATGTTAAGTACATAGTCTAATCGAACTGGAAATATTTTAAAAATGTGTGCAGCTGTTAAGAATTAAACGTAAAGTTTATATAAGTCTCTGAAAAATTAGTATTCTACACATGCTATAGGCGTGAAAAAAAAAAAAAAAGACATTGATATTTTGAGGTTAGACCGTACTTTTTGTAGGTTTTTCTTTTTTTTTTTGGTGAAATTTGAGTACTTAGTTTTTCTTTTTGACTGTTAAGTCTAAAGGAATACGATTCTGTTTTAAGAGGCCTCTCGGCTTTTTTTTTTATTCGTAATCAGTTCTAGATTTTTAAAAGCTCTTTACAAGATATAAATATGGATATTAGAAAAATTATCCCATTTTTTTCTCTTCTAAATACGCAGTAGGAAAAGTCGGTATAGTCTAAGGGCAGATCGATATTTTCCATTTACCTAGTGTCAAGCGGATTATCGACTGGATACTGTAGTTCTACTCCTTCTGTCTCTCTTCACTTTCAACTGTGTTTTTTTTTTCTCCGCATACAAAATGCTTTTGTATTTTCTCTTTTATTTTTTGTACTTTGCTACTTTTTTTCAATAATACAATTCATTAATTTTTGTAATTGTTTACAGCAAATGTCAGCCTATGGCCACTCGAATGCTATGTTACCAAACCAACGTCCTGTTCACCAGATGGCACCAATGTCATCAGCGGGTGTTGGAGGTCCTATGGTCAATGGTATGATGAGGAATAGGCAAGCTCCTTATCCAACACCGCAGCAGTACATGATGCAGAAAAGAGGGCAAAACGTAAGCTATCTTTGTGGGTTGTTTTCGGGGAAAGGGAGGAAGGGGAAAGGTAACGTGGGTATATCGTAGTTTAGACGTGAAAAAAAAATAGATAAACAAACACTTCGTGGATTTAATTGATTCATAGAAATGCTCACCTGATTCAGAGAGTATGTTCTCAATAGCTCGAAAATTATTAGGCCTTTTTATATAAATATGTGTACATATCGCGTAGGTGAGATAAAATATTTTTGATGATTTTCTATATTTTAATGAAAATAAGAAGAGAAACCCGACAGTTGAATAGAGTGGTGGTATTGTAAATAAATATATTTACGAAAGATATCTTCTCTTCTTACAATGATTTAATATGTATTTATATATAAAAACCGAACAAATTACAAAATTTTCCTTTTACGAGATTGGATATACTAGTCTCCTTTATGTCAAAATAGAGAAGATAATCAAAAATAGGCGAAACGTTGTTTTATTAATCAAAAAGAATGGAAAAAAAAGACATGTATTAAATACTCTCTTTCTAAAAGTGTGAGCAAGTCTATCGTTACAATTTTATCCATAGTTTTTTTTCTAGTAAAAGTCTTTAGAGTGACATTCCTCCATATTTTTCCTTCCCCCCGCCCCCACTCTCTCTTTGTCGCTCTTTCTCTCCGTCGCTCTATTTTTCTTCATTTTATGTCTTTACACTAATTTAAACACTCGTATAATAACTCTTAGAATATTCAATACTTTTTTCCTCCTTTTGTTTATTTTTTAACTACGTAATCTGAAAAGAACACTAGTGTCTAATAACTGGTTGAACAGTTGTATTATTATTCTTTTCCTACCTTTTACATTGTAACCCAGGTTTAAGATTATGGTCTATTGTTTTATTTTCCATACTATTTTGAGTTATTCTTCACTTTTTTCCCTTTTAATTTCTTTTTTAATCCAAAAAAAAATGAGAAATCGAACGCATGAAAGGAACAAATAGACCTTTTTTGTTTGTTTTGTTTATATTTTCTATTCCTTTCAATTTTTTTTTATTATCTAATTTGGAATTATTTTTTAATATAATTGAATTTCATTGGTTTAAGATAAACAAAACCTAATATAACAACGAAACTAAAAAATTATTAATTAAAAAAGAAACGATGAAACAACGAAACGAACTTTACCCTTCCTAAACAAACAAACAAAACCAATAAATTAATTTTTAATAATTTCGAAAGTTAGAATAAGAAAGTTAATGGAATTTTTCTTTTTTCTCTTTGTAGCCAATGTCATGGCATCAGTACAATGATTATTGTGCAACTGACGTAAGTTTTCTTTAAGGGTGAAAAATTATTAAATTAATAATATTTTGTAAATATTGAAAACTAATTAATAAAGGATTTAGGATTTTAATAATAAAAAGAGATTTTATATTTGAAATGAGAAAAAAATAAGTAGTTTTTATCTGTTTAACGATTATTTATCTTATAAATTTAGATGTTAAAATGTAGGAGAAATATTAAATGATTAAAAATTCTACAAACATTGGTATAGATATTCAAAATGTTAAAAAAAAAAACAAAAGACTACTGTTTGAATATTTATATATTACTGTTGACGAATTGCTTATATTGGTTTAAATATATCTTTTCTTTATTATTATTATTATTATTATTAATTATAAAGTAAATTTTATTGCTACTCTATGAAATCTATTGCTAATTAGTTTGCTATTTTATTACAGCCTTATCCTGGTAATATGCCTGCCGCTTATACGCAACAACCGTATAGCAAATACGGTGGAGCTCCAGCCCAACAACCATTGCCTGGTTCTTCACCGGTTTATAATCGGTAAGTTGAGAGTTTATTATAAGTACAATGAAATATGGATAATGCAATAATTAAAAAGTGGTTATCTAATTTAGTCTCGAGGTATTTTTAATCTTTCGAAAGAAAAATACGCGTTTTTCCTTTCTTTTTATTGTAATTGCTATAATCAATTTCTAGCTATTTGCACGCGAAGCTTTTAAATAGTTGCTCTGGCAAATATAATTACATAGTGTTGGTCGGGAACAAAAGTGTTTTCATTATCATAGCCAAGCCTGAAGCGTAGGGAATAACACGTTAATTGACAGACGAAATGTTTAGTTTTTGTTAATAATATGTTTTCGTTAATCCAAACTTAATCTATAAGATAAGCCGTCCTTATAAAAAAATCAATACCATTAAAAGATTATAAAGAAGAGGGAAAAAGAGAAGAGAGTGTATAAGTGAGTGAGTGAGTGAGTGAGAGAAAGAGAGAGAGAGAGAGAGAATGAATGAATAAATGAAATAAAGAAAAAATTGTTTATCTGTTAAGTCTATTATTTTCGTTGTTTGACAACAATTTTACTCGGATTGCAAACATTTTAGATTTAAAAAGTTAGCGGTAAATAATTGCTTAAAGCACGAATAAGGAAGTATTGACAAACTGAAAACAATATAAGAGTGTCTTGGACGTGACGGGAATATGAGATATTGATTAGGTATAAAGCGTAATACTCTTTTTGTTTTTTTCGTATTTTTTTGTGATGTTAGAAGGGAGTTTATATTCTCTCCTTCTCTTACGTATTCCCTAATTGGAACGTGTTTTTACACACTATTCCCTTTCTCTGCTCACCGAAACCGACCGAGTTTTATAGTAATTTGAGTAGAAAAAATAAACAATGTTGAAAGCTTGTTCCGACCGGAATGAAATAAAGCGAGTTAGAAAGAGTGAAATAAAAGCATTTAAGCAAGCAACTAAGCCAAGCTAAGCGTGCCTAAGCGAAAAACTATTGAACAAATATATCTTAATAATATCTTTTATTACTAGTATAGATAATTTTTAAATATTTTATCTTAATTTTCATAGTAAATCAGTCTAGTTATTCTATATAGATAGATAACGGAATTCTTTTCATATGAGTATATTACTTATTTAATTGTTTTTCTTTGTGTTTTTTTTTTACACTCTACAGACCATATCCTAATCCTAATCCTATGTACCATCAACGCAATTATAATGGCCACTATCCTCCGGGTGGTCCGGGAGGTGGTGGCGGAGGAGGTTACTATCACAATATACCTGGTCCCGCTCCACCTGGAGTTCCTACACCGCCTGTTACGCCTTCAACGCCTAGCGCTGTTCCGTGTCCGGGTCCTGGACCCTACAATCAAGACGTCAAACCGCACATAAAACAAGAAATGGTGCAGGAAGAACTACGATTAACGTTCCCAGTTCGAGACGGGGTTGTTCTACCGCCATTTCGGTTGGAGCATAATTTAGCCGTATCAAATCACGTATTCCATTTACGGGAGAGTGTTTATAATACGCTTATGTGGCGACCCGATCTGGAATTGCAGCTGAAATGCTTCCATCACGAGGACAGGGCTATGAACACTAATTGGCCAGCCTCTGTTGCAGTTTCAGTCAATGCCACACCACTCCATATCCAAAGGTCGTCAGACGTCAAGTCATCGACACACAAGCCACTCTACCTGAAAAATGTCTGCTGTCCTAACCGCAATACAATCCAGATAACTGTAACCGCCTGTTGCTGTTCCCACCTCTTTGTACTGCAGCTCGTCCATCGACCATCGGTACGGTCAGTACTGCAAGGTTTATTACGGAAGCGTATGCTGCCTATAGAGAATTGCGTCCAAAAAGTGAAAAAATGGTTCGGTAACGGTCAAGGAAGTATGGGAGAGGAGGGAGTTGAACAAACAGCGACGAGAGTTTCGTTGAAATGCCCGGTCACTTATAGAAAGATACAATTGCCTGCCAGGGGGCACGACTGCAGACACATTCAGTGTTTCGACCTGGAGACATATTTGCAGATGAACTGTGAGAGGCCGACTTGGAAATGTCCGGTCTGTAATAAAAATGCCCAATTAGAAGGTCTAGAAATAGATCAATATATGTGGAGTATACTGCAGCAATTGGCCAAGAATGATTTCGACGAAGTAACAATAGAAGCAAATGCCAATTGGAAACCCGTTATACAAGTGAAAATGGAAAGTGCTTCCGACTGTGGTCGGTGGATGAAGTCCAATAGTCCTGGATCTATGAAATCGCCAAATATGGCACAATGGGAGAATCAACCCCAAAGTCCCGCCTTTTCTCAGGTTCCCGCTTCCGGGCCGGCTACTCCCGGCCAACCGTTAACGCCCGCCACGACCCCTCAGGGTCAGCAACAACCTCCAACACCCGGTACAGTGGGTTCACCCGCCACGCCAGGAACAAATACAAATCCGGCTTTCCCTCCAGTGGGTACACCAGATTTCTTAGCCCCATTGTCCCATCGGTCAGAAGCGGGTCCGCCTGCAGAATCACCAGCTCCGCCAACGCCATCAGAACAACAATCCCAGCAACAGAACAATAATATCGACTCCAATTTGGATAATATAAGTCCAGATGAAAATATAGAAAATGTAAGTATTGAAACAAATTTTTATTATTGTTGTAATAATCTTTTATGATAAAAACTTACTATCCGGAAGTTGATTGGCAAATAGTGAAAATTTAACATTTACCTATAAAAAAAAAAAGCGACGAGACAAAAAAAACCGAACATTAAAAATACGCTTTTTATTCTTTCGAATTGTTATCCTTTTTTATTGTTTTTTTTTTTACTTGGTTACCTATTTCTATTCTCTCTTATTATTCGTTATCAATAGAGAACTAAGGAGTAGAACAAACAGAATGTCACACACAACCATATATACAAACGCACGCAACACTAGCCGCTATTACGATAAAATAAACACCCGGCAAAACAATTTCATACATTAAAAAGTAATTTTCTATAAAATGGATTTTCTTTTTTAATTTTGCAGATATTTGGAGAAACGGAATTAACCGATCCAAATGAGTTATTGAAATATTTAGGTTAATTATTATCCAATCATATTTATATCTATATTTATTATTATCTCTAACTTGGCGATCTAGTCTTTTTATTATTTTATTCCTATCTCTATCTTTTTATATTTTTTCTATGAGAAATTTAGTTTTTTTCTTGTTTTTCCTTTTAACTATTTTAACTTGCGAACAAACTAAAATAAAAACCAATAAAAACACACCGCAACAAGAGATTATCAAAGAGAATTATATATATATATATATATAGATATATATATAACTATCGTACAAAGTACATATATGTAACTGTATTCTTTGTACGTGTATAACGATTAGACTTCTATTGGTAATAAAGACTAAAAAGAAGAAAAGAGAAATATACTTGCACTGTGTTTATTTTAATATTTTAAAGAAAGTCAGTTTATCTGTGAATCTCTATCTCTATCTCTCTTCTTACTTCCTCCTCTTTCTTTCTTTCTTGCTTTCCTTTTTGTTTCTTGCCACTTGAGAAACAAAAACTAACAAAAACAATTAAAGAAAGATATTGTTATTCGCTCACTTTTTGATTTATTCTTATAAATAACACAAATTCCTCATTTACCAATCACTTCCAAAGAAAGAGTTTTATAGTTCATTTATTTTTGGTTTTGCTATGTTTTTACGCTTTATTTCTTTTATTTTTTTAACTATTACTTTCATTTTAATAAGTTAATATTTGACTTTATTTAATTAATTGATTTCATTTTTTTTCTACTATTTCAGATTTTGGGTGACACTGACCCGATGGAACTTCTTGATTACTTAGGGCCGAATAATAACAGTAACGGTGCGAATGCAAATGACGATTTAAATTTGTTTGATTTAAAATTCGAGTAACAAAAAGAGCACAAAGAGCCCTCACCATATAAATTCATATACATTCTCTCTTTCCCTCTCTCTCTCTCTCTCTCACTCTCTCTCTAACTCTCTCATAAAACAAAACGCTTCATTCAAAAATCTACATAACCATCTTAACATTTGACAAGTTTAGCAAAAAAAGAAAGAAAAAACAAAGAGATGTACATATATATATATATATATATTATACATCTAAATGTCCGACTCCTTTCATTGAATAAGAGAGGTTTAAGTTTATTATTGAGACAAAAGTTTATTTAAACTAAAAGAAAAAAAAAATCTGAACAAAGAAAGACACAGAAAGCGATTTAAAAGATTTTGATATAATTTTGTTTTTTCTCTTCCGTTCAAAAAAAATCTTTATATTTCTTTTTTTTTTGTTTTAAAAGAAAATATTAATAATTCCAAAAAATTGTACGGAAAATAAAAAGAATACGTCTAATAAAAAAAAAACTCCACATTTACATTAAAAAAGTTAGGGCTCTTTGAATTTTTGCCATACAAACTGTCTTTTCTCTTTGAATAGTTTAGAAGAAGAACTGAACAAAATTCTCTTTATCATGTATACATATATGTCTACGTCGTGCAATTTTTTTGTAAATATGTCCTTTTTCGATGAGTATTTATTGATCATGACTAATGTGTACATAATGTTACGACCATGTATTGTTCTACTTAGGCAAGGACGTATCCACGGTGGGCCTAAAAAAATAACAATGAAACAAACAAAAAAAAAACAAAGAGTTTTGGTTCAAATAATAAAAAAGATTAAAACGAAAAGGTATAAAGGAAAAGAGTTTTTTAAGAGACTGCCTATTGTAGCGTATTAAATATACCTCTGTCTATCTCTATCTCTTTTTTTGTATCTTAATCCTTCCTGGATACGCCCCTGTCTCCTCCCAAGCTTTCAGTGTTTTAAAGGAAAATATCTTGTACAGTTTTAAAAAGGAATTTTTTTTCTGACAAAAAATGTTGATCCTGCATTTTATCAACAAAAATTTGAAAATAATGTCAAAATGTACATGTATTTATTTTTTAAGAGATTCTAGTGTTTTCTATTTGTTTTTTTTTTTTCTCTCTCTCTCTCTCTCTCTCTCTCTCGGTTGAATTTGTTCTCTTCTTTCGATCTCTCCCCGTTTTTTTTATTCAAAGGTTCAGAACGTAACAACAACAACAACAAAAAAAGACAAAAAACTATCGAGTTATTAACTAAGAGAACGAAAAATACGCAACAGTTTGTTTCAATACAGTGTTGCCTATTTTATCAACTTTTTCTTTTTTATTTTTTTTGTTGAGTTGAATGATATCACACGTCATTATTATTAATTATTCAAGTAAAACGTTCAAAAGATAAGGAAAGGAAAAGAAAAAGAAAAAAAAACTAGGAGATATAAAAGATAAAGGATTAAACTTTTTCCTTTTTTTATTATTATTATTAAAATTAATTTTTATTATTCATATAAACAAAAAAGAAAGAAGAAAAAACGATAGAAAATGTATGGAAATATTTTACCTATATTTTCACAAGCACATACGCATTGCCCTACACATTGCATACAATTTACGTACATAACAGACAGACACAAAACAAACTACCGGATTTAAAAAGATGACGTCAAATGGGGGAAACGATGTGAAATTTATTGGAGAGTCAAAACACTTGAATTATAGACAAAAATTTGAATATTTCTATACATTTTTCTCTCTTTTTTAAACGTTTCTAATGCAAAGTGTAATAAGAAAAAAAGTATAACGAAAAGCATTGAAAACTCTATTAAAAGTTGAAAGGAGAAAAGGCAAAAAATGTAAAACATTAAACATATTGAAAAGAGGGAAGGAAACAAAAATATGAACAGTTTTTGTCTTTTTTTCTTATATTAATTTACTTTTTTCTTTGAATAAATATAAAAAAAAGAAAGATTATGTAATGACACATTTTAATAATTATGACGTATGGCTAAATTATGGACAAAATGATGCCTTAGCTGAACACTGTTACGTTTTATTTCTTTTTTTGTATAGAGATTTTTAAATTAACGGTCCAGAGCTATTGAAAGAGGTCAGAAATAATTTATTCTGTTTCTCATCTTGTGCTATATTCATATATATTATATATATATATTCATATATATGTATGCATATACTTATATCTATATATACGTGTATATAGAGATATATGTATAAAAAAAATTGTATACATTTGTTTATGTTCTATTTTTCTTTATGGCAAAGTTTTTGACGTCGATTGCAAAATCTGGACCATTGCTTATTCTATTCTTATTCTGCACGAATGGTAATAAGTTATTAAGGAAGCTTCCGTTGATGAAATTTGTACATTCTGTTTATTTTTTTGGCAATATAATTTTTCTCATATACTATTAAAAATATATTGTTTTATTGTTATTATTTTATTAGTACTATAATCATATACATACATATATATATATATATACATTGTTATATTATTGCAGTCATATATGCATTATATATATATACGCATACATACAAACACATACACGCTTCATAAACGCAACTACAATAAAGTCATATAAGTCAGTCATAAGGTCGCACACGCTTACGCTCTAAGATTCGTTCTATTGTCGAGTATCGAATTATTTACTCTCTCTCTCTCTCGTTCGCTTGCTCGCTCGATCGCTCTTTTTTTTTCTCTCCTCTAAATGTGTCAAGGGCGTAGCACTTTCTTATCTTTTAACTTTCTTTTTTAAGCCGTTTTACGAACGCGCCACCTAGAATCGATTAATACTAGACAAAAGTAGATCCAACTATGAAAAGTGAGAATGAATGGTCGATATGAAGTTGTTTTAGCTAATAACAACTAGCGTCCTCTTGTTGATAAGTTCTATTGCTGGTTTTTTATAGATTTTTTCCGCTGTTCGTCTGCTAGATGTTTTCTGTTTTTTTCCCAAGGAAAAGATAAATTTCTCACGCAAAATGCCTACCGTTCTATCCAGGACGATTTGCTCGCTTTATGATTCGGTTGTTGATATCTTGCATCATAAAAATAATTGGAAAATTATCCTAGGAAGTGGTCTTGTTGCATTGTTAGTTATTAAATATAGGCAACCGATATTCAAGCATAATCCGGAATTCGGAGATGTATTCCCCAACGCAGGTGGACTACCCATTGTTGGTATAATACCTTTTATAGTACTTTCTGGAAAGACTACCTTCCAATATTGTACCTATCTAAGTAAAAGGAGAAGGAAGAAGAGTTTTTTTATATCCTTCGCTAGGCTGTTGGTATAGAATTTTCTTTTAGCAATTCATCCAAAATAATCCTTTTCTTCCTTTTTTTCATCATATTTTCTCTTAGTCCATTCTTTATCATCAACGGTTATGACGATATAAAAGAAACTTTGGTAAAGAGTAGTACAGCTGCTGCTGGAAGACCAGGCCCCGAAACATCTTTATATCTAGTTAATCCCGAAGCAAAAGGTCGTTGTTCTATCGCCAAACGCAAGATATAATATGCAATATAACTTTGCTTTTTGTTTTCCCCCTCCCCGTTTTCTACACTCCAACTAATTAGGTATATTGAATAGAGATTATTCGCAAGAGTTTGTTTCTCAAAGGCAAGCTTGCTTACAAATTCTTAGAAATTTCGGCTTTGGTAAAAGATCTAGTGAAGATAGAATTCAAGAAGAGGCATTAGCTTTAACTAATAAACTATTAGAATACGATAAACCATTAAATCCTACAAGTATTATTCAAAATTCGGTTGCAAATGTTATATGCAATATGGTTTTTGGCTCTAGATACGAATACAATAATTCAATTTTTGATAAATTGATATCAAACCTAAATTTTATGGCATCTTTTCAATATCACAAGTGTATTGCATTGTATTTACCATTTATGGCGAAATATTCGACATATCTCCAAACGAATATAAAATGCCAAACAGAAATTATTGAATTCATACAATCGGAAATTGATAAGAATCAAGAATATCTAAGGAATGAGGAAGAACAAGAAAACTTTATTTACTCTTATCTCAAATTAATGAAAGAGAAAAGCGACGACTCTTCATTTTCTACTGAACAATTGAAATTTGTTGTTTTTGATTTCTTCTTCGGTGGAACTGAGACAACCGCAACAGCCATCTCTTGGGCATTGATCTATTTGGCTAACAGACCAGAGTTACAGAGACGCTTACAAGAGGAAATCGATAGGGTTATAGGTGACGGTGTAGTTAGCTTACATAATAAAAATGAGACGCTCTTGTTAGATGCTTTCATCCAAGAAACCCTTCGTATTTCCACTCCCGTCCCAATGACAGTGCTGCATAAAGCCATTGCCGATTTGTCTGTCAACGGATTACATTTGCCTAAAGGTGCATTGGTAAGAATTAGTTGTTACTTGCAAATTAATTAACTATTTAAATCAATAATTAGCGCTATAAAAAACACGAAAGTCTTTTTATATACAGTTCACGGCAAACCTGCACAGCGTTTTACACGATGAAACCATCTTTAAAGAGCCCGAAACGTTCAATCCTGATAGATTTATTCAAAACGATAACATTTTACGACCGGATGAGCTAATACCATTTGGATTAGGTAAGTATAAACAAAATAATAAACAATTTCTCTATCTTTTCATCTTAATCTCTCAACAAAATAATCTCGATAATAAAAACACTTTTCGCTCCTTAATCCAGGAAAGAGACTTTGTCTGGGCGAGCAATTGGCTAAACAGGAACTTTACATTTTCATCGCGTCTCTTATCCAACGTTTCGAATTTTCTCGGGTAGATGAAGAGAAGATCAACGAGTCGGGCTTGCTAGGAATAACCTATATGCCAAAAGACTTTCTCATTGTTATAAAAGCAAGAAGCTAATCACTTACTTAGTATATATACTAATATATAAAGAGCCTTGTCAGATAAATAGCTAGCTAAAATACAATTATAGGGCTATATATGCATACAATATTACGTCAAAATCAGTATATCAGATAAATATATACCAGTATTCTTTTTTAGTTGTATTTGTATATATATAGTATATATGTATTGGATTAATAAACGACAAAGAAGCGACAGAGAGAGAGAGAGAGAGAGAGAGAGAAAAGACAAAGACCGATTTTGCTCGCTTATGACGATAAACAATTTATATTTGAAAAATATCATTTATGAATTATTAACCATCGTATTACTCTTCGTAAAAATACTGTTTATTATTAAAGATTATGCATAGTCAATAGTCTGAAGGGTCGCAAGGGAAATTTCAAACCAGTGAAGAAATATTACTGGGTGGTAGATGAAAAAAAAGAGGGATTGGGCCATTTATCTATATATTATTATTATTACTGTTACACGTAGAAAGTCCCAATATGTTTCTATCTCTGTTTCTGTTTCTATATATAATGTATATACAATCTATGCTAATTTTCAGTATCAATGTTTAATTGAGTAAAGGCTACCAAAGAAGAAAGTGAACTAAAAAAGAAATAAGCATTCATTTTGATATTAGTATATTTATTTACAGAATATTCAAGTACAGTTTTTTCTGTTAACTGCCTATTAATGAATAATGGTAACAGAACATTAACCGTGTCTGATTATTCTAAAAATAGATATACTGCACAGAAGTAACATATTTTATTCGCTGTTAGAGAACGGGGAGGGGATGAGGGGGGTTAGGGGAGAAAAGGGGGCAGAGAGAGAAATATATATGTATATTATTAGCCTGTATACAGTATATAAATATATATATATATATATATATATATATACATGTGATGCAGGAGAGAAAAATTCAATACTAAGCCTATGTTACTTATATTCAATTTACGAATATTTATCTTCAACATAAATGTGCGGCTATACGAAAGCGATAGTTTACTAATTATTGACCTGGTGAATTGGTACCAAATTGGCCATTGGCGCTTGTTAATATAATTAACAATAGAAAAGAATAAAGGATTGAATTCGTTTAGTTAATTTTTCGTTCTATTTGAGAAACGGGATAATCGTTATTTGTTGCTATTTTTTTATGATATCTATATTCTAAAGGAAACAATGAAATTTATTCTCTTCTTGGCTATATTCATTTGCGTTGTGGGACTAATCGACACATATTGCTATCTTACGGCATGGAATACCACTGATATAGATAAATGCAATAATAATACTGGCGTACTGGAAGCTGATTATGCCCTTTTCGGGTCTAACTTTACAACCAATTATTCATCGTTTATTCAAGAGATAAATGTTAGATATTCCGTGATAAATTGGTGTCGATTCTCTACGTTGCTAGAATCGGTGGAATACTTAAGAATTTCTCATAGCGTTATTGATATTAATTGCACCGAATCCTTTAATAATCGGAACTTATCCGTCAAAAACGTCTACTTTCTAAATGTCAGCAATATTCCATCCGTTCAACAGTTTCCATTGTTAGAATCTGTAGAAATAGCTAATTGTAGTGCCAAGCTAATTGATATTAATAATGATAATTTGCTTAAAATCACTGTTTATTTAAATTCTTTTCTAAACAGTCTTCAATTGAATAACAATCCTAAGTTATCCTATTTAAATGTAACAAACAATTCTATGCTGAAAAACGTCACCGATTTGGACGGTTCAAACTTAACAGAAGTGTATTTATATAGTAATGCCCTAGAGAGGATGCCCTATTTTCGTAAATTATACTCGATAGATGTATTGGATATAAGTGACAATTATTTAATAGAATTGACTCTATTAAACTGCCATATTGTACGTCTTTTAGCCAAAGGAAACCGATTGGAAACGGCCTCTTTCGATAGTGTTCAATTTCTTGATTTAAGTAGTAATCGTTTAAATTCTTTAATTATTCCAATTAATTTGAAGGAGGTATTTCTAAATGAAAATAATTTTCAATCTCTCGATATACGAAGTAGAGCTGACGTTGATTTGAAAGAGACGCTAATAAAGAATAACTGCGAAGAAAATTGGAGACGCATGACGAAAGTTTGCCAACCAAATCGGAAAACTCAACTGGAACGTTTGAACTTGTCATTTAATAATATTAAGAATATTTCGCTCAGATTTCTAACAGAATCTTATCCTAAACTGAAAGCCTTAAATTTGGAAGGAAACCCGATAGAGACAGTGGAGAAGGGGGAATTCCTTGTCAACGTAAGCCTATCCTCTTACAATTTACAGTGTTCGTGCAACAACTACTGGCTACTCTTTCATCCGGAAGTGGAGTTTTTTAACCGCAGTAGAACCTATTTTATGGATTTATGCGCCACTAATACGGCCGAGACTCCTTCGGTCAAAGCCGAATGTAATAAGGATTTTTGTTCGTGCTTTTCCTTGTCCCAAGCCAGTTGCGTTTTCGGAGTAGGAAAAAATTTCTCCGATAAGGATGGAAGGCTTTGGAAGAGGAAGGTTAAAATACCAAACGCCGAAGGCATTGTCTGCAATGTTGGTGGTCTCTATTATAAAAATGGTACATTCTTTATGGTAGAGAAGACTATTACGGCGAATTTAGTCAAAGAATTTACAACTTCCGCCACAACCTGGCAACCTACTGTCAATATAACTCTCAGGCCTACTTTGATAACCGAAAAATCATTAAATTGTAAAGAAATGAATAGATATACTTGTACGATAATAATAGCATCGTTAAGTTGTATCATAGTAATAAGTACAGGAATTTATTTATCAACTTGCATCTACTATTGGAGAAGATGCAGCAAGTTGAAGAATGAGCTAATAGTGGCTCAAGAAAGAAAATTAAAACTTCGCCATAGGTTAGAATCGTTTAAATCGGCGTCTAAAAGAATAAGCTGTAGTGAATTTTTTAACGATATTGACGAAAATGAATCTAACGAAGATAGTAGTGAGACTTTTAAAAAATCTGTTAAAAGACATAGGACTAATTCAACAAGATCTAACTGGTACGCCGAACGACCTTCTACTTTCGACTATAACAACGACAAAGAAATTCCCAATTCTCATACGCTAACGGGAACGTACAAGAGCCCTAAAATTTTCTTGCCCGAACAGCATTTAGGTAACAGAGCGTTGGCGGAACAAAATTCAGTAAAACTTTAGAAATAGGTGGCGCCAGCTACTTAGTCACGTTTAATATATATATATATATATATACTATATATATACACTGTACATATACTATATTTATATAATCATTGTTCGGACTGATGTGCTAAAAAGAAAAAAATTATACTTATTATTGATATTTCTTTCTTTTTTTACTGTTTTAATTAAAATATAGAAATAGTATTAACAATAGAAAAAAGCCTCATTTTTAATATCATAAACATTTCTCTTTCAACGTTATTTTTATAGTTTTATTGAATATATATATATATATATATATATATATATATATACAGTATATGGCGTCCGTCCATCCGTTCGTTCTCTTCTTAGTTTATTATTGCACAATTTAAAATGTCAATCGTTTTAAATAAACATTGACGCGTAGGCCTAACTGTCTTTCTTTCCTTAATTGCGTCCACTAAACCGTTTGGCAATTACCTTTCTCTTTTACAACTGACATACACCCCTGCCGACTTATGGTTTCCCTTTTTTTTCAACTCTTTCTCTCTATCAATATCAACAAGAATTCGCATAGAAAATGTAATTTCAATAGAATCAAATTACTTAAACCGTTTAATTACTTTTTTTTTGTTTTCCTCTCCTCACCTAATCATTTATGCACGTTTTAAAATGACTAATTATCTACCTGAACATTCCTTTCTGCTTTTAAATGTATACGTACATATCTATCTATCTATGTACAGTACTACAAAAAAAAGAACATCAAACGCCATCTTGCGAGTTGAAATAAAGAAGTTTATTGATGGAATTTTATTTATAATTTTAATCACCTATATAAATGATAGAATTTATTATACTTGAATGTATATGTATATTGAATGTTACACTCTTACGTATATGTGTAAGCTCTATATGAAATTATAGGCTTAATATGAATTGTAATCTATTCAGCCTTTGAAAAGAATAAAAGAAACGTGTAAGTAAGAACGGCTTAAATTGAAAAGTGAAGAATCTTATTAACAGGTAAAAACTTTCGCTATTTTCTTTAATTGTCTCTTTTCGACCTTTTAACCCCTATTGAGCGTTTCCAAATTTAGCCCCTTAACAAGAGCGCAATAGTACACCGTCTACTAAATTTCTTTTACCTTTTGCCAGATGCCGCTCCAATATCTCTGCGCATATATAATATATAGATTATGCAATAGTTAATTACTCTGCCTAACTAACCGTTTAGTATGAGTTAGGTAGAGTAATTAATAAATCAACACAAATGCTATAATATATTCATTGAGTCGATTCATAGGATAAGATTAGATTGCTTATTTTAAAATGTCTATTACTTTCAATTTCAAGCTCCTTTACCCTCTCTCTCGTTCTCTTTTTATGCCTTGTATAGGACTAAACTATAGTCATGAATTCGAAAATTACAAGGAAATGTATTAGATAGTAGCACGTTTGTTTTCTCCTCATAATCTTTCGTAGGTAACTTGAACCAATAGAAAAAACTTTTTGCTTTAATAATATTCATTATAATCCTTAAATTTCTGATTATTTATTGTTACGTTTCTAATGAAGCAGCTCTTGAATATTCTAAATATACATATAATGTATGTAAATATATCAACAGTAAAACACGAACAACGAGGCAAAATGAGAGAGTTTGAAGTATCATATTTCCATATTATAGACGTCCTCTACAAAATTCTTTCTCAGTTTTGGATCAAATAGACAAAGATTTTAAATAGGCAGGTAAAAGGCAGACAGACAGACGAACAGACAGATAGATAGTCGGATAGATACATAAAGAGATAGGTAGACAGGCAGACTGGCAAGCTAGTAAGCAAGAAAGTAAGGCAGGTAGACAGACAGACAGACATATAGATAGAATGATAGATAGACAGATAAATAAGTATATTGATAGAGAGGGGGAGGAGGAGGAGTAGGAAGGGAGAAAGAAACCCGAGGCAAAGGAGAGAGCTAGAGATAATAAAAAAAAAAGTACAACTGGAAGATATGTTTTAATAGTTAAGAATACTTTTCTTACAATTCTTGGAAAGTGAATTTGTCTTCCTACTAAAAATTTAATTGAAAAGAAAAGATAGTTGTTTATAAAATACAGAATCTATAATTCAAAGGTTTTATTTCAATCTTTTAATCCATAAATCTTACTTAATTAATTTCTTTTTTATTTAAATTAAACGTTATGTAACATGAAAATAATTGAAATAAACAGTTGATAATTGAATCAATAGACTTACGAATAAGATTTAACTGTTCATTCAATACATTATAATGTCTTTAATATGATTTTTCTTCAATTACTTTTCTTTCTTTCTTTCTTTCTTGTTCTCTCTCTCTCTCTTTTTCACTCTAAATAATAAATCTAAATAGCGTTAGCTCTTTTTTTTATCCAGATTTTTTAACCGACGAAGGGAATTCTATATTAGAATCGTTTGAAGGTAGAACACTTCTTATCACGCTACCGATTGCCCATTAGCGTTTTGCTTCTTTACTCTTTCTGATACAAAGTGTTTCTTCAGATATTGTCATCAAAATATATTTTCCCCTTTTACTCCTCCCTCTCTTCTTCTTCTCCTTCTCATCCTCCTATTCTATATCGAATGTTTTTACTTCTTTGCATCATTTTTTCTATTCTAATTAAAATAAAAGAAAAAGAGAAGAGGAATGATAGTTTATTGTTAATGTTTTAAATCAATGAATTTACTGACAGTGCTCTTTGTTCATTTTTAGATGATTATTCATGTACTCATATCTAATTTGTGCTATATGGATAAATATTTTTAACACAAGCACGGAAATATGGAAATAAGCACTCTAGTGGTAGTTCCACTCAGACGAGAAAGATGACCAAACGGCGCTTGAGCGCCTGTAGATAAAGGATGAGGATCCTAATTATTTGCACATTGGCTTATATAGCCTTAGTTTCTAGTAAGAAATCATACAACGGGTCTGTATACAGTATATAAATAAATATATATATATATATATATATATATATATATATACGTTTAAATTATTGTTATTGCAAAAGGTTTTCTTTTATTTCATTCAATAAATATTAATAAATTGAATTATGACATTCTATGAAAAGTTTAGCATTACTCTCGAATATTCATTTTAGTTCTTTTTCTAAATGATAAACAAATAGATTTAGAGAAAAAAGGAAAGAAACAAAAAATAAAAAGTTGGACTATTTAGAAGAGTCTAATAAATAGAGGAAGAGAGACGGATTAAAGGAAGAAAGACTGAGAGAAAGAAAGAAAGAAAGAAATAGTCAGGCCGTAAAAGAATTCCATTTATCATATTGAAGTTTTGTAGGTGTTTGCAATAGACGCCGAGTTTTCACTTCAAACTATTCTCTCCCTTCTCCTTCTAATGGATAGTTATTGTTAAATGTTTTCTGTCGATTTCCCCTGTAAAGAAGTAATAAATGAGCTTATTGTCTAAGAGTATAGATTATTCTTAGTATAGCAGTCTGTTAGAGATTATGTTTTGGCTACTAATGAATGAATTATACTACTACAAGTGCATATTACAGTAATAGGTGCAGTGTATAGGAGGAAAGATTACGTTATTCCTAACTTTAATTTTTTTCCCTTTTAAACATTGCTGAATTATTAAATATATTCTCTTTTATCGTTTCAGATACGAATTATTAAATATTGAATTGAATAATTATCAAAGAATACTTTTAATAGAAAATTTAATCTCCATAAATAAAGTTCAACCTGTAATAACACCTTTTAACGTATTCTTTATATAACTATATTAGATATTAGTCCTTTATAATTTATTCAATTAATTAACCGACTATCTAACTCTTTTCCCTGCTTCGATTAACTATTCTAGGCTTCAGTTGTTATCCTTAAAATTCAACCTTTCGTTCTACTTGTACATGGAGAAGTAGCCGAGTTGATTTATGAACTATTAACGAATCTTGGTACAAAATATTCTATTGAGGAGAACATTGATAATCTATTAAAGATACACGAAAATTATAATTCAATGGCTCCTCTTCAAAGTAACGGAACGCTTAATTTGAATCGTTATCACACCTACGATAACATTGTTCAATGGATGTTTCAAATGAAAAGGGATCATTCGAACGATGTGAAAATAATTAAAATTGGTAAATCTTGGCAAAAGAGGTCAATTTTTACAATAAAGATTAATAAAGGAGGTAAAATTGGTAGAAAAGCTATTTGGTTAGATGCCGGAATTCACGCTAATGAATGGATTGGACCAGCAGTAATGCTATATTTTATAAAAGATGTACGACATTTTCTCTTATTTATGCTAGTTGTTAATTGAGGTTAATTAAGGCACAAAGACTCTCCAGAGTACAAGAAATAATATAGCTAATATTTTCATTTCATTTAGTCTTTCTCTTCCATAGCTTCTCACCGGTAATTCTCAAATGATAAACTTTATGACTGACAATTTCGACTGGTACATCACGCCCGTAATAAATCCAGATGGTTATAATTTCGCGTGGAAACATGACAGACTGTGGAGAAAAACTAGATCTTCTCATCCTAACAATAAATGCGTTGGTGTAGACGCCAATAGGAATTGGAATATTTTCTTTGGAGGTAATTAAACCACGTCATAAACAATATATACGGTATATATATTTATATATATATCTTTGTAACAGAGAAGCTGGATACTAAAGACGAATGTTCCAATACATACGAAGGACCATTTGCTTTTTCCGAACCGGAAGTGAAAGCTGTAGCATCATTTTTGAAAAGTAAACATGATATTATAGCTTATTTAGCATTTCATAGTTACAGTCAGGCATGGATGATACCCTTTGCTAACAGCAAAAGTGACAAACCGAGAGATTACGACCGTTTGGTAAAGTATTTCGAAAAATATTCATATTCTATTATATAGATTACTGAATTATTTACAATAAAGATAAATATGGCTAAAGATATATCGGCAGCAGTTACGTCTAAGAATGGCGAAAAGTATACATTTGGCAGAATATCCGAATTTGCGGGAGAGGCTACAGGATCATCTGCTGATTATACTTATTTGAAATTGAATATAACGTATTCATTTGGCGTGGAGCTGAGAGATAGAGGTTTTTATGGATTTCTCCTACCTCCTGATCAAATTTTCCCAACTGCTCAAGAAAATCTGGTTGGTCTCTACACACTCTCTCAACGTTTAGCATCATTAAGAAACACCTTCTAGTATTGTATAAACAGTAATACGTTACCTACCAATATTATATTCTTAAAGATGATCTAAGGATGATAATATGAATACATTTGCATATATTAAAATAAATGTATAAAGTTTTATGAATTTTGTTGATTATTAAATACCCAAAATTAATCATAATGTACAATTTGATTACATAACTTATCTAACAATTCGTATGAATAGATTAAATTAATTCTTAATAGAATATTAATTATCGACGATAGAGGAAGAGGAGATCAAGTTATTAGTATAGACGTATCTCAAGAACTTGGATTAAATAGAATTAACGAGTAAAACAAGTAGTTTAATTATTTTCTATTTTTGTCTGGACAGCAAAATTTTTATTCTCCTCTCTTTGTTCCCTTTGAAATATTGTTACTCTGTTAACGAATAATACTTGAAAATATACATCTTACCTATTACAAACTAGCCTTTAGATTCAATAGAGAAGACAATTTCCATTACTGTTCAAGTTTAAAATTATACCATGCTTTTAATTATTCAGTATTGTAAATTGGTGTGATTACCAAAATGTTTATTGTCACGCTCTGGTGGTATTTAATGGGAATCATGATTGTTGAAAATCACGATAAATCAAGGTTATGAACAACAATGCACGAATGTGTTATAAACGGATTATGATTATACACGTAGATTATGTAGATTGACTATTTGATATTTTCTCAATCCATTGCTCTTGATGATATAGAATAAACTATCAAAATTCTAACGCAATTTGAGTTAATGATACAATTTAATTGCTTTAACAATAATCTACTCATTTCATTTATACTTTTTATAGGAAATTTTAGTTAAGATATTCATTGAAATCTATTAGATATACAGCACATATATACGCGAATAAACCTTCTATAAATAACTCTTTACCATAGTCATGATTTTTGCTAAAATGAAAGAAAATGTCCAATAATGAAACCAAGTGTAAAGTAATTGTCGAGAAATCATTTCGTATTATTGTAATCTTTATTAAAAGTGGAAATTTTGTTGACTTTCGATTTCTAGTGATTTCACTTTGTAGAAGAATTCTTCTTCCAATACATTTCATTTATAATTTCTATAGATTTCTGGGATTAATAGTTTTATATTATCTCTATATATACAAATAATTAATGAAAACGTCCTCTTTGACAGTTATTATTGAATATATTGCCTTAAAAACATGTAAAAAAGAACTCTAAAGAGAACAGTAGAACTCGTAGGTAATTGTTTGTTTTTGGCTAAAAACAAAATCATTGTCAGATAAAAGCACCAAACAGATAATTAATCATTTTCAAGTCTTTTTACTGTTAGTGGTAGCTTCTCTTCTTCATTATTTGTTGTTTGTACAGATCGTATTCATAATTAAAAGCCTATAGCGAAACTTGCTAGTTTTTTTGATTCACCGTCTTGCCGTTGTAATAACTTGAATATTTAGTCAGAATTGGAAACTTCTTCCTCTAATACTACTCTACACTATCAGTTGAGATTGAGATGATTTATTATGGAAATTTTTCCAATAATCTACTCATTTTTCGTTGAAGGTATCACTTTGTTATAAGGACAATGATGAATTTCATAATCCAGTATATTTTCATAAAGAACCTTTCGAAAACGATTTTATTCATATGGAAAATATTTGATAAGTTCATACAAATCGAATTGTTCAACAATAATCCTTCTTTAACTGTTTGAATTGTTAGTATTTCATTAATTTATGCAAATTAATTAGCCAATGGTGAATTTTTTCAAGCTATATCAATCCACACCAAAATTTGAATATTTTTTAAAATTATTCATCTTTCTTAAAGAATAAATAAATAAGAAAGTAGAATTGTAAGAGAGATTAACAATTTCGTAATCTTTTCTAGAGGAGAATATCCATTGTCTGTTTTACATATATCGAGTTTTTACAAAGAGATTTCAATGTCATAACCAGATATTGAAAATCCATTAAATCCAAATATGTCTTTAAACTTTTGTTAAAATTTGCATATAATATTTAAATTGTAATATAAAAAAAGCCAACGGGATATCTTTATTATAATAGCTGATTAAAATGTGACTGATTGTGCACCAAGTGACCAACTGTACTACAAATGAAAATTAAATATCTGCAAATATTAGAATAAAATTACTGTTTGAAACAGCGGTTGGTTAAGGATTATGTTAAAAGCGTTGTTTTTTCAATTATTGTACAACTGTAATAAATTAACTCGTGAAATTTGAAAAAAGGGTAAAGAGGGATAGATAGATAAAGAAGTAAAATCTATACTTAATGAGCTTTCAATACCTTTTCTTTCAATTCTTTTCTATTCTTAAGAAAAGAAGGCGTTGGAAACCATAAATAGTTTTATTCCTTATATATCAAAGTTTTATAAATAAAGTTACGAAAGGTTTTGAACGGTTAATGAACGGGAGAAATATTTTCTTTTAATTATCTATACAAAAAAAATGGAGGCTATTAAAGTAAGAACAAAAATTCATAAATCAGGTCAAAATGGACTAGGCGACTTTTTAAAAAATTACTTTCCAGTGTTAAATCTATTACGTTATCAAAATACGACAAATAGTAGCTACTTCATCATTTTTAATAGTAAATAATAGTTTGTACTTTTAATGTACTTTCACAACAGATGTTAAAGTATTGTTTAAATATTTTGTTAAGTTCGCTTGAACTCATTTTATGCACTGCGTCTAGTACGCAAAAATGAAAGATAAGAGCGATAACATATTTCAATATAAGCTTTATGTTAAATTCAACTGTTATATATTCTTTCGTAGCTGTTAACAAGTTGAAAGCAACGAATATGCATATAATATTTCGATTTATTATATTATTTATTAAATGTCTTATGGACATTATTGGGGATATCTTTTATTATTTTGGTCTCAAGTTATCCCCTTTAACATTTGAAAATATCTCGAAAGAGTTGACTAAGGAAGCTCGTTCGGAATTGTTACAAGTTGAATATCTACAAGACAATTTAGACGTTTTTATTCGGACAATTGCCGATGGGAATACTATGCCTGTTACTGGAAGATATTTTACTAAAGTATGGCTTATCCATCTACTAGAGTTGCGTGTTAGAATTAAAAGATGCCTTAAGGAAGATCCATCTATTTATCGGGTTCCTTTAAAAAGACCAATATTCTTTGTGACTATGATGCGAACTGGTAGTACTTTTATGCATTGCCTAATGGCTGAGGATGACCAATGGAGTTGTCCAAAATTATGGGAATTGGAAGATTTCTCTCCTCCACCAGGCACTACGGCTGCCGACGATAAAACTAGAATAGCCAGATGCCAGCTAAAATGGGGTAAGTTCTAAACAAATACTATAGTTTATAATGATCAATTCATGATTTCTTAAATATGTTTCTTTTAGAAATTACGTCCACTTTGATGGGTTGGAATGATGTTAAAAAAGCTCATGGATTCAATCCTCTTACACCGGAAGATCTTCTTTTCCTTTATCATTTAGATTTCAAATTTGTAAGTAGTACATACGGAAATTTCATTCAAAAATTTACAATTTACTATTAAAAGATAAATAATGCTTTATCAACAAAATTAATGATAAAGATAAATGATAAATTTAATACGACATATTGTCTTTTACTAACTAATTAACTAACTAATTAATTGATTAATTAACTAATAATCTAATCCGTTGTAGATAACGGCAATGCACGACAGAATGGAAGGAGAGTTTATGGACTTTTTCCAAAATCAACCAGCAAATTTAGAGTTAATTTATAATAAAAATTTAAAAACTCATTTGCAAATGATATGCAAAAATAAAGGTTTGTATATTAATTAATTAATTAACTATTTAACTTATTAACCAAAATTTAATTTTTCTTTTTAGATATGGAAAATAAAAGATTGTTAACAATGCTTCACGCTTCACCAGCTCATTTGGAGTCCCTTTTGCAAGTGTTTCCCGATGCTCAAATTATAACTCTTCACAGGGATCCAGTTGGTGTTATGAAATCTGTTTGCGATCTCATTCACACAAACTCTAGAACTTGTAGAAGGTTATTTGTCGATAATAAAAAGGGCGTTGGTAGACGTCTTTTAAAATCTTTAACAAATGATAGTAAAAACTTGGTAAAATGGAGGAAAGATCAAAATCTTGAAGGAAAAGGAATTCAAAGATTTATCGATGTTAATTTTAAAGATCTAATAAAGAATCCAATAGAAACTGTCCAATCCGTCTATAAACAATTGGGTACAACATTAGACGATAACTCTTATAAAAAGATGGCAGCATTCTTAAATTCTCACAAGAAGTCTTCTTCAAAAGCATTCGATATTCAAGATTTTGGTCTTACGAAAGAAACAATTAGGGAAAGTTTCAAAGAGTACACTGACTACTTTAAAGTTTAAAAAACAAGAGACGTTCAGAAAATGATATTAAATCATTATGATTCATATGCAATAGTCGTTGCATTGTACATATCTATGTATACATATATATATATATACCTTTCTTTTATTAATCATATGCTAATTTATTCAGAAATATACTTTTTCAAAGTTGCATTTATCTTTTATTTTTGAAAAGATCTCCTGCTTGTTGAAATATTCCATTCTCTCCTAAATAAGGATGAATAATTTAAAAAAATCTAATCTAATATAATCTAATTTACAATAAAGATTATATAATCTCAAATCTCGTGCCAATCTCTCTCTTAAGGTTAAGAATCTTGTTGGTACAGTTGGATACTAACAATAAAATATGTTCTTCCATAAAAGAACGAAGAATTATAAGATTAATTGTACAAATGTCCCTCTTCAAGAATAGTCCAAGAATACAATGAACAACACCTAGGAAAAAGAAAAAGATAAACAAAAGTTAAACGATCTTACGTAGCGCAATTCTTACTAATTAATTAATTAATTGTCAAGTATAAAATGAGTTGATAGATATTTTTGTTATGGATTATGATAAATAGAAGGATCAGTGTTAGGTTAATATATCAATTGTTATATAATAATTTAAAGTAAAATAGTAAAAACCTTTCGAAAGAATGAAAGTTAAAAAGTTTAATATTGAAAATATCAGTTTAAATGCTAAAATAGATAGCGATATAATGATGTAATTAATTAGTATAATAACATAATTACAACATTAATTTATTTATTTTAACTTTAAGATAGTCACTTTTTTTTATTATTAAAACCTAACCCAATTTTAATGAAATGTTATTGAAAAGATTTTCGTATTATAATTAATTATTAAAATTGGGTGTGTTTTTTTTTATTGGATATTTCTTCGTATATATAACTATGATGGCGCAAATAAAATTTTGCTGTGGTGCAGTGTTAGATTCATTATTATTAACTTTTTCAATGTGTATTACGACACTATTATCTTTTAATGCAAAGTAGATATATATACTGTACAACTGTTTTTACTTTCTATCGAAAAGAACAATTAATTGAGGAAGAACAGTTCTTCAAATAAATCAAGGAAGATAACTTCAAAGTGTGTATTATGATTGCAAATAGAAATAATTGAGCGAATAGCTTTTAAACTTTTATTTATTAAAGTTTGACAAGTTTCCTATTAGTTTAGAATTTCCTTCCATTTCTACAGGAAATCTTTTCAACTTATATTTACAGTAATATAACATCCTCTTGTGGATCTCTCTGTCATTACTACTATTACTACTACTTGCAAGACGCTATGAATAATCATACGGATCTCTTTAATGCCACATTAGAACCGGAAGCAAGTGGAAGAAGTTACCTTGATTTAATCGCTTCTAGATTATTTTCCTATACGATATTTCTGGCTTGCACTTCGGTGGGTATACCTTTGAATATTCTATCGATAGTCGTCATTCGTAAGGGACGACTATGGAATATAACACTTTTTCGATATTTGGCTTCTGTATCATTCGGAGATATCTTCGTGGCTCTAAGTTATACATTCAGGGCGATTGTTCTAGTCGATTCAGAGAACATAACTCTACTCGCCAACAACATCATCAATTGTCGACTGGCGCCTTTCTTTTACGTTACATTTGCACAACTCTCTTCGTTCAATCTCGTCGCCGTCACATTTGACCGATATCTATGCGTTGCTCATCCTACCAAAGCAAAGGTTTGGTCGACGATTGGAATTTGTAATAAGGTTATCGCCTGCGTTTTTACCTATTCACTCGCCACTGCCATATTCATTCCCATTGTTCAAGACAATAGCGTCCGTCTGTCTCCTACCAGAGTCGAGTGCATGCCAAAGAACGATGGAGGAATATTCCTTTACAAGTATTTTCTGCAGTACGTTTCGTCCGTCTGCTCCTATATTCCATCCATCATCTTGGCGATTCTCAACGTGCTCATAGTCGTCAGTCTGAGAAGACACACGAAAGAGAGTGACATGGTTAAAGAGAATAGTAAGGACGAGAAACTGAGGAATGCAACAAGAAGACTAACAATTTTGAATCTATTCATTTCAACAAGCTTTATCATCCTTACTTTTCCGTTATGCTGCTTTAGCATATACGTTCGCCTCTTCTCCAAGAATTTCAACACAAACTCCCAAGAGAAACTCATCTACGAAGTGGTTTACGTCTTGAACGCGATGAATAGTGTTATTAATTTCTTTGTTTACTGTTTCTGCGGAAGAATGTTCAGGAACGAGCTATTGAGTATATGTTCTCATACTGAGAGGAAAAGCTCTAGTTTAAGTAATTCGTAAGCGAGATGGAAAATTTTTTTAAATAACATTAGTAGACTAGACCAGAAAAAAACCTCTATTCTGTCCCCCATCTTCCTCCTCTGCCCTTCTAATTTGACTTGGGCACAACTTTTAACTAATTAAAAAAGTAGTGAAAACTATATTTTGTAAATTCAATAGAGGCAAGGTACAGAAAAGAAAGAAAGAAAGAAAGGTAGGGAGAAAGAGGAAATCCCTTTGAAAAGATTATTACAAAGTAGACATAATAGAAAAGTAGAAAAATAGTTTTCTCTTCTTTAGTAATTGCAATTTGTGAAAGAAAAACTAGTTTTTACTTTTTTCTTTATTGTATTAATAATAATTATTTATATGTTTTATGTCAGCCTAGCTGATATGTAAATCTGTTAGGGTATCATTTTTGTAGGTGTAGTAGTTCAATATTTACTACTTGTGTATATGTTGGCAGTGCAATGCAAGAAACAATAGCATACTTTCAACCTCAGAATCTAGTTGAGATGGCGATAGTAGTTGCTGTTAATACACAAACAACTCTTACAGGATATATAACTGATGAGGTATCAGAAATTTTGAGGGTATCGACTAAATAATCTAAGCGTTAGTTATCATCTTTCACAAAGATCTCCAATAATACTCTTTCACTAATTATTCTTGTTTAAGGGGATAGAATAGAATTTTTGTCGTTATGTTGTTGTTGTTGGGCTATTAAACCCATGTACAATGTGTTGGATTACACAAAACATTAATACAATGTACGAAAGTCTGAACCGACTAATTCTTACATTTTATAAATTGCAGAAGTAGTAAAGTAAACTAGTGTTGATTAACCTTCTTAATATATAACTTTCATAAGGATCATCTTTTAATGATCTCAATTATTGTTAGTTGGATTTGAGGTGTCGAACGTGTCTTTAATACGATTCAAATTCTGTTTACGTTCCTGAGAGCAAATTAATAGCGATCCTTTTATATATTAGGATTATTTTAAATAGTAAAAAGATATAAAGATGTACTATACTAATCAACTGGATAAAAAAGATATCAGCGTGACAAAATGAATAGTCCTCATACGCCAATTTAACTCTTCTAATCTTTTTAAATAGCATCTCTAAATCTTTCTAGTATGTTTTTGGTTAACGAAAAATATTATATTATACAAAAAGTATCTGTTGGTCTTACAACAATTAATAATTTTAGTATCAAGAACTTTTGGCGTCCAACGCTCTCTATGATAATAAAAATAGTACCTTTCAGGAATATGAAATTATGACGCGATTACCAGGAAAACGGTAATTTGAAAAGAGTATTTTATCAAAGAAGAGCAGGAAGAGAAGAAGATGATATTTTTCCTTCTAATATAGACTCTACGATCAAATATCTTTATTATTTAAGTTTTTGTTTATCTTGTTATAACGTGAAGAGAAACTCTGGCTGTTAGCGATTCGGGACGTCTCGTTTGATAGGCATTCTCTTAAAGGTATTCAAATGAATTATACAAACTCTACAACGACAAATTTATCATCGAATGGTAAAGAAACATACTTCTCTTTACCCGCGCCCAGGTTGTTCTCGTATGTAATTCTACCTGTGGCTATCCTGTTTGGAATACCTCTAAATATCCTCTCGTTCCTGGTTATGGTTAGAACAAACCTGCGAAAGATTACTCTCTTCCGATATCTTACTTCTGTGACAACTGCAGACTTTTTCGTGATTGTCAGTTGTATTTTAAGAGGAATGGTTTTCGTTGACATTGAAAACGTTTCGTTAAAAATGTTCAATGTCATTTATTGTAGATTATTTTCATTTTTCTACGTTACCTTTGTACAAGTATCATCGCTTAGTCTTGTGGCGGTAACTTTTGATCGTTATTTGTGTATTGTATATCCAACAAAAGCGAAAATATGGTCAACTATAAACATCTGTAACAAAGTGATTATATCTATAGTTGTATATTCAATTGGAGCTGATGTCTTTATTCTCGTTGTTCAAGATAATAGCGTTAGATTATCTCCGGTAAGACTTGAATGTCTACCTCAGAATCCCGGTGGAAAATTCTTATATAAATATCATTTAGCACTATCATCAATAGTTTATTCATTTTTACCATCACTTGTACTAATAACCTTGAATGTATTGATAGTAAGAAACCTTAAAATATATAGAGATAGTTTTAAAACACCTAGACAAACCGGTAAATATGAAGGAATATTTAAAAGTGTTACTAGACGATTAACAATTTTAAATTTAATTATTTCAACTAGTTTTATTGTGCTTACTTTACCTTTAACATCGTTCAATATCTATGCTCGTTCATTCTCTAAAGATTACTATTCAAACAAACAAGAAAAGTATCTTTTTGAAGGTTTCTTTATGCTTAATGTAATTAATCACATTATTAACTTTTTCCTTTATTCATTCTGTGGGAAAATGTTTAGGAGAGAGTTACTTTATCTTTTGTCGTGTAGTAAGTAGCTGTATTCCATTTTGTCTCGTCTTTGTGCGAAACTATACGAGGAATAAAGAAACTAATTAAAACGATACTAGTAATATTTACCTAATAATTACATAGTTAGTTTGTTTTGACCTTTGTAGCCAAATCCTTAGGTGTCTATACTTGAAATGTCGATGGAAACCTTGAATAATAAACCTTATTTACCGATAATATCTCTCTCTCTCTTTCTCTTCATCCATCCATCTATCTTTTCTATTAGTTTACTTTTCGGGGATAGTTCCAACCTATTTATATATAATAAAGTCAAACTGTACTTTGATCTAGCTCCTCTGAAAAATCGAATGATATGATTGCAAAGCAATAAGCCACTAAACAAGATAAGTAATTAAATTTTACTAGTTAAAGAGAAACACCTAAGGTATTTATTAATTAAAAGACTTCTTTACATTTATAAAATGGACAAATATGCTGAAAATAAGTAAACAACATAGATAGAACATACCAATCGGCATAGTCAACTACAATATAGACAGAGAGATGAACTGATATTTTGTAAAATATAGTTGATGGAAGCAATTAAAAAAGACATTGAGACTGATGAAAAATGAGCATTGCGCAATTGAAAATAAATGAATAAATGAACAAATTAATATTGCTAGCCTGTGTATTTTCATAATTGTTTCCATTAAATAGGATCTTACGCACTACATTTAAACGGTTACTTGTTTTTAATATATTCCTTCTTTAAGTCACAATTGTATCGTTAGTTATAGTCCCCTTTTGCAGACTTGGACACTCTCCCCCTCCCCCTCCTCCTTCCCTTCCTTCTCCTTCTCCTCTTCGTTTTCTTATCGAAGGGCAATTAGAAAATAGACGAAACATTTCATTTCTAAACGTTTTACCACACAAACAGTAGAATAAAAAATTTAAAGTATGATTTAAACTATTGAATGATGTTAATAATTCTAAAAGTAGTTTATTCACCTTTGAAGCGTAAAAGTTTGGATCAAATAGCCTTACGTATATACTTGTTATGCAAACGGGAAATGTTAAAATTATAAAGCTTGTCGACACTAAAAGTATCAATAAAGTTGACTTTTTTGCTATTTTCTTTATCTTTTTATCTCTGATGCTATTTTCTATTTTAGCTACATCTTTACTATGACATTTAATCTTATATAACATTAATATATTAAATATCGCCATTGTAATAGATGGTAAAAGAGAATACATAACGTTCTGAATTGTTAAATATGTTTGGTAGAAAAACTCTCTTGCCAATAGATTCTTTGGTAAACACTCAATCCTCGCTAACGATATTCTTTTAGCTTGTGTGTGAATGACTGGGGAGAATAAATCAATAATTATTACAGTACTAAAAATACAAATAACTACTTTATTACAGATTGATAAAGTAGATAAGACTTTTACTTTTGTAGGAAAAGCAACGCATATAAAACGATCTATAGTTACGGCGACTAAACAATACGATGAAGTTTGAGAGAATGTAATAAGTACGTAGATTGATATTTTGCAATACAACCAAAGATAGACGTCAGTCGATACAACTTCACTAGCAAAGAATAATCCTCCTCTGACTGCGTATGCAAATACAACCAATAGGTCTGATATAGAAACTCCAGCAATATATCTAAATAAACTTGATTTCCATAACGAGCTTCTTACTATTGTAATGATTGAAATTACATTGAAAGGTATGCCAAAAACTACTGCAATTGGAAAAAAAAAAAAAGGGAACACTCTTGCTCCAAGCCATGAAATTAATCCTCCATCATCGTTCGTACTATTTGTCAAATTCATCATTTTAAAACTATAATATACGCAAACTCTCCAGCTCCCTCTTCTGACTCCAACTTTTGTTTACGAACTAATTTTCAAATACTACTCATTAAACTATCCAGTATCTCTTTAGAAATCGGTCCAAGTACAAATTACTCTTCCTCTCTCCCCTCTCTCTCTCTCCATTTCTATTATATATACAGTATGTATACTCTAATTTATTCATGCATCTATAATTTTTCTTCATAATGCCATTCCGGGAAAATTGACTTTTATCAAACTTGAAAATTAACGCCGTCTTTAAATCGAAATAAGATTTACGGTTTTTTGTAATAAAAGACATGGAGAAAATAATCTAGAAGCAATTAAATCTAGGTAACTTCTTTCCTCATTACCATCAAAAGAACCATTGCATAAGAATTCATTTAAAAGATCTTCTGTACTGTTATCCATAAAAAAGAGAATTGTTATAGTTTTTCATTCAAAGTGTAAATGTTGTCTTGTAGTACATGCTTACTTTTGTTGAAGGATATACTAGGTAACACTAATTACACTGCTAATAACTGGTTTCATATACTTCATTCATATACATAATTATAGTTTTTTTGGTAATGTATTAGTGTTATATATTCTCTTTTTCGTCAGAGTTAAAGTAGGAATGTTAAGTATTTTATCGTGTAATTTCTAATTAGTACAACAATTAAAAAGTAGGTATCTCTTTTCCTAATTCTTCGTATCAGTTATTATACTGATTTGTAACTTTTCGACAAAGTTTTACCTTACTTCTAGATGTCGTTAGCTGTTTGATTAATTCTAATGCTATGAATAATAATTTTACATTACATTAGAGAAGCTTACTTTTTCCAATATTGAATTTATGAATAAATTAGTTAGGTTACTATCCAAAGTATAAGGTAACGTCAATACTATTAAATAGATACGATATTTGATAGATCGTATAAATGAGCTACAAGTATTTTCAACATATTGCTATATAATTGCTTATGAAAAGAAAACAGTATGATAAGAATATTCGCAGCGTAGTATATATTAGATTATATACAGTAAATGTCTAAAATATCCGGACACCGTAAAGTTTGATAGGCCTTTATAAAAAAAGATTTTTTTTGCTTGTTGTTTAGCAATGAAATGTTGGGTGAAACTCGGATCTATATATAAATTTCTATCAAATAGTATTTAGATAAGTTTTTACTTCATTTTTTTTTGTTTTTCTATTGTTTATTTTTTTAAGAGTTTTCTTCTTATTTGGCCATAAGTCATATTATTCCGGACAATGGTTTGGGGACCAAAAGTTGTATCATTTCTGAATTTGACAACCCTCTTTTTCAATGCACTTACTCTTCCCTGCAATCACCCTTTCCTTGTTTCTTTTAAGCCTCTTCATGATCCTACTCATTCCTGCTATATCTCTTTCTGTGAGACTCTTAGGACAACCTCTATTCTCTTGTCTGAGTGGCTTATATTTTAAAATATCGTTTACTGTAGATGGTGCCATTTCCTTAATTTTCTATAATTGTGGATTATTAGATTCCTAACCTCTTTACTCCATACCATAATTAAATAAATGATATAAAAATTGTATAATGTAGGTAAAATGGATAATAAGTAACAAAATAATAAATTTAAAACTTATGGCGTCCGGATGTTTTAGACCTTTACTTTATCCTATATTGAACAGCTCTTGAACTAAATGGAATCGTTAGTAGACTAATTGAAAATGACAAACTTATACATTTATACAGTGCCTGTAGTTTATTTTTGAAATTTTCTTTTCAACTTGAACCTTTTTGTCTTGAAATATAAATATAGATTCTTTTAGTATCTCTTTTGCTAGATGTCGCTACTGGCGATGATTTACCGTTTATTGACATCTTTGAAAAGAAAACACTTGATAAGAGTTTAAAACATAAACAAAAGAAGTAATATTTTTTCCAAATTCTAGTTCAAAACACTGTTCAAATTTCACACAAATACGGGAAGTAAGCTATAGTAACTTTTATCAATTCAAATTCTTGTTTTTATTATTGCGTTTGTTTTGTATTGATTTTAATAGAATTGAATGAAGTATAGTATATATATACAGTATATATTAAATTGAATTATACATGCTACTTTCGCTTTCGTCTTTTCGACGCAAATGAAACATTACACTCTTACCGTAATTGAACGATGAAGTAAGCAACGAAAAGAGCTATTTTCAAACATATAGGCTGACTGCCGAATAGACTAGCATGTTAGATTGCTTATAAAGCTTATGATAAATGTTAGGCTGATAGAGTAATCATAGCGCTCTTTCCAGTCTGTGTGCAATTACTGAATATTCTAAACGCGATAATAGTTTGAACGCTTCTCCTCCTAAACAAGATAAATAGCACTGATTTCAAATCATATATTAAATTCTTGAAGGAGATCATTTTGATTAGAAAGTAAGCCTATTCCAATTCTTCCTAAATGATATCATCATCACAGATACATTGAACAATCATTGACCTTTGCTTGAATGATTATTATTATTAAAAAAATATAAGATATTATCAGTTTTTTTAAGTTAACCGTGTAAAATAGTCAATATGCTCTTTTAATTGTTAAAGGTGTGAATTGTATCCTTACGAAAACCTTATCTTGACAATTTATCTGTAATTCTTTCCGCCGCTTGTCTAAGACTACTTCCGATTAATCAGGCCTATACTAATACAAGTTTTCAGCATATATACTGTAGATAATGGTTAATTATATATTTTGAATACTGAAATAAACAAATTATGAAATTAACAAATAAGAGAAAAATAGGTTCATATTGTTTTATAGAGAACGCGAATAAAAATAAATAGACAAACAAACAAATATTTAGCTGTTCAAAATTTTATACTTGAAAGAAATCCGTATAAAACTTCATAGATTCTTGAATTTTCTCTTCAGATAGACCGTATTCTTTTAAATTATACTTTGATTTTCCGGTCTTTTTCTCATAATTATCTAAGTATACTTTCATCTTTTCTTTACTGCTGTTCGTCAAAGTCATATCTAAATCTTTATATAAATCTTCAACAACTTTCATTGGAGTTTTAATTAGATCTTTAAATTGTATATCAATAAATCTCTTGAATTCGTCAGTTTTAAATTGGTTACTCTTTCGCCAATTGACCAATTTTTTACCGTCCTCTGTCGCTCCTTTCAATACTCTTCTACCAAATCCAACTCTATCGTTATTGAAATGTCTACGACAGGATCTCGACATTACTCTAACAAGTTCGCAAGCAGATTTTATCTGACCAACAGGATCTCTGTGTATCGTGATAAACTGAGCGTCGGGGAATGCTTTTATCAAAGATTCCAGATTAACTGGAGTGACGTGATGCATGGTAAGAAGTCTCCTTCTATCCATATCTATTTAATGGAACGGAGGGAAAGTTACTTTTAATATCAATGAATTTGAATGAAAAGTAGAATTACTTACTTGCATTCTTACAAATCATCTGTAGACGTAGTTTTAAGTTTTCGTCATAAAGATCGCTATTCTTCTTAGAGGGATTGCTGAAATACTTTGTAAATTCTCCTTCCATACCTTCGTGAATTAGGTTTGATACGATAAAATTGAAATCGGAATAAATATTAAATATTAAATCTTCGGGATTATGCGGATCGAGAGAATGGTATTTTTTAATGTCGTTCCAACCCATAAGCACTGATGATACATCTATTAATCGTTTATAAATATTTATTATTAATACCTTGTATTATTATATAAAAGCAAACTACGCAAAATATTTACCCCATTTGAATTTGCAATAGGCTATTCTTCTCTTATCTTCTTCCGCATTATCTCCTGGTGAAGGAGCGCAATCTTCAAGTTCCCACAGCTCGGGGCATTTCCAATTTTCGTCTTGATTCATCAAATGATGAAGAAATGTACTTCCTGTTCTTATAAGAGTCAAAATGAAGACTGGCCTCTTAATTGGTACTTGACTGACTGTCGGATCCATTTTCAAGTATTTCTTTACTCTAACGTGCAATTCCATAAGTTGAGTAAGCCATACTCTAAGAAAGTATTGTCCAGAGAGAGGAATAATATTATTTGCAGTAGAGTTTTCAATAAATACTAAACAATTGTTTCTAAGATAATCAGTTTGGAGAAATTCTGATTTGGCTTCCTTAGATAAAGAACTGCAAATTCCTTCAAAAGTTAATGGTGTCAATTTCAAGCCAAATTTCCCAACTAAATCTCCAATAAAATCAATAAAAACTTTCAAACAGAGTATAATAAAACGAAATATGATATTCATTTTCTTTTTCCTTTACTTTCCTTCTTCTTTCTCTCTTTTTCAACTTTCTTTCTAACTTTCTTTTCAGTTTGAACTAAGAGAAACGATTGCCTTTTATTCTCTTGCCTCTTCTTTGACTTTTCTTTACTCTTCTAACTGTTTTTCGCACTTACATTCATATATATATAGGAAAATATTCTCAAAAAGTTTTCATTGGCTAATTAATAGAGGTCATGCCGTGCTCATAGTACTTTATCTATTTAATAGTTTTTCTTTATTATATCTTTAATTATCCTAAGAAGGCTAGGACGTTCTAATCTGTTAACCTCTTATATTAGTAGTACTGTGTAGCGGATGGATTAATAAATGAACACATATATACTGTATATATACAATATATTAATATTGTATAAAATGAATACTAACATGTACGTGTATATTCTGTATGTTATTTCCAAGTTTAGAAATTTAGTAGGTTCTTAATTTCATACATAAACTATGTAGTTTCATTTTTTACGATTCAATCTTCCTCTCACTCTGCCCCATCGCCTTTCCTCTCCCCCTCCTCCCTCCCTCCCTCCCTCCATATCTCTGTCTCTCCGTCTTTCTATGCCTAAAATATATATATTAAAAATTAACGCTTATTTTCATTTTCACGTATCTTAATCCTACGAAATTATTTACATAAATTTTGAAAGTTTTATCAAACTTACAATCAATTATATCAAAATTTAAGTAAATAACTTACTGTAAGATGTCACTTTGAACCTTTAATTTTTATCAAAAATCTCTTAATTAAACTTAAAAGTACATATCAGAGGTGAACGAATGAATAATTTATGAAAATATATTTTTTTTAAAAAAAAACTTTTTTCTCTTTTCATTTAACTTTTCTTTCATTAGAAAAGGGTTAGATATTTATTCAATCGATATACCGAGTATAAGGAGGATACTATACGCACGGTGATTATTTTATTATTAGCATTATTAGGGAATTTTTCTACATTTTCTTGTAGGCTAATTAAATAGAAGTAACTAATTAGTAATTAATTAATTAATATGTTAATATGTTAATAACAACTTAAAGAAACAGATTTACAATTATTTCGATCTTTTTTCACTTTTACTCATTTTACGTATTCGTAAACAAGGGAAAGATATACTTGTATATATTTACTAAGAGCGTCTCTTTTCCTTAAAACGCTTAATAATAAATTAATAATTAAAAGGATATAAAAGTATCACTTGCTGACTAGCTGTTACTGACCTCTTTCAATGTTAGAAAGAGTGTAAAGGTCAAAAAGAATAAAAGAAAAAAAATACTCTATTAGCATAATATTAAGCCTCATTTCTTGAAATGCTCTCAAAATCAATTGTTATGTTCTTTTATGGAAAATCAACAATGTAATCTTCTCTTTGTGTTTCTACTAGTCAAAATAATAAAAACAATCTAAGTAATACATTGACTGAACGAAAAGCAAAATATCTCCAGCCTATATTTACATTCATCTCAAGAGCGAAGAGCCAGACAGATTAGCTAAGGTAAAAGTTTTATGATTAGTGTTCCAGTCAGTTTTACGTTACATACTGTATATTACGATATCATCATTATAAAACAATCTTCCGTCATATCTCTCATACTAAAAGAGATAGTCACAAGAAGCAATATCTAGACTACTGTCTCTCTTAGTACTAGATCTCTTCCTTTTCTATCCTAGTATGGGATATTTAAAGTGAATATATATTTTATGCTAATTATAAATTAGTACTCTATTAGAATCTTAAAAATTTCATTTGCATTTCCATATTCTTCAATCTCCTCAAACTTAATGATTCATTGATATAATAAATAAATGTCTACATAATAATTCATTCATCCGTTTATAAATCTATTTATTTCACTTACCTTGAGCATATGAAGTCTAGCCTTTAAAATTTTTGTTCAAAACCAAAAGAATGTTCCAAATAAGAAATAATCTTATCAGTAATAGGTTGTTGCGTTGAAAAGCATCTCCCTTAACAGTTAGTACCAAAATCAAAAATGATAAACCGTATCAAAACACAGTCTAGGCTTATATTTATATAATTATAAACAAAGAAATATATAAACAAACTAAATTCCATTGCAAGTTCACTGTTGTGTATTTTTTATCTTATTATAAAGTATCACAAAGCGCTAATCTCTTATCCCATAAAGAAATCCTCTTCAGATATTTTTCTATTTCTGAAACTCAACTTTCACTTATTAAATTCAACAGATTTTTCTGTTGAAATCAGAAATATCCTAATAAAAATTTGACGAGCCTCTTTTAGTGTTTTAAAAGGTAAACTTTTAAAACAATTCTATTAACAAGAATACCCGAGAGAATATGATAATTATACTGTACATAGAATACATAAATAACCATATAATTCTAATAATTAAACAATTACATACAATACAAGAAACAATATTTATAATTTAACATTGAAATAGTCTATATAATACTTTAGAGAATCTCTCACATAATCTTCAGTTAATCCGTAATCGAACAATTTCGATACTTTAGTATTCTTTGTTGATTTTGTGTGATCGTTTAAAAAGTTCAGCATATTCACTTTTGCTTCTTGATCTAATGTCATATCCAGTTTTTTGTAAATGTACTCTACTGTACCGATTGGATCTTCAATTAAATCTTTAAATTGAACGTCGATAAACCTTTCGAAATCTTTGGCTTGCAATTTTGGATCTTCCCTCCATTTAATCATTCTTTTAGTATCTCTTAAAACGGCTTTGAACACTCTTCTTCCATAACCAACATTGTCGCTTGCAAAGATTCTTTTCGTCGACTGTGTATTTACTTTAATCAATTCGCAAGCCGATTTAATTTGATTCGCCGGATCTCTGTGCAAGGTAATTATTTGAGCATCTGGAAATGTTTCCAATAAGCTTTCCATATGAACTGGAAAAGTGTGTATCATCGTTAAAAGTCGTCTCCTTTCCATATCTGTTCAAGAGATTTTGTATTTTTATTAATTAAAATAGGATTCCTTTTTTTTAACGTACCAGAATTTCTGCAGATCATTTGGAGCCGAGTTTTCAGATTGCGATCGTAAATATTTTGAAGAGACTCCTTCGGATTACAAACGAAATCCATATAAACACCTTCGACGTATTCATGCATTAGTGCTGTTTGAACCATAGCGAAATCGGTATGGTATAAAATTAATAAATCTTCAGGGTTTCTTGCATTAAATTTATGTACTTTATTAATATCGTTCCAACCCATTAGGACCGATGTTATATCTGTTTAAAATTAATAACCGTTAGAATTTAGATACTTTCGTATTTTCACTCGTTTTCTTACCCCATTTTAGGGCGCTTTTCTTAATTCTTCTCTCGTCATCGAAGCCACCCGGTGGTGGGGCGCAATCTTCTAATTCCCATAATTCGGGACATCTCCACTTTTTATCTTGAGACATAAGATGATGAAGGTGAGTACTTCCCGTTCTCCATAGAGTAACAAAAAACACTGGACGACGGAAAGGAACTCTATAAATTGAAGGATCCTCCTTAAGACATCTATTAATTCTTACTCTCATTTCTAAAAGATTCGTAGCCCAGATTTTAAAAAAGAACTGAGCGCTTAAAGGAACACGATTTCCCGCCGTAAAATATTTTGTAAACATTTTTAAATTGTCTTGAACATAGACTGCCTTCATTAATTCAGTTTTAGCGGGTTTAGAGAGACTTCTAACCAAACTATCATAGCTGAGAAGAGAAACTTTTAATCCGAATGCGTGGAAAATATCCCCAATTAAATCAACTATAAATTTTAGCGATAATATCAAAAATCTTAATAAGATGTTCATGTTGACGGTCTGACTTTCTTAAGATGATTTGATTTCAGTTTTCTCTGTTTCCCTTTTATAGTGTCATTATCTTATCTGCATATTCGCACAATTACATTGTGATAAGCATAATTTGTATAGTTTTATCACTTATTTAACATTAAATTATGATGATTTTAGTTGAAATGTTTAATTAATTTACCTATTGATTGAAAGATTTTTAAACTCTAATAAAAGATTTTCAATAAACGGTTAATTAAACCTTTGAAATTTAATGAAAAACTCAACATTTCCCAAGAAATCTTTAATAAAATTCACTAAATTAATTGCAATTAACAAAAATATCAGTCCTTTAATGATCTTTCATTAATTAATAAACTATTAATTAACATGTTCAGATGCATTTTGGATAGAAAGTGTAAATGTCCTGCCGGTTGTACTTATCGTAGTACTCAGATACCGATTAAGTATGTAGATTCCTGAGAAAATAGTACACTGTCACCGCTGTTCAACTAAGTTTAAATCGTGATTAATGACTAGTTTTGTTAAGCATTTATTTAGCCTTAAATCCTGTCGCTAATAAACCTCTTTGAATTGTTTGTTTTGCTATTTAATAGGCGGAAATTAATATCAATATACAAAATATTTTATGGAGTATTTTACGTTGTCAATAAATATAACAATATGAATATTCATTTTTCTTTGTTTTCAATCAAGTTGAGACTTTAAGAATATTTCTTATTTCTCAACTTTCATTCCTCTATTTATTTCTTTATTGGAAGACTTTTTTTAATAATATTCAATAGATTTTCAACTTCGTTATCCGTTAATCTCTCTTCGCATTCTTCAATTAATAGTTGAATTTCTACTTGACTTGTAGGTCTCAGATTGAGAATTTGCAATTTTTCGCATTTAGTCAAATTAAACTTGTCAATTTTCTGAGAAAATCGTAAATATTAGACATTTTCTTTCGTAGTTATTATATTAATTCTTTATTATATTCCATTAATAGATCTTACCTTTAAAAATTTATTTATCATTTCATTCGTTTGGTGAATTATTGGGGTTTGTTCCAAAAATTTTATACTTGTATAACAAACGGACGACAAGTTCTTTTGTTTAGCGGATGGCTTCTTCTGACCATTAGAGCCATTTTGAATATCGTTTAAATGATTTAAAACTTCGTAATTGCTAACGAAACTTGAGTTTCCATCGAGAACTTCCATTTATTACTGCTTTAGCCTTCTTCCCTTTTTTCTCTATTTCTCTACTGTTTATTTTTCCCTTTAGTTAATTACAATACATTTAATTTGGAATGACTATTTTACTATCGATACTTGCACTAACCAGGGCTTGTTAACTTACTTTTTTGCTAAATCAGCTCTATTAAAGAGCGATAATTGATTAATTGCACTCTACTAAAAAACCACGCTTCTGCCATACTTGTTTTCTCTTCACTATTTCCCGCCATAAGTTAATTGCATGGAATATTCTTATTCTAGAACAGATGTTGTATATAGTTGAAAAATTACAATATCTTGGTTTATTTAATTATTTAAGTAAGTATATATATATATATATATATATATAATTAATACATATTTTCAGACTATTATTAAGAAGAAAAGAAACACGAAAAGCTCCATTTGAAACATTTAAGCTATGTTCATAAACTTTCATATTGGATATTGTTTTCCTATTCAAATACTAGTTGAAACAAATGAACAAACAAATAGCAAATACCGATGATTATATATAAACATTTTGAATAAAATTAAAGTTTTTTATATATATTATTCTTCAAATAATTTAGAAAATGTTAATAAACAATGAGAACTTTTTATTCGTACCATTTTCTTTTGAACGATTCTTGAACACTGATTTTCGATTTAATTAATTTAGATAGTTTCTTGAATTCTGATATATAATTATATTTAGTATTTTGAAATTTACTATTATACAATTCAATAGCTTCCGGTAAAAATCCAAATAATTTATAGAACATTTCAAACAGATTTGAATTTTCATCGTTTGATAACAATTCAATATAATTTAATATATTTTCATTATCTATAAATAGATTATTGAGAATGGTTTCGTATTCCAGTTGGATTGAACAGCTCTCAGGCAGCTCTTCATCATCATTCTTCTCCTTTAAAGATGCGAAATGTCTATTCAAATTACAATACAATTGAAGGATGCAGTTTGAAACAATTTCATAATAATTGAATATAGTTTCTTCTCTATCAACTTCTAAAACAGTTGTATAAGTTGGAAATGTTCCATTTGAATAATAATATTTAGCCGATAAACTGGTTCTTGACTTTCCATCCTCCAAAAAGAACTTATTTACATTATTGAATAAATTATAATTAATTAAATAATAAGGTGTATATAATGAATTGAAATTTTTCAATTGGATAGGTAAAACTTCATTTACATAAATTATATTTTCTTTCAATCCAAAAGGCCAAAAACTTTTATTATGACTTTTTATGGTTTGTCCTTGAAATTCTTCAATAACCTTTGATTTATCCTTGAATGTATAACTTTTAACTATAAATGATCTTTTCTGTACAAACAAACAAATAAACAAATAAACAAATAAACAATAGAAATTATAATACGTCTACCTGAGATTTTGAACAAATTTCAACCAAATAATAATAAGGCCTAATTGAATTTTGTTGGCTTATAATAAAGGTATAGAATAAAGATTGTTGTTCCTTTTATGTTAATTAATTAAATTAGGTCAAGGTATTTTCGTATAAAAGTAATAATATATTTACATAAATTTTTGATAAATTTCTAAAAGAATCTTGCCTGAAAGGATTATTTTCGTAAAAACTCTCAAGAACTTTACTTATTCTTATAGCATTTGTCCAATCCTAGTTCAGATGGCAAAGTGTGAAAAGAATCGATGAGAATATTCTATCAATAATATTGAAATTACCTTTCCAAGAGAGAGAGACTCTATACTCGATTGTAAATCTCTTAGAATCTTATCAACAGTTGGTGTGTCCGTTAATAAGCAATTGTTTAAAATTTGGCTGTAATCTCTCGAAGTTAGAATGGAAAAGGCTTTCTCGACGAAATTGTTTGAACGATGATGTATATCGAATATTTCTGTAAGCATTCTTTCGCGTAGATATTCACTTTTTGTGATTTTTCTCTAAGGATTTATCAAGTATTCAATAACTTGTGCTAATAGATAAACATTCAAATAACCAGACTTACCAGATAATCGCAAGAGATTAATGGAAATAAATCCAATTGGTTAAAAGCATACTTTAAACTATATTTATAATTAATAATTCCATCGATAATTCTATAGAAAGTTTCTTTTAAATCTTTAATTAAGTTTTGTTCCAAATCTAGTCCATATTCTAATTCAAATCTGAATCGGAAGTTGTTAAAAAACAATCAATCAATCATCTTTTTATCTCTTGACTTACTGAACTAGCCAATTTTCAGGTTGTTTGTAAATACTGTTGTCTTTTGTTATTATATCGAATAAATCTTCAGCAATTTTATCTTCAATCTACAAACATATACATCTCGTATAGATAGATAGACGTCTTAGTAATTTATACCCTATTGAACGAATTGAATTGATAATATTCAATTTTAAAGATTCTTCTTAAAATTAATGTTGAAAGGCCACTTAACGTTTGATTAAAAGAGGCTTTTAGTAATAGTTTTAACGAATCAAGCTGATCAACCCCTTCATGGCGCTGTTGTTAATTTTCCATTAAAGTAGGCTTACATATTTAAGGTAAATTCTTACCTCCATAGTAGTAAAATTTTTCAAAATATTTGAAAAGATTTTCAAGCATTCCAATTGAAAAGTTTCGTAAATCTCTCTATTCTCTGTATCGTTGTTATTGGAATAAGAGAATATTTCGTAAAGGCACGTAGATATTTGTTTTAAACCCTTGTGTTATAGATATCAATATATATATATATATATATATATATATTAGTATATAAGATTGTCATTATTATTGCATTGAACTTACCTCTTTTCCGCAAAGGTCAATAATCAAAGGTAAAAAGAGTTGAAGAACTCTTAACGTTTGATTAATTAAAGAAATTTGTAAATTGAATTTATTTTGTAAACTTAAAAAATCTTCGCAAAAGAACTTTTTTATTAAAGTTAAAAATTTCTTAATAAAGATTTCTTTTGATAAAATTTTCAATTCGTCATTTAAATTCAAATATCTTAATTCTTTAATTGAAAGAAACTCTTGGCAATTTAATAAATATTCCAATTTATCTTTATTGAATAGTTGAAATGCTGCCATTATTGTAATAAATATGTCGGTCTGTTTAGGGAGAAGAGAAGAGAGAGAGAGAGAAATAGTTTTTGAATCCTAATTAAAACTTACGTAATTCTGTTGAACGTTTCTTGTTAAAAACTTGATACATTCTAGTAATGTTTTAGCTTCGAATTGCGACAATTCTATCCCTTTTGCCAATAATTCGTATCTCTTATTTAAAAGCTTTTGCAATAGAATTAAACTTCTTTTTATTAAGTCGTCATTTTCGTAAATAAGATAAGATACGAACAAAACTTGAATAGATGAATTTAAAAATTCATGTCGAACTTGAACAAATGCTGAGAATTCTTTTTCTTCGATAAGCGATTGTAAACAATAGATTTTTGCAGTTTCTAAATCGATTTCAAAGAAAACCTCCTCTTCGAAATAGACTATTTTGTCTTGTTCCTTGAAGAGGCTTTTAGATATACCGTCGGGCGTTAAGAGACGACAATACATTTCCGACATATAGCTTATATGAATTTCTAATATATTTCTCGGTATTTCGTCCGGAAACAGATATTTCCAGCAGATAATCAACGAATTTATAAGTTTTATACCAATTTTTCGAACTCTTTTAGAGTTTCTTCTAAAATTTTGAATAAAATTATCAATTCGTAAGAAGAGAGTTTGAAGATAAGTTTCCAATGTATTTCGATTTTTAACGTGAAAATTCAAGATACCAGATTTTAGAATAAACTTGAATAGTAGCGGAACTACTTTAACGACAATGTTTATTTCAGCTACAATCGATCTTTCGAATATCCTACAAATTCCTTCTACAATCACTCTAAAACATATAAGAGAGATAGATAAAGATGATGATGATGATGATAATGAGTAGAACCTGTTGTAATCTCTTTAAAACTGTACATACCTTAGAGCGACGAGAGAGGAGAATTTTAAATCAATATACTGATCAATTTCTCCTTCGTCCTTGTCTTTTTCGTGTAAAACCAAGAATTGAACCTTTAATCGTTAAAAGAGTTAGTTAACTATTGCAATCGCTTTTCCTTATTATTCTATTACTAACTAGAATATTAAATGCATTCTCTTCATTTTCAGTCTTGTTCATGTAAAGAAAAATTGTATCCAAAATCAGGAATTTATACTAGAAGATGAAGAAGAAGAAAACTAAATTAGTTTCTCTTAAACGCCAATTAATATATTACTTACTCTCGAAAAGTATAATCTATTTTCAATATTAAAAATGGCGTCTAAATCAATTCCGTTGAATGATTTTAAAAGTTGATCTTTACGAAAAAGGAAAAGAGACTATTAGTAATCTAACTTTGTTGAGCGATACTGTTACCGTCGTTTGTTAGAACATTCGAAACTAGATTAACTTCAACTAGAAGATTACTTTCCGTACGAGGATTTCTTTCCCATTCATAATCGGTATAGTTCAAAGGAATTCTTATTAATATAAAAGTTTACTTAATTCATTAATCGTTGTATCTATTCGAAGTTACGAACTTTTCTATATGTAAAGATATATCTTTTAATCCATCTGATAGAATTTTATCACCGTTAAAAAGTGGTAAGAAACCAAAGCCATAAGTTAAAGAATCTAGTTTATCAACATCTATAGGAAAAGAAATATTTATGGATTTTCTTTTTATCGAGCGAGAGAGAGAGAGAGAACAATTAAATTAAAGAAAAGAAACCAACTTGTTAACTTTTCTTTAAATCCTTTATAAATTTTGAAGAGAATATGCGATTTAAACAATGCTATCTTTCCATCTTTCCTATATAAACATTCGTATAATTTTGATAAATTTATAACAATTCTTTCATTCCAATCAATCGATTGAGATTCTTTTACTAGCAGAGTGAGAATCTCTTTTCTAGATTCATCATAATTTCCATAAATCGATAAACACTGTATTGTTATTATTATTATTATTGCTGTTGTTACGTGATTAAAAGAGATCAAACGCTAAAATGTAGCAATGACAAACATCTATTGGTTCTGGATTTATTCCGTCTCTAACGGATATTCCAATCATCATATAATGCATAGCTCTCCAAGTTTTTGAAATATTTGTTTGGCATATGTTCATATTCAAATCATTTCTAGTTAATTTATTGTTAAATAGTTGAACAGAACACTACGTTAGATAAGAAGAAATACTCACTTGGGTAGAAAGTTACAAGAGACTTCATTAATAACGTACACCTCTTGCTTTCTTTCGTAGACAGTAAACGTATAAAGATTGCTTTTTAATGGTGAGAATTGAAAAAATACGCGAGCTTTAGAGAACAACGATATTAAATGATTGCTTAATTCTCTTTGTTTCTATTAAATAAGCCTACCTATCCCAAATAAATCCCCGTCATCTTTGGTTCTCTTATACGCTAGAGATGATTTTTTTTTAACCGATCTGTTACATAATATATGAAGGTTTAGCTGACTGGTAAATTTAATAAAGTAGTTTGATTCTATTACGTTAAATTACATATTAAATCTTGTAATTTCTCTTCGAAGCTGATATTGTAAACTGAATAAGAGATAATATAGATACTCCTTAGACATTTTATATTGAATAAAATGACGAATTTATATACCTCCTGTTCCAAATAGTTTTCTATAGTCTTTCTCATTGTGTGTAGTATCTAATTGAAGAAGAAGTAGAAGAAGAAGGCGATCATTGTCATGGATGATAATTTAATGTTAATATTTCACTATATTATTTATTCAATCGTTATAAAACCTTTTTTCATCAGTTTAAATATTACTTTTAATCGGTTATCGACCAAACACGATTTGTCGAAATTCTTTCAATTGAAACAGTATTTTCGGATATTATTATATAGCTTTATTAATACTATTGATTCTATTACCTTAAAAACAATTAGGTCGGGGAAAACTTTGCTTTCAAATTCACCTTTAGAGTAGTTATATTGCCGAACGCATTGGCTAAAGATATAAAGAATTTAAAGAAAGAGATATATATTAAAACTCTTTTCTTACGCAATTGATTCGTTTCTTTCTATATCGTATAGAATAATAATCAACTGCAATCTTTCTGGTATTTTCAACGAACCGAACTTGATATATTGTAATAAAAACTTAATTTCACCCAAAGAGTTCGGTATTAAATATTCATCATCAGTTTCATCCTCGTTAATTCGAATAGGGCGATTATCCGCAAAAATTGATGGATAATTTTCCAATAATCTTATTATTGAATTATTACGTAACAAATCATTAAACTCTTTTTCAATAAGACTTTTTTCTACAAATTTACGAATAGTATCAACTTCTCCTCTAATCTATTTGATATAAACAGAATAGAAAACCATGATCGTTATCATGAAGATTGTTCACTCTGACCTTTGGCCAAATGGCTTTGAAGTTTAGTTTAATTCTACGACCATTTTCGTTATTTTCTATCTTTAATTGTATATATTAATAATGTTTAGTAACGCATACAGTATGTAGACAGGTATATACAAAAACTAACATTATCGCAGCATTGTATTTGACCCAAAATTCCAATAGTGTACTTTACAAGAGAAAACTCAAAACTATCGACCATTAAACTATTTGGTTGCTAAGATAAGGAAATGATTGATTAGCTTTTGTTTAATATTTATTATTTAATTATTAAATTGTGTATACTGTATAGTTAGTTATACGGTACATACCTTATCCTTTATAATGTAGAGTTCTTTGGCGAAATTTTTCAACATATTAACAACTTCTTGGTTGAATACGCCTTATTCAAATTATTTATTTGTTTTTAAAAGACTCAATGGAAATAAACAATAATAATAATAATATATTTACCCTTCAAAATGAATGAATAGTTAAAATTTCGTTATCGAAATAAGAAGTAGTCATTTTAAAAACTATTCTGAAATTTTGGAAATAAAATACGTTTACCTCATCAATTTGGCATATTTTCTCAAAATATAGGTCTGCGAGAACAAAGTACAATTCTTAAAATTATATTATATTAAGTTTCTTCATTGTTTAGCAACTCAAGTATTGTTTTCCAAGTTGCAAATCTTCTTCTATATATATATATATATATATATTAATATATACAGTATTTTTATTACCTCCCTTTTCTACTATCAATGTAAGCCAATTTTCTACTTTTGTCATCTTTTCTTCATCTTTCTCCGATTCTTTTTCTTTTTTAGTTTTTATATAACAAACATTCTATAAATGTAAATACATATATATTTATAGAAATAAAGTTTTTCACCTTTATTATCAACGAATTTGTCATTATTTCTCATTTCCATTTTGTCTGGATTATTTAGAATGCTACCAGCATCTCTCCTTTTCTTTTTATGTTCTGTTTGACGATTTCCTGTATTAGCGAAAGTATAAATGTTTATAATTGGCTAAAAAGTTTTCGCGGCCAGTCTAGGCTCGCACTGAATACGTCTCTGAAAAACAAAATGGCGGGCGTGTTAAAAAAGGTCAGTTGTTTACAAATACGATAAATTCATTTCGAATCGCTTATGTTTTCAATCGTGCAATCTTTAAATTGATTTACTCTTATATACTTGAATATATTTGGGATATTCTATGATATGTAACTAAGGAAGTTGTGCTCGAATGCAATTTATTTACTTTTCTTCAACGTAAACTTTTTTTTCGTTTAAAACAGACGACTAATTTAACTGGTCTTGCTGTGGCAGCAGACGCCAGAAAGGTATAATATACATTATTTTTCAAATATACTTAATTAATCTATACGATTTTTATGAAATTCGATATATTATTTTTAAAAGACTCTGACTGTCTTGTATGACAAGCTGTTAAGAACATTAAAAAAGATGCCCGACGATGCTACGTATAGAACAAGCACCGAAGAAATAGTTAAGGAAAGATTAGGAGTCGTTAATAGTGTATGTATTAGAAGAAAAAACAAAGTTGCATCCCTTAAAAGAGTAAAACACTTTTCGAATTAACAGAACAAAAACGTTAGCGATATAGAAAAGAAAATTAACTGCGGACAAGCCGAAGAGTTAATCCTACAGGCGGAAAGGGAGTTGGATTTGGCTCGAAAATTTTTAGAGTGGCGTCCTTGGGAACCTATGAAAGAGAAGGCGCCAGAAGGTCAATGGAAATGGCCCCACCCATAATTAACTTAATGACTATCGTAGATACTTTATTATATAAAAATAAATGAAAAACATAATAAAAAGAGATGGAAAAATCAAAATTCTATTATTTTATTTTAACTCTGTAAATACCTCTTTATGTTTTTTATAACAAAAAAAAAATAAGTTTTTTAGAACACGTGACAAACCTTAAAAGTGAAACTAGAGAAATTTTATTTTAAACCTAGAAACAAGCTAGCCAAAGTTTATTTTTCAAAAAAAAAAAGCAGCTCAGTTTTAAATTATTAGTATTCGTTTTTTTGTTTTTTTTTATTTTCATTTCGTTATTCACTGCTGCTTGAAGGTAGTTCCTCTGTTTTAAAAAGAGAATATATATTAGTATATAAACATCTCCATCTATATATTGTATTTAATAATTTAAGTAATGTTAATAGGTAAATAAGTATTCAAAAGTTGATTCATGCTTTTAAGAAAAAAATAAGAAACACTAAAAATAGGTTTAAAAAAAAGCAAGTAATTTGTTTTTCTGATATCTTTACCATTTGTTAGTTCATCCAAAATGAATACAACTAAAGTTCAAGTAGTAGAGTTAATTAATATGCAACGGCAACGCAAAAACATTGCTTTTTTTTTCCCTCTTCATAATAAATGAACCTATTAGTTATACAATCATTCTTTTTCACAAAACTTAAAGCCAACTACTCTCATTTCAGGTATGCAAAAAAAAGAAATTTGTTCTTTTATCAAATTGCTAACGATGATAATTTCTTTTTGTTTGTTTGTTTGTTTGTTTTTTAACTTAAACACAACAAATAATTTTGTTTCAAATGTTTTTTAGTAAAATAAGTTTCAGTAGCTTTTCCTTTTTAATAGAAAAAAAGTAGCACAATAAACACACTAGGTCTAATCCTATGATTAGTTTTTTTTCACCTTCCTCCGTGTAAAACGGTTTAACATAATATCTGATTAAAAAGTTTATAAAAGAAAATTACATAGTATTTAATTGGTTTGTGCTGTTTTTAACTGCATTATTATTTATGATAGCATTTTGGATATTTATGATTAATATTAATAGTTGCCATATATAAAGCTTACTTAGCTGTCTTCTTTTCCTTTGGCTTATCGTCTGGTCGTGCTCTGTTAAGGATTTGCAAGAAATCCGAAGTTTTCGCTCTCATTTTCGAGTGAATGTAAGCCTATACAACAGCAATTATATAATTAAAAAAAATAGACATATCTACCAACTTAATATAATAAAATACAAACCTTTGAACATTTAATATGGTAATGCAAATAGTTTCTCAAAGTATGAATCAAATTAATAGTATTTTCTACAGCACTAGCTTGCGTATGTCTTGGAAACAGAACTGCATAAAACGTTCAATAATTAATTCATTAAAAATATTGAAAATTAATTTTAATTAGCTAATGGCCAATAGTAACAATACGATTAAATATTTACCGAACGTTATATAAGCAACGTTGTCTCCTACTCTGGCGTTTGTTGCTTTTAATTCCATTGGAGGTTCTTTGTGGCTAAAGAGAACTTGAGGAGCTTGTTGGTATTTTCTTCTACCATCTTTAAACTCCTACAAGATATATATACATATTAAAGCTATAAGCGCTGCCCTTTTCGTCAATATTACCTGGAGGAAGAGTTTAGCAATTACCATATCATCACTATCTCTAAAAACAGTGCTAAATATAACTGTAACTCTGTCCTTTTGAGCCTGAACATACCTAATTTGTACAATAATTAGTATTAGTAAACACTATAGCCAATATGTCAAATACAAACATAGTTTCGTCATCTCTGTAATGTATAACTGCAATCTTCCTTCCAACTTCACCATTTTGTTGAAATCTGAAATATTCTTCAAAGACGGCAGCGAAACAGTGTCGTTTTAGCATACCACATTTCTTTATCAATTCTTCTTTATTCGAAGGCAACTTATCCAAATCAATCAAAAGAGTGACGTCGTATCCTATCGAAACATTTATTTTACAAGCAATTAGATATCATTTACAAAAGTGAAGCAAGGAAGGATACAAATATTTTTGGTTAGTAATTATCAACTAAATTAAACGTATATATAGAATTATATATAATATTTGACCGATTAACGCAATACGAAAGATAAATATTAATGCATTTACCGCTTTCCGGGGTAGTCAGGTAGGAGCCATACTCCCTTTTCAACAATTCCTCGGCGCCATGCTCCTTTAATTCTTTAAAGAAATTCAAAGAAATACTAATAAGAAGTTTCGATTTGTCTTGATTGTAGTTCGAAATGTGATATTTAACACCATCGAAATCGGCGGCTAGAATTGAAACTGATTCTTGTTTGAGTCTGATGGGTGGAAACAATAATAAATATAGATCTATATTATTAACAATTCTTACCCAGCTTCTGCATTTTGAAACTTTTGCTTTAAAGTTTCCTCTATAATTCTACTATTAACTTCGAGCAGAATCATTTTTGTTTTACTTAAATCTTTGACTAATCGGTATAAGCAGGAAGTTTGCTGGAGAGAACAGGAAACGACTGTCCGTGTTTTCGTAAAAAAATACTTTCGTATTATTTTTTTAATAGGTAAATTCATTTCATTTAAAATTATTACTAAGAAATATTTTCTATAAATAATTATTAAAATGTTCATTTTAAATTCAATGCGATCCTGTTAATTTGATCTGGGCGCTTAGCGACGGAGGCTTACTAACAAATAAACAACATGGCATCGACAATAATTTCAGCAAAAATGCCTCCTCTCGTTGATCCTACGCGTTCTACGCAAGCTTACGGGGATAGAGCCCTTCCTCGAATGAATAGAGAACTACAAGCAAAAGAACTACTAACTAGACAGCGTAGTTTGAACGCTCTTTGCGATTATTTACACGATCCCGAACATATAGCATCTGCCCTAAGAGAAGGTATACCAGAAAGCCTTAAGCGTTTGTTGTACGATGGTGATGATATGATTAGAGCAAAGACTACTGAATGCCTATATATATTGTCAAGCCACGCTATCGGTAGGGATGCAATTTTGGGTTGCGAACTTGTATTGAGCTTGGCGAGAGCATTCGAAGACAAAGATATGGCTACTAAAGTAAATGCTCATAAAGCTATTGAAATGCTATCGGAAACGCCTCAAGGAGCTGAAGGAATTGTCGATGCTGGCCTAGTTCCCACTCTGGTCAAAACTCTAACGACAACAACCGATAATATAAAATCTATAGTATTGGATACCCTGCATTTTTGTATGCTTGTACAAACAGAACAAGTATTAGCGAATGAAGGTATGGAAATTTTGAACAAATTACTTTCCCACGAATTACCTTTAATAAGACATAAAGCTGCAAGAGATATGATGGATCTTAGCGTTACGTTGGCTGGTAAGAATAAGGCAGTAGAAGTTAAAGCTCCCCAAACCCTGGTTCAATTATTATCCGATGAGAACACCGAAGTCAGAGCAATGGCCGCTGCAGCATTAATGATAATTACAATCACCACAAAAGGCAAATATACTGCTTTAGAATTTAACGCAATAGAATCACTTTTAAATCTATTGGAAGATGAATGCAGTGAAGTTAGAGCAAACGCTCTAAAGGCTCTAACTTGTTTGGCCGAAGCACCAGAAGGAAGGACAGCTTTATTAAAAGAAGTAGAAAGGGTCAGAGACTTAATGAGTGACCCTGTACCCAACGTTGTTAAAGCCGCGACAATAGCGGTTAAAGTTATCACATGGAAACCCTAAAACACTGTCTCTTCTTTATTTTCTATGACAATAAAAATAAATAATATTTCAAATCTTAACTTGGATTCAATTGAATTAAAGAGAAAAGATTGCAATTACCTGTATAAAGTTTATATATTACATGTCTTGGATACTGATTAATATAGTCCTTTGATATATGTTATATATACAGTATATATATATATATATATATACATTTAATACTATTATATTTTTTCAAACAATTCAAGCTGCTATTTGTTTCGAAAACTAAGCGGAAAAATTTTGCAGTATTAGTAAGAATTCAAGGGAAAAAGAGTTAGAATTTGTAGAACAGTAGCATGCAATTCAAGACTTCTAAGCGTAATAGATTAGAGGGAAGTTAATCTATCAATATTTGTGATTCAATATATGCTTTAATATTTTTTTGTTCTTATTCTATTAATTCCATTCGTTTGTGATAAGTCCATAACATAAAAATTTTATAATTCGTTCGGAAAACGAAAATTATAAAGAGAGCTTCATCAGTTTCAGTGTGGTCGGACCGTTATTGAATCCGAGTTGTGTCTATCTCGTAAACTTTCTACTCGGGGTTTCATTAATTCTTCAATATGTTGTACTATCAGATCAACAGCAACCGTATTATCCGATCCTCTAGGTATTATAACATCAGAGTGTTGTTTTGTGGGTAGGCAAAATTCTTCAAAAGCAGGTTTAACGAATTGTGTATATTGATTTAAGACATTTTCTAAACCTCTTCCGTTCTTCTCCGTATCGTTTAGCACTGTTGATAATGACTGTCAATAGATGCCGTTATTACTTATTTAAAATATTATATTACCTCTTCGAGATAGTCTTGTATCTGCGTCACTATCAACAAATAATTTCATATGAAACGAGTCTCTAATCTTTTGAAAGTAAAACGCGAGGATTCCTTCAAAAATAATAACATCAGCTGGCGGAACTTTCTGCCACTTATCCTTAGATAGCCTGTTAAATGTTAAATCCAGTATAGTGTTATATAAAGTAGCACTGTCAAAAAAATGCTATTGTTGTTACCTCTCATTCGACTTTTTATCGTAGGCCGGTACCCAGACAGTCTTTCTGTCTATTATTTGGTCAAAAGTCTTTTCTAGTAATTCAATATCGAAAGCATCTGGAAAGAAAAGACGAAAATATAAATCAATTGTTCAATGAGCATAATGATAAATGAAAGGAAAATATCCCAAATATTATTATCTTGAATAAACTAAGAGAAGATTATTATCTTATTCTTACCGGGATGATCAAAATTATATTGTCCGTTGTTTGCTGCTTCAATATCCTCTGGATCAAGATCCTTATAAAAACTTTCCATTGCAATTACTTCTACTTTAGATTTAACCTTTTCTCCTAGTTTCTCCATGATTTTATCGCATACGGTAGTCTGTATTTTTGCATTGAATAAAGGAATCATTATAGTCATGTTTATCTTAAAATTCTTATCAAGTGACAAATATATGATAGTGATATTAAACTTTACAATTAAATTCTTTTATTGCAATTATAGCTTATCGTATATATATATATATATTCTATTAATTATTGCTATAAGAACACGATTAATCTTATCCTTGTGTACACGTGTTAAGAAGAAGATGGATTAAAATGTGTTAAAAGGTTAAAACTCGATTAAAACTTGAAAAAGTTTTAAAAGATTAAATAAAGTACTAACCTTACCAGATGCTGTACCGCCACAAACTCCAATAATAAACGGTTTTGCAGTGTTTTCGTAATCATTTAAGAAATTTCTACTATTTTTATGACTAGACGCCGCCATTTTGGCGCCAGAACGGAAGTGCAGGATGTTGTCGGATGAATCGCCCATCTCTCAGTAAAAATCTGCAGATTTTCAAGAAAAATTTAACCAAATACGGGTCATGAGACAGATTTTGCGTGTGATTTAGGGGAAATGACTTGTTAAAATTTAGTGAATTACGATATTTTACATCGTTTTACAACTGGTTGCTATTGACGTGTTTGCAGAATACGCCCTCTGTCGGATACTCGAATTTGACGTCATCCAGACCTTTCTATTACCCCTAAATAATTATCAACTTCATTGTAAAATAATGTTTAGAAACTATAATTTTAGCAGAGAAATTATCACAACTAAATCTTAATGTATCGACCGCCATCTTAGAAATACAACGTAATAAAGGAGCAAATAGCTCAAATTATTAACGGTTATAATGTATAAATCTGACGAAGTTAAACATAACCATATAGGCTGAGAAGAAAATGAATGACAGCTATTTGGTTAATTACGTCAGAAGTTTTAAACGAATATTGTAATTAAATGAAGTTTTAAAGAGATTATTTTCAAATCTTTGCCATTTAGATGACGCGTTTGTTACCTCTTGTTTCTATGCTAATATCTATTTGTAGTTATTATCCCTTCTCATATAAAGAAAACAAAAACAGTTCTCACTCCTAGAAAGCTCAATAATTCGATTTTAATATCGCTATTCAATTAACAGAGAGAAATCTTCAACTTGGCTTAGAAATTAGAGCATAACAAGTTGGTATACGATAACAGTTTCAATGTAAGGTTTTATATAAACTATACTTGTTTATATACATCTATGCAAATGTATATATATATATATATATATATATATTCATACGTTATATAACTTCAGTTTTTTATGCGTATACCCTAGATAAACTATTTATTAATACAAATTATGGCCTAAAGTTAAACAAATAATTCTTAAAGCAATCAATTATACTTTCCTACTTGCGTATTTTCTCGATAAGAATAATGACGTAACGCAAAAGTTTATCTTTAAACAATTGAAAATTGAAACTTTTAACTTTCATTTTAAGAAGAAATCCAAATTTATAAAGAATAAAATAAGAACATTCTATTGTTAATAAGCTTTATATTAAATAAAACCTTTACGTTGTTCTTTTTTCTACATCTATGAATATTTAATTATTTCATCATTCAAAATTCTCCACCTGTTATAATATACAAAGAGAACATTCGCATAGTTTACCTTTATCTTCTTCACAAGTATTCCCTCTGTCGTTGCAGTAAACGAATGAAGTTTTAAATTTGAATTTACAACTGTAAATATACTATTTACTATGCCACGAAAAAATAAGAGAAAGGAATAAGGTTGTTTTTCTTTAAATCAATGAAAAGCCAGAATTTTTCTTCTATCTCTCTTTATAAAGTTGGCTCTTGAAAAAAAAAACTGTTCACTATTATACGTAACAGTTATTCTTATCGTTTTAATCGTTTCAACCTCGAATGTCTGTGTAACTCAATCGTGTTTGAATAAGTATAGGTAGGTGCTATGACTAAGAAAAACTGGTAGAAAGGCATTTATTTTTAATTTGGGGAAATGTTGTAGTGGCAAAACGCTGGACATAAGACGTATTTATTTGAATTGTATATTTTTACTATATACTTAATAATATTTTACTGAGCAATCAATGTAAAAACTCTTCTTTTTAATTAAAAAATTAGAAAACGTTCCCCTTTACTTTTTCGAATGTTCTATTTTACTTTCTTTTTTTTTATTACTCGTTCCTAGAATTTTCATCGTCAAGTTTTCTGCCTCGGCAGTATTAAAACTTGTTTATTCAAAGAAAAACATATTCTCTCATGATAAGATAGATGTTACAGTGTTTAAATCTAAAGACAACATTGCTGCTTGGAAGGTTAAACAGGGGAATTGGGTCAATGCGCACAGGAAATGTTTTAATGTTGGACTAAGTCTTTTCACTATTTCATTTATTAAAGTAGAAGAATTTAGGAAGAAAGGTCTAAACTTAAGAAAAGCAAAAAAAAATTTGATTTAGTATGGGAGAAATTCTTTAGTTAAGGTCAAGGATATTCCATATAGTGACTATATATATAAATATATGTATGTTCTTTTTCGAAGAAAAATATAAACTAGATAGATAAGATTGTTATTTTTGTTAAAATGCTCTATAATAAATAGTTCGTTACGTCGTATCAGTAGTTTGATACAATTCACTTCATCGAAGGTGAATAACAAAGACTATCTTTTTAAGCTATAAAAATTAATGTCAAATTTAATTCAATCGCTTTTTGATATGCTGCCATAGAAATTAAAGAAAACTCTGTTAAAGTGATAGACAGGTTGGAAAGAGTAACTTTTTTTTTAATTTCATGGTCGTAACGTTAAAGAAAAAGAAGAACTCGTTCGAAAGTTGACGAATAATTTCAAATATTTTCTAACAGCAAAATGCACTCATTTTCGCTTTATTTTTTATCTTTTTTTTCGTACATATTTTATTAGTAAATAAGCTCCAATTTAAAGAAAATATATGTTTATTTTATTATAAATACGGTTAATCTAACCCTATTTTTTTTATACAAAATAAGAAATTTATTCTAGTTCTAGAATGTTCTGTTGACTTCATAAAAAACGATTTCGAAATATCCATGGCACTAAAATCCACCTATATTCTATACAGAACTATATACTCGATCACGTGACCTTTAAAATTCGTCTGCTAAACCATATATATATATATATATATATCTTCATCAAACGGAAATAGAACCATTGCACCATACTGAAGAAATACCCCAGAAAAGTAGTTCCGCTTCCGTAGTTGACAAAAAATTATCAAATGTGAATAATAAAGACGATAACGTCGCCAGAAGAAGTTTCCGATTATAATTTAGCTTTCATAACACTATTTCCCGAAAATTGTGATAGGCATTGAGAAAAAAAACGGTGAGGATTAAAGAAAGATGTTCAACTTGCAAGAAAGAGCTAGACAACAAAAAGATAGGCAAAGAAACGGTCGTAATAGAGCCACACTTAGAGATAAATTATTGTTAAGAGGTAAAAACAACAATTAACAATATTTATAACGTTTCTATTTTTTTAATATGTTTAGAAAAGGATCGTAAGAGTAAATTTTGCTTTCTTCCTTTTTTAGAAGTGCCAGCGTTGCAAAAAATTAAGCCGACCACTTGCGATTACTTTTTTGAAGACCAAGACGCTTTACATAACTTTTTCTTACATATTAAACCTACCGAAGGACCTTGGCGGGATGGCTTATTCAAATTTGAAGTGACTGTACCAGACGACTATAATATGAAGGTAACTATTCACGTTTCAATATGAATTAGTTATAGGTTTTTAAATATTATGCAATGAATGTTATATCTTCGAAGGAGAAGTGAATACTTAATGGTTATTGATGTAGAATTTAGAATTTTTCTTGCTAGTTATGATTCCTTATATTATTATATAATATTTCATTTTCCGCCATCTTTCTTATATGAGAGTTTCAAAGTATGCTGTAACAATAAATTACTCAGCAATTTTTAACGGTATTTGAACATTTATTGATTCTATTAATTTTAATCTTTCAATCTAACGCTAGAGCTGGTATTCTCTATCTTAACGAAAAACATGAAGCATCGTGTAAAGATAATGTCAATCAATTTTTCATACTTTTTCTTTCTTTCTTTCTTTTAGCCTCCTAAGGTCAAGTGTCATACGAAAATTTGGCATCCGAATATCAACGAAACCGGAGAAGTTTGTTTATCTCTCTTACGGGAGGTATCTGTTGATGGAATGGGCTGGGCACCTACGCGCAGTTTGACTGATGTTGTTTTAGGGCTTAACTCGCTCTTTAATGTAAATGTAAGTAAATTTTTTTAAAGGATTGTTATTTGTATTTATTTAACGCTCAGCATATTTTCAAACAAACATTAAAAATCAATACTTTGGTAAAAATTTTTAATTTTCTTCATAACAGGATCTGGTCAATTTTAATGATCCGCTAAATACTAATGCTGCTGATCAGTATCATAGGGATAAGGATGAATTTACCAAAGTTGCAAGAGATTACGTCCATCGTTTTGCTAAGAAACGATGACATTCTTCTAAAGTGAAGTTTCTTTTCTTCTGGGCACTTTATAACAATATTGACTCTAAATTAAAATTTTTCTGGTGCGAAAAGTTGAAAAATATTTATGATGTAGAAAATGTAAAACTCGTATATACATAATATATATATACGTATGTTATGTATATAAGTTTATTCATTTATGCATTGATATATCTTTTTATGTATTAAAATTTTTATGATATATGTATGTATGTTTGTATGTACATGTATGGTATTCAAAACCAGTTTTAAGAACTTCTGGATAAATCTCAACTTATTTACATCTTAAAAAAGGAAATGGCTTTTTTTTAAAGACTTTCTATATACATATTTAGTTTGAACTTATTTACCTTTGATAGTAATATTTAATAGAATCATTGTTTAAAAAAACAAGAATTATTTTTCTCCAAAAAGATTCAATGAAGATATGAGATTGTATTTTTACAAAAGAAGCAAAAAATTTTCCTTTTTAGCCTAAACTTAAACAAAGTAAAATAGAATATTTAAATAGATCATTTGTTTCTTTTTAACATCACAATATATTTAAGGCACCTGAAAAAAAATATCCAGATAGACCAAGTGATGGCGTCAGAAGAAATACGATTTTTTTTCTTTTTCCATAACATTTACTTTTTAATTAGTAATTTTCCCTTTTTCTCTTTCCTTACTATTGAATTTATTCTGTGTGTTTTGTCTTTCTTTTCCCTGCAATCTCCTTCTCGTTTGACTTTTCACCATCTTCCAAGTGTACAGTTAAAAAACAAAACAAGACTTGTTCAATAACTTTAACGCGAAAGAAAAACATCAAAGTAATAAAAAATAAAAGGGAAATAAATTAAAGAATTTCTCTCTTAACATTAACATTATTTTCCTTTCTTTACATCTGATTAAAAAACAGGCTCAATGCACAACAGAAACAAAAGACAATTGAATGTTTGTTTCTTTCTTTTAAAAGGCGTGTAAAATTTACAGAATATTGATTGCATAACAATAATAATAATAATAATAATAGTAACATTATCAACTAAAATCATAGTTTTTTCCATTTTGCTTTTACATCACATTTTTTCCACGAGAAAAAAAAGGCACAAATCGAGATGTATATGTATTTATATATATATATAAAAAGCACCTATTTCTATCTAACTGGTCGCGAATAAAGTTTCATCTCAACATTTTTTCGAGATGCGGTCTCCGAAGCACCAGCTCCAATTTATTCTGTTTCCAATTTACTGATTGTTGCGTCTAATTCGTCGCTTAAACCTTGAAGCATATCGTCGAGTTCGTTCAGGATATTTGGACATTCGAAAGCCCCCTCGGCGCTTGGCTTTTCAAGATGAGATTTTTGTCTGATAGTTCCGACATTTTCGTTTGCGAAATGTAAGTACTCATTACTGGCCACAACATCTTCGTAATGTGTAACAGCGACACTATGAGCTTGGAGGGAAGGTGTTGGTAATATTTTAGGAGGGAGAGTGGATTTATGAGGTCTAGGAAGACTAGAAAAATGCACTTCCTTCTTCTTAGTGTGTTCTATATCGTCTACGCTAGGTAACTTAGGTGGACTGACTGGCTTAACTCTCATAGATGTTCTCATACTGTTCGTTCTCCTAGGTGGAGGTGGAGGCGTTTTGTTTCTCCTTACTTGTACATTAGACATTTTACTAAATGTACTTTTATTTCTTCTAGCTAAGGTTCCACTATATGCAACATCCTCCGAGTCCATTTGAATTGGTAATGACTTATCAGCGCTCGGGGATACTTGTATGGCAACAACGTCAGGACTCTGAATAGTTTCATCTAATGGCTGGTTATCTTGTTTTAGCCTCCTTAATTTTTGAACGGCTAAAAGTAGCTTCTTTTGATGGCCCAACTTCGTTATACCAACCTCTTCCAAGTCCTCAAAAGTAATTTCAGTTAAACTATCGACTGAATTATAACCTTGAGATTTCAATAGCGTATCGTATTCTATAAGGTTTAAACAACCCAAAAATGTAGATATAGAATCTGGAATAAAATTCGGTAGCAGGTCGGGAAAATGCAATCTACTGATTTCAGATTTTAGCTTTTTCAAATGACTTGATTTTTGAATACCCAAAGCGTTAACGTCAGACGGAGTCATCTTTGAAACTGTGGGTAGATCGTAGCCGGAGTTCAAAAATACGGATGAATATTCGGCAAGCTGCATCTGATGTAGCCAGGCGGTTAATAGCTGAGGATCAGTTGGTTTAAGACCTTCCTTAAGTCGGTCGTGAATAAAAGTAGCTGGCTCTATTTCGCTTAGAGATCTAAGCGAGGAAGAGGATGATGAATGCATACTGACGCCCGATTCGGCGCTAGATAGAGAGTGGGAGGATAGTCTGTTCGGGGTATGTTGAGGTGATATTCCGCTATCCCTATCAGCATCTTTAGCGGTTGTTACTGGTGGCGGAGGAAATTCTGAGTCGGTTCCAAACGTGACGTAAGGTCGATTTGGTAAAACATCGGGCGGATCGTCGCCCGTGAATAAACACCTGACGCCCCTATATAAATTATTAGATTTGTGCAGCTGTTCAACGAGTTGAGCTGCTGTTTGACCAAAGGAATTAGTAGCTTCCAAATCGACTCCTCGATGCATTAGCATTTTCGCCACATTCGGCTTATTAGATAAGACAGCCTCGTGGAGAGCCGTACCTGACGCAGTTCTTCTATTTATATCCACAATGCCGGAATCTAATAGGCACTTAACAACGTCGACGTGACCGTGGTGGGCGGCTCGATGAAGAGGAGTAGTGCAATAATAATCTTGCGGGTTACTTATTAATTGACTGGAACAAGAGGATATTAAAACTTGAACAACTGGCGTTCTTCCTTTTTCACAAGCACAATCGAACGGAGTTTTTTGTTGTTGATCCCTGATATTTACATCTCCTCCGTGTTCTAAGAGCATCTTTACAACAACACTATGCCCATGACCACAAGCAAAGTGAAGTGGTGTTTGACCAAAACCATCGCAGTCATTCGGGGAAGCCTTATTCTATAGTAGATAAAAAAGAGAGAGGGAATGTAAACAACATTGTTACCACAAAGAATGCTATTTTTCTTTAGTCAGCCTATAAAGAATTACTCATCACTCATGGAATATTTATCGTACGAATGGGAGGAAGTAAGTGGTGCTATTGAGAAAGAATGATACGCAAATTGCACAATAGCATTTTTCTATCATTAAATAGACTAAAGGAATTTGGGATAAGATATAAAAAAATTCTGTATTCTAGTAGAAAGAGAGAGAGAGAGAGAGAGAAAGAAAGAAAAGAAGAAAAAAACAAAAAGACTAGCGAAAAAAATATAAAAGCGTTAAACGACTTAAAAATAAATAATAATAATTAGGAATGCTTCATTAGGCATTTCTAATCGTAAGCTTTTAAGGGCTTGAGAGGGTTATTAAAAGAATATAACAATCGTATTTCTAACTCAAAGGGATCGAAAATAGGTTTTTACAGCATTGATTATCGGTAATTGGAAAAAGTTAATTAACCAAACTCGAATAAAACTTATAGGATAATAATGATTATATTTACGTATCGAGTAGGTAAACGTATTGACACCGTGAATTTTTGTGAAAATAATAAATATTTCGTACTTTTTCTCTTTAATTAATATTTAATTTCTTTTTATATTAGAAATAAAATCAAAATTATGCGAAATCACCTCAAATATTTTTAAAATAACTTGTACACAATAATCGTACAAAAGGAAAGAAATAAGGAACTCTTTTATAATTCTAATCGTTTTCTTTAACTTGAATTTACGACCCTGGAGTAATCGTGTTTTGGCCGACAAGTACCTGCTATATATTACCCTTCTACGTGAAATGGTTTAAATTGAAGATAAACTTTATCCCATTTCTCTTTATCATAAGCCAACTTAATTATCTAGTATTATATTAACATAGAAAGAACTTGCCCCTCCCCTTTAATAACATTAATATTCTATTATTGTTATTATTCGAAAATTTTTAAATAGTTAAACAGCAATAGCAATAATAAGCAATATATAAATCATCGCGTCTTATAAGCGTATATAAGCCTATAAATAAAAGAATACGCACAGAAAAAATTCAGATATAGAGCCGTTATTTTAAGTTCGTTCCAAAAGTAGATTTGATAATAAGAGAGCACGTGTTTAAAAAACAATAAAAAACAACTACTAGTAAGTTGGATATAGAAAGAAAAAGAGAGACAGACAGAGAGGGAGAGAGAGAGACTCATTGTTCTTGTCTGATAAAAATCAATTTTTTATTACTTGTATTCTGATTATAAAATTGAAAATAAAATTCCTTTTAGGCATTTTTTTTCTTTATCTATATCGGTCGTACCGTTATCCTTTTGTCTTTTGTTTCTTGTACTAATTCTACAATCCGTAAAATTCTCTCCCTCTACGTCATCTCTATTTTTGACTAATAATAACTTCCTATTACGTAATAATTATAAATAAACAATATTTCCCCTCCCAAACCCCTATTGTACAACAATCTCTCACATTTTTCTCCTCTATTTTCATTCTGATTGCCAAAGTTTATCGCAACTTTTTGCCGTGTCTAGAGGTTAAGTAAATTTTTTTTTTTCAACTATTATAGGCCTAATTAAAAATGAAAAGATTATTTTTTCTTCTTGTTTACTATTTTCTAATTCGGATAGAGAGAGAGATAGATAGATAGATGCGCGATAGGCAGGCAGAGAGATATAGAATGCGTGAAGAAATAATAGCAGACAGATAGAAAAAAACAGAAATAGAGAACGAAATTAAGTCGTTCTCTAGATATCGTCGTTTTAAAATTTTTTTTCTTTCTTGTTTTTTGGGCCTACAACCAACTCGAGTAAATACAAATAATAAAGAGTATTTAATAATAAACAATATAAAAGTGGAGCAGATTGTTAAACACTATTCGGGATAGACAGTAGTTAAAAATAAGTTACATTTTACAGGCCATCCTACGACGACATTTTGTAATAATTAAGGGCTATAAATCTTTAGCACTTGAGCTTTTGAATCTTCTTATGGGCCACACAACACACTCAACGAAATGCTCTGTTAATTCTTAGCCTTCTACTAGGATTTATAGAAAACAGAAAGAGAAAATTTCTTCAAAGGTCGCAATTCGTTACGTAAACCTAGAAAGATAAGGTCGGAATAGCAGAATGGAAAATGAAATGTAGGCAGACCCGGGAATAATTTCTGCCAATAGATTACCTCTTTGAATAAATAGAAAGAATACTTGGCTAGAATAACAGATTAGTAAAGAAATAATACTAATCAATAAAGGAATTCTTTTAAGTCCTTTAATACGCTTTTAGGTAAAATTCGGTAAGGAGAGATTATTTAACAAGGTTTTCTATTCCGAATGTATATACATTTTCATATTAAAAACAACCTATTTTCTATTTTACTCAATTCCCTTCTCTACTATTCGTAGAGAGCAAATTTTTCCATAAGGCAACCTCAAATACAAGATATATCAAAATAGTAAAGTAAACTTGATAGGGTTAACGTTCGGCCAAAAAAGAAAACATCAACGGGTAACGGGTTAAAGGGAAAGGGGGGGAGGGAAAATGAAAAATAAGAGTTTTGAATGGAGACAAAGAAGAGTTAAATTTCGCTCTATTCAATATTTAACCAATAGATGATAAATAGGTGACGATTTGATGGATAGATGAGAAGAGACAAGTTAGAAGTTAAAGGCGCGCAAAATGACAGATATCACTCTTTTCAATACTATCTTCCTGAGAGACAGGAATACTACATACAACTTTCAAACTTGTATTAATCCGTCAAAGTGAAAAAAAAAAACACGGCTTTTGTCGTTTTCTTTTCAAGAGAAATTCCTAAGAAAGGCGTGACCAATTTCTTAAAAAGTCGGAAGTTGAAAAAAATCAAAAAATAACGAAGATAAAAAAGAAAAAGAAGGGAAAAAATAATAATAATAAAACAAAAAGGTTAACGCCGGAAGACGGATTATAGGCCTATCATAGGAGAAGGTACTTGAGAGTAAATTCAACGTTGGAGGGGAAAGTTTTTTAGCCGAATGTAAATAAAGCTGCGGTTTTTTTTATTTACCTTTAAAAGAACGTCGACTGGCTCGATTCTGCCTTGCCAACAAGCGAAATGCAACGGGCGTCTACCACTACTATCGCACACTGAAGCCGACGCTTGAGCATCCAAAAGTATTTTCATAATATTGACATTGCCAACCAAAGTGGCCTGATGGAGAGCCGACATCCCATCTCCGTCCTGATAATCGACATTAACCCTTTTCGATTCTGTTTAGAAGCGAATAATAAATTTTTTATGCGTCAAAAAAATGCATATAAGCAAACAAAAGTCTTACTTTTCCCTTTCTGTTTGTTGATGAGTAATTTTTTTGTCGTCTGCTCGTCCTGAGCCTTTACGGCTATTACTAATTCTCTCTCCTTCGTCATCTGATAAGAAACAACTAATCAAATGTTTCGTTCACAAAACACAATTTACTGGAAAATCGATGGATTTATTGATAGAACACGTTTTTATTAGGACATTTCCATTCTCTCTTTCTCTCGTTCACTTACTCTAAATCTTTTCTCTTTATCCCTCTCGTACGCCGCAGCCGGCCAATAGCTGTTTCTTTCTTTATTTTATAGCCTACAAAGTGCCTGCACACTTGAAGAGAACACGGTTGGATAACATAGAAAACGGTCTTATTGGCGAGATAAAGGGTCCCAAGAGTCGTTTATTTTACAGTTTATTATGTGTACATTCATTTTTCCTTTCTTTATACAATATATTATAGCGAAATAAAGGAAAAGAAGATAATAGAATAGAAGGTCTTTGCTTCCTAGTCTTATAGCTAAGAAAACCCCATACGATGTTTTCTTTATACATTTGTTGAAGAAGAAACAGATTCCCGGAAATTATTTATTTCAGGGTGATAGAGTGCAATTGGCTTACAGCAATATTTAACTTTGTTATATAAACTAAGTTAGTTGTACTTTAGGTTAAAGGCAAGGTGTAGTTTATATATCGGGTATTAAAAAAACTACAAGAAATTTGAGATGGTATTCAAAGTAGTTTTCGAGTGGATTAATACATATAAAGCAAATAAAAAACTTGACTGTTAGAGAGAAGAGAGAAAGAGAATGGAGCAGCTGATCTCTCTTTCTTTTTTTTACCAATATTATCCATTATTAAACGATAAGAGAAAAATATTGATAAGAGAATTAGGTTGACAAGGCGAAATTTTAAAAACTTTACGTACATATACACAGGTACGGATCTAGGCAGTTATTTTTTTTTTTGTTAAGGTAAGGCACGCAAGAACTTAATAATGAAGTAGGAGGAAAAAGAAATACAATGTGTTATCGAACTTTCTGTCCTTCTACTTCTTTTCAAGTGGACCGTGATTAAAGGTCCTTTTTTCGCGCCCTCTTCTACCCCAGGGGTGCGGTCAGCCTTCAATTTTCTTCTTTCATTGTAAAAGTGTACAAATTACTTACACATTCCTCAACTATTCATCTTCTAGTAAATAGCAATTAAAAAGCGCAAGAGAGTAAAGAGAAGCGGAATCAAGTGTGAGAGAACTATTCACGGCGATAGAAAAATAGGAGAGAATGAGTAAGATAGAGATAATAATAACATGTGCAACAAAAGGAAAAGTTGACCAAGAGAATATTGCAGCAGGTTATAAGCCGATTTCTTTAGGATTAACTTTGTTTTTTTTTATTTCTACCTGCTTTTCTTGAAAAGAGATATACGAACCAGAAGAAAACACTTGCAAATCATCTGGAAATATCATTTATACGTACTCTCTTCTATTACGTATTACTTTTTTTTCTTTTTTTTTTTGTATATAATAGTTTTTATCTCTCTGCCAGATCGAAACGCCCAATCATCAATTGACGACATGTTTTTTATTGTTGATACTTTTTTTTTTTTGCCAAATTTTCCGTTTATGTTTATCAGTGGACAATTATTTGATGCGTCAATATTATACAGCTTATCAAACGTTGCGATAAGCACATTTTAAGAAGAGAAAGAGAGCGAACGAGAGAGCAATGAGTAAAACTATTTTCGATCGATTGAAAGCTCATTATAGACGCGTTTTAAAGGGCTATTTTTGACAGCTTTTTACCCATTAATCGGCATCAAAAGGCACCTTGAAAGGTTTTAGAGAGTTTCTAACCTGTTTTATCGCTTTAATGAAATCCAGCTACGTGTTTTCCCATATATTTTCTTTTAACTCTCTTTTTCTCTCTCCCTCTCTCTCTCTCAATCTTCCTATATCTATCTAACCTTTTTTATATGGAGCACACAAATATATCTATAGCGTTGATATAAATATATAAAAGTTATCCAACAAGTTTTTTACGCATTAACAGTTTCCTCTTTTCGCGAAGAATCACTTATACATAATTTATATTTATAATGATAATTCTCTTTTAAAAGATATGCGTGACATTGTTGCTTTACTATTTAATGAATTGAACAAATATAACGTACTCTGGTAAAGCAGGTTAATTGAAATTTTATGACATTCGAAACATTTATACCAAGTCAAGAGAGAAGAAGAATGATAAATTTTTAAAAGTATTTTAACAAATAGGAACTTTTAACGTTCTAAATTGATTGAATATAAGATTTCTACAAGAATTGAATAAAGCTGATATTTTCAAGGCTCTTGAAATTCGAATACACTAATAGTCGATGCCTTTAAAGAGTAAAAAAAAAAGTAAAAAAAATTTTTCTTCTTTCTATTATAACAATATTTTCTTTGAAGAGAGTGAGGAGAGATAGACGGACAGACAGACAGACAGAGAGAGAGAGAGAGAGAGAGAGACAGAAAAAGAGAGAAAAAAGCGTAGCGCTCCACAAATTCATGTACATAGACTACGTGTGAGAGATCACTTATATTGAACATTGTAGTTAGTTAACCGGTTATCATAATGCAGCTATTGTTATATTACAATATCAATTTTAATTATTTATCTTTATATCTTTAACTAATTAAGCCTGTTTTATGTTTCCATTAGGTATGAATAATTAGATTGTTGCCAGCTAATAAGATAATTATTATCTAATGTTATGTAAACAGTACTTTCAGCGGGTTTAATAGTCGTTAGTCATTTCTCGTTGATCTTTAACCGTTCAAACAATGAACAAGTTTTTTTGTTTTGTTATATCATTGAACGGAGGTAATAATAGATGAGAGTAGGGTGTTTATAATTTAAAGTTCTAGGATTATTTCCTATAAACCTCCTAGCCTACTTATTTTATTATCTGATAACATCGGTACTTCGTAATTCAACGCATATGTTCCTTACATAATGCAAATTTCACATGGTATAAATAATATACAAGCTCATAAATCCTACTGAATGTATGAACGCCGCAGCATATATATATCTATCACAAACATATACACACACACACATATATATATATATATATATATATATATATATATATATTTATCTATATCGCTTTAATCAGTCGGTGTAAAAAATCTCACGGTGACAACACGACGAGTTCACAGGCTTAGCCGAACGTGTTAAATATTGAATTGTTAATTTATCTTACAATCATACTTTTTCTAATTTATAGTATTAGTTATGTATATTTTTTAAAATTACTTACATTATTATCTTGCCGCCAAATTAACGACAGTTTTCGTTACAAAGCGTAAAGTCGGATGTTTTCATCCTCCTTCTAATCCTTAATAGTGGTCCCGCATGGAATAAGCAAAACAAACTAAACTCCGCATATAATATATCTATATTACAAAAAATTTTGTTTATTGTGCGAGATTTAACTTAATAATATACTCAACTTAAAAAAAATGCACAAACTTAAAAATGTTGACTCGAAAAATAAATGCGATACTTCTACCCAATACACCTTAACCGGCCACGTCCACTTCCGGAAGTGTAACCAACGTTGGCAAAGATGAATATTTTTCGACTAGTAGGTGATTTATCGCATCTTCTTGCGATTATCCTGCTCCTAATTAAAATATGGAAAACCCGCTCTTGTGCAGGTAAGTTGATTATTGATTTTGTCAGGAATCTGATCAATGAAGATAATTCCTTCTTTCAGGTTTATCAGGAAAAAGTCAAATAATGTTTGCCGTTGTATTCTCAACACGGTATTTGGACTTGTTCACAAACTTTATATCGGCTTACAATACGATTATGAAAATAATTTTCATCGCTTCATCTTTCGCTACTATTTTCCTCATGTACTCCAAATTTAAGGCTACCTACGATTCCAATCATGATACACTTAGATTGGAGTTTCTCATGGTTCCCGTTGCGGGTCTCGCTTTGCTGATTAATCACGACTTTTCTCCTTTAGAAGTAAGTAAAAGAGATAATAATAATAATGAAGATATAGTGTAAAGCTTGTGAGGATATAAGCGTTGATAGAATCAGCGTTAGGGTTTTATTTATTTGCAATAGAAAATCTTAGTATACACACTATTGTAAATTTACTAAAATCAAAGCGATTGCAATAATGGTTAATGTTGAAAACAGAAAAAATGCTGTTGATTTCCCAACTAAACGTTTTGACATAACATTAAGATAATGTTAAGAAGAAGCGTTATTAGCAAATTAAAAAGAGCTAGTAGAAAGATCAGAAGAACGTTAGTAAAAATCGGCTATATTTTATATTTACTATGTATATAATAATGTATAGAAATGAAAAAATAAGAAAATTTGTTATTTTTCAAGCAAATGATAGCTTTTAAAACATATCAGAATGTTCTATGCACTGCTAGCATAGGCATAAGTACACGCACACACACACACATATTGCATTTAAATATATTTATTAAAAATCAATTATTATTTAGATTTCTTTTTGAGAAAAGTCATAAAAAGATACAGACTTTAAGAAATACCGTTTTACTATTATTATAATGTTTCATGATATTAACCACAAATCTCCCCCTCCCCCCTCCCCTGTTAATGTTATATTCATATTAAAACTCAATAAGGTTTACTAATAATTTTTACTTGTTTAGAGCGATTTTAAACACGTCGTTGTTTTAAGTAGATACTCAAACATCCTATATAAAGACACCAATGTATTCTTTTGCATATAGAAAAATAAGAGTATCTCTCTACGTAAATAGGTACAATTAGTTTATTTGATAGTGTGTGTATGTCGCAATATTGTTTATTAGTGACCTTGATATCTTATTTCTTTTTTTACACTAAAGATTTCTAAAGATACGATAACGCCGAACAAGAAATAAACAAACAATAATAGTCGTAGATTTTCTTCCTAGACCGAGTTCAAGAAACCGATAACTTATTATTCCCATGTAAATGAAATTTGAGTTATTATTGATAAATAGAATTTTTACACGTCTTTAATTGCGTTAAACAAATAGAAAAAGAAGAGAAATATGTTTTTTTTTATTTTTTAAAATTACTCTATTGATTTTATATATAAGAAAGACTTTACACGTGTAGACGAAGAAGAATATACAATTCTATGTATCTCGTTACAGAATTTATCAATAAATTCAAAAGTCTTTTAAAAGAATAAATCAACTCTTACTTATTCTTTTTTATTCTTTTCTCCCTAGATTCTTTGGACTTTTTCGATTTATCTTGAAGCTCTTGCTATTTTACCGCAATTGTTTATGATTAGTAAAACCGGAGAAGCGGAAACGATTACATCTCATTATTTGTTCGCCTTGGGTTCATACAGAGCGTTGTACATTTTGAATTGGCTATATCGCTACTACTTTGAAGGGCATTTTGACTACATTGCAATTGTTGCTGGTTGTGTACAAACTGTTTTGTATTGCGATTTCTTCTATCTTTACATAACTAAAGGTAAGAAAAATATGAAGATTTATCGCATTTTGAGTTTAAGCGGTTGAATTGATTCTGGAAACTTTTTAATGAAAAGTCTTGATTCTTTTGAAAAGGAGGAAATTTTATTAATTGCAAGTTCAATCTGTAAATGAATACCTTGCAGCCTTAATCAAAAGTTTTCAATATGCTCTAGACAGAATTATTAAATAAAGCTAAGTAAATTTTCGCCATATGCCTGCTTTGCGATATTTGAACAATCATAGATAGGCAAATAGTGAAAAAATTTACGTTTTATATACACACACATATATATATATATATATATATATATATATAGCTTTTCTATTTATTTTTACTGGCATTTAACGCACAATCTCTTTCTTTTATTCAACAGTTTGGAAAGGAAAGAAGCTAACTTTACCAGCATAGAAATCTTGAAACATAACTGAACATTGTTTTGAATGAAAGGTTTGTGTGCTTTTCTTTTCTATAAAGCAAATGAGTATGGTCTGTTTAGTACAAAATGATTGTTCATAGTTGTACACATAGGCTTTTTTATTTATCTTATATTTTGGTGAAGCTGAATAAATTAAAAAAAAAAATAATAGTTTGTTGAATAAAGCATTCGCTCGTCTCATTTAGACTAACAATTAAAATTTAAAGGTAGAATATTATATTAAATATAGAAGTAAAAATAATATTATTCATATTAATATATAAAAATACTTGTTGATATATAGAGTATTTATGTTCATACCATAAACACATACGCATATATATACATTTATATTTATTCACTTGTTTATTTATCATGTATATGTGTAATGTGTGTACAAGAAGCATATAATTACCAGTTTGAATTTCCTAGCTATTTCTAACTTACATAAAGGATGTTATTATTTTGGTTATATTTAAATGAAATAATACAAAAACAACTTAAAAATATAATGAAACGAGTCAGTTTTTAATTAGTATTAAACATTCATCAAAAAAAATATTGAATAATATGCTCTTCATAATGGAAGTCAACATATTGTGCCCTAATTGATTATTCTTATTGCAGAATCGAACAAAACTAAGCAGTTCTACAATCCAAATGACTTAAAATCATTCTATTTCATAGCCCTCGATAACTTCTGGCAATTCGCAATAGGAATTTAAAAATTTTCCATATGTTACCTACTTTCTGTTAAAAAAAAATAGCTATTAAAAAATTTTACTTGTGAAGACTATGATAAAGAATTGTCCATAAGCTTGTCTCAGCTGTTTCATTTGGAATTTATGTTATCGAGATTTCTGTTTAGGAATAAAATTATTTTGGTAACGCTTTTTGTCATTTTAATTGAATTTTTACGTATTTTTCCCGTCAATCGTTTAGGTTATAGGTGGGGATAGAGAAATATTTGAAACTTTTCCCACGTCGTCCTACTTTAGCTAATTTAAATGCAAATTTTAAAAAGGATGGTGAATAGAAGGTTCATCAGATAAATTTCACAACTGGAATGCTTTCTAAGAATAGAAAATTTTCTCCTTAGATCAATCTGCTTTCTCGTTTAACTAAACTGATCGAAGGATGAGTTCGGTTGGTGGCGACCTCTTCTGTCATAACGAATAGGAAAGAGTAGCAGAATTTTGTTTTATAATTCGCATTTTTCCGTAGCCCGAATCGTTGCCAAATGATAAATCTTATTAACAAGGCAAAAGAAAAGAAACTACTTTATTTTCCTCCCCTCCCTCCGCCCCCTCTTTTTTCGGTTTTCTAGTATATATTATGTCGTGCGGAATGGCCTCTTATAGAAAATATATAGCGTTGAAAGTTCATCTCGCAATCGAGTAACTATTCAACAGAAACAAACGTATATACAGTATATATATATATATAATAATATATCTATTTATTGATTTATAATTAGTTTAAGAGGAATAAAAGAAAGAAAAAAATTAAAATACCATCAACAAGCTTACGGCATCGATCTGTTAGTTGAAGGTGGAAAACAGTTGAAGGAATTTAAAAGGAAATGCATATATATGCAATTAATTATAGACTTGCATCGGGTTTCTTTCTTGTTCAAATTTTTTTGCCCTTTGTAAGGTAAACTATGCCTTAATGGTGGTCTGTTAGGTTAATTTAATCTTAAAAGATCAATGAAATCAAGGAATAGATGGCATGAAAGGTTAATCTTACTATTAACGAACTTTGTCGTCTTGTCCTTTTATAAGAACAGAACTAACAAAAAGGACAATAGTTTACCAGATTACTGACGTTCTTTAATGTGAAGCGATTATAGATTATGGCAAAAAGGGGAAAGGGGAAGGGAGGGGGAGGCAGCAGAGAGAAAGGGGTGTTTAAATCAATTTTAATATCCAATTCTAGTTCCAATTTTTTTATACCTTTTCAATTTTTTGTGAAGGATTACGTAACAGCTATCGTATTGTCTAAAACACAATCCCTATAATACTTGGATGTCGTCTCTTGTTACTTCGGTCTTGTTAAAAGGAAATGTGATTTTCTTTTCCTTTTCTCCCCAACGCCCATTTTGCCTATTGTACAAAAGAAAAGTCAAAAGTTTAAAGTAATTAACTATAAAATGAACTTTTCTCTTTATCTTGACTGTGTCTTTTCCTTTTGCCTGTTCATCGTCTCTTCCTTCTTCTTAACAGACATTTAAAAATATGGAGCAAGTTTTGAGAGTAATTTAATATATATGTATATGCAGTATATATACTGTATTCAGTAAAGATGTTTATTAACATCTTTATTATTGCTGTCGTCGTTATCGATATTAATAATTTATAAAGAGTTATAGGCTTTCATAATATTTTTCCTGCAGAGAAACAATTTATCATTGGCGGTAAATATTTTTACGTTTACCTTTTTGCTGTATTATTTATTTCGTGAGATTTACGTTAGACAGATAAGAAATCCTAGATGAGACCGATGAAAGACAACGTCATTTGGTTAAAATTGCTGAAAGTGTAACATATTTTTAGTTGTTGATGATGGTAATGAGAGTAAGGTTTACCTTATTTCCATTCTAGACTTTTTCAAGTTTTATATTAGGAAGACTATGTCGTAAGTAAGTGAATTCAGGAGAAGTAGAAGAAGAAGACGATAGCCTATAATCTACTCTCTCTTTTCTTTTGTCAGAATAAAAACAGAGTCTGAAAGAGAGAAAACATGAAAATTTCACACAAACTAGAGGTTGATGTTCACTTTTTGTTTCTTTTTTTTTTATTTTTGTACAAACGCAAACGTAGCATTTATTGTCTTTAGGCTGGCGTGAAGTCGTTTTCGTTCTAATTTCGATTTTTTACAAGAGCATAATTCGCTAGGAAATTGGCAATTTGCAGTTTGATATAAATTTCACTAAGTCACATGACTTTGATTTTTCGTAGCGTCTCTTTTTTTTTTTTTTTTTTTTTCCCTTTTTTTTATAGAAAATATAGAAAACAACAAAAAGAAAGGAAGTAGAAAAAGGAGAAAAGCCTAACTAATGAACAAAGGAAACAGAGTGGAGAGTTAGAGGTCACGAATAGGTAAATTAAACGAAAATGATTGGTACAATTATACAAGTCCATAGTATATATACAATTCAGTAGACGTATATGTTGTATAGTTTATATAGCTATATATATATATATATATATATAGATATATACATCTACGTGTTTTGTATATACTTAATTTATGAATGAAAGGAATACTAAACACTTTAATTGTTTTGTTTGAAAATTTCTTATGTCTTTTGTATTTCAAAAAACTCTGTTATTTTTTGTTTCTTTTTCCATTTCGTCAAAATGTAAAATACAGAAAAAATAAAGAAAACAAATATAATATATAAAAATTAACTAATTAATTAATTAATCGATTGGCTAATTAATTAATTAATCAATCAATCAATCATTTCATCACACGATTTTAGAAAATAAAAATATGAAAAGAGAAGAAAAAGAAGATTTGGTATCTTCTCTTTTTCTTTAAACAGAAGAAGAGAAGAGACATATTTAATATCGAGTATATGGCTAGGTACTGATGGCTTTTTACACAAGAAGGTGGGCGGAGGGGAAGGAGAGAGGAGGAAAAGAATTACACTCATTTTATTGTTAAAAGACAATATAAAAGGAACATTATATATATAGATAGATATATTAATATTCATATATGAAATTGTTTACATTATATTTATTAGTATCATTTTTTTTGTTTATACTTAATATAAATTTTTTTTATCAATTTATTATTTATAAACAAATTTTCAGCATGATGGCTCCTCACTTGGTAATGTTATTGAAATGTTTTCCATATAAAAATAACGTTACATATAATGGTTGGAAGTGTATAGTTCACAGATAAAATTTATTAGATTTATATGCTTTTCCCCTTTCAAGGTGTCGAGTTTTGAAGTCCTTAACAAACTATAATCACAAAATGATATATATGTATATCAGTTTAAAGAAAATATGTTTAACTAAAAATATAGAAATATCTTCTTTTTCCTATTTATACACTTATATATAAAATAAACAAAATTGTGATAAATTGCTCTTGTCTGCCTTTTTTTTCATCTTATTATTCAATTCTTTTCTCTTGTGAATGCATAACTTTTTTAATAAGAGAAATGAGAAAAAAAAAATGAACGGATGATGGATTGATGGATGGATGGATGGATGAATGAACGATAAAGAATTCTTTTTAAAGATCAAGTAAAAATAGCAAAAAAATGAATTTTTTTTTCAAAAGTGATAAATGGAGGGTTAAATCAAGTAAAATTTTATCTATGAATACAAAATAATTTACTCCCATCCATAACGCATAAATAATTTACGACAATCCCGTATAATATCACAAAATATAGCAATGCAAGAGATGTACAGTATGTATAGAAGAGAGAGAGAGAGAGAGAGAGAAGAATAGAATCTTTTTAAAACAAGCTCTGAGAGGTACTTAGCAAGTTTATCTCAACTTTCTCCGCAGCCAAACAGTAGCCTTTTAAAAGCTCTTCGAAATTCCACATTGAATATTGTATATATTATAGGATTTAAAAAACTATTTATGTATCCAAGCCAAACGAAGAAGCTGCAATAAAGAGAAACATTTTAATTGGACGCCTAGAATTGGGCCATCTAATGCTCACACTCCCAATACATATTGAATATTTATACATGCAAATAAAATATGTGATGTTACTTTCTTTTTTTTTTAAATTTGTCAAAAATTTGATTAATTACTTTCCGGCTATCCTATGCAAATGGAAAAAATCAAATTACCTGAACAGCATTTCGTCGATATTGCAGGCAGGATGGGAGTGGAATAAATTGTAACGAATACAAATGGCATTCATAATATTTATTGTAAAAAATGGTACCCAGCAGAATAAGAATACACCTGTAGATGGAAAAGAACAATTTAATTTTTAAATACTAGATTCTATTTATAAGTATGCCATTAGCATCATTGTCAGAAATGTACATAGACTAATTCCCATAGCTGATAATTCAATATCTTTCTTAATTGATAAACATAAGAATTGTTGACAAACTAGAGTTGCTTTTGTTTTTTTTTTTACTCTCTACCCATCCAGAATTTTGTATGTAATTTAACTTTTAAAAACTCTATTTCATTCAAGTAAGCAATAGCCTATAAATATTTTGCATAGTCACTAAGACTACAAGTTTATCTGTGAGAAATTTATGGCATGCGCAGACACACACAGATGTATACTGTATATACTAATATATATATATATATATATATATATATATATATATATATATATATAAATAAAGCATAGTTTATATTTATACATTTATTTTCTTAGAAACCCCTTACAGTGACCTACTAGTTAAGCAGACAGGAAAAAGAAACTTTTTCTCCCTCTAATTAAAACATTATTGATACTAATTAAAGAGATATTGATTTAATTAATTGTTTTCTTTCTCCTCTGCAAAAGAAAAACTTGTAGATATGTAAAATTGAGATAGGAAAAAATACAGCTGCGCATTTGAACAGGGAATTAATAATATTACAACGTTTTTAAAATATTTCTATTAACACTTTTAATTCATAAATGGGACTTTTAGGATTTGAATTTACACCTTTAATAAGATAATTGGCGTACAAACCACTTATCATTTGCTAATGTACATATTATATAGACAAAATAGAATAAGTCATCGCGTGCGAGAGCTTTTTGCAATTTATAAAAATAGATTATAGTAAATTAGTAAAAAGAATTTTCAAGAGGAAGCTAAAAATATAATAACAAGTCTCTGGAAGACAGTAAGGACTCGGGAGAAGCTGAAAGCTATGGCTAATTAGTTGGATGCATCCGATGATTATCAAATTAACTGCAGATGAACAACTTCAGGTAATAATTAAGGAAGGCTGACTCTTTCTCTCCTTTTGTACACGTATTGCTTAATGTCTTCATTTTTTGTTTATTTCGTATATCGTTCCCTGGATTTTTCATTATATTTATCTATACAGTATATTTCTCACATCATCAAGCCCATTTCCTTCTAGAACTCTCTCTGTCTCTGTCCCTGTATCTGTCTCTTTTTCCTCTCCTTCAACCACCCTTCAACATTTTATTCATGTAGAAGAATTCTATTGTATGGTACTGAAATGATGATTTTTCTTTTTCATCATTAACGGCTCTCCCTAGATGAAATATATACTCTACATATGCTGTATATACACTGTATATATTCAATATAAGGCTATATAATATAAATATATGATGCGATTTAAAATAAATAGAATACTAATGTCTATACAAGTCGGATCATTTGTAAGCATTAAATTAAGAAGTCAAATTAATGAAGATAGAAAGAGAAAAGTAGTATAAATTGGTATCACTTTGTGTTTCTACTATTCTTAGTTTCTCGTTCACTATTAACTCTTTTTCTTTTTCTCTTTCCCTTTTTCCCCATCCTCTCTCTCAATTTCATAAGCATACTATACTTTCCAAAGAAAATATTCCTGTTTGTTTGTTTAATGTAATTTTAAGATTGATGAGCGATAATAAATAAATAAATAAATCATTTAAATAGCTATAGAATTCAACTAATCGTATAGTTGAGAGAAATATTTGATCAGATGTTTTGTATATAATATATGGCGTATAGAGTGATATGTAATTATGTGTACTATTGGTAAATGAAATAATTACTTTTATATACTATATATATATATTATGTATATACTGCACATGTCTGATGAAAGAAGTGGAAGCTAGCCGGTACTAAATGAGCATCACGTAGAAGAGTAGTTATTACATTAAGTATTATATACTATCCTCAGGCTACTAGCGCAAAATAACTATGCATTCAACTGCTCTTTTACAATATAATCCTTATAGTATGTATATAATGGACTATGCTTAGAAAGACAGACTTTTCTTTTATAGTAGAATCGTGTTAAGAAAGAAAAGATATCGTACCTAAGACAATGGCTAGAGTTTTAGTTGCTTTTTTCTCCCGTTTATTTGCTGTTTTATCTTTCTTTCTCTTCTTACTATTACGTAAATGGAAGTTAAATTTAGTAACGCTCTTCCCGTTACTTTCTTCTCTAATAGGTTCCACATTGCTTTCTACCACCTCAATAATAGCTGGTGCCGAATAACCCCCTGACTTCTTCCTATCGTCCGTTTCTTCGCTGGGAGCCGATAAGGTACCGTCAGTATGCGGAACGGCGCCATCTGTCGTTGCATCTGTTCCATCGAACCTTTTAAGAGAGTGTGTCTCGGGTTTATTTTCTATAATTTTAGGTGTCCTATGATTACGGCGTTGTTTCTGAGCTCGAAGACGTATAACCCGAAATATTCGCCAGTATAGTATTATCATTATTATGCAGCTGTTTGTTAAATAAAAAACAAAGAATTAGTAAACAATCTGCAACCCATGGAAACCTATATCGTACTTTTGCGGTTGGCAAAGAATGATGTATATATATATATTCATATAGAGAATATGTTTTCTCTTAAGGACTAGCCTCCTCAAATCCTTGTATATATATACTAATATATATATATATATATATATTTCTTTTCTGTATGTACTGTAGAGTATATATCATTTACTCTAACATATGCTATACAAGTATACCTAAATCTCCTACTTTATCTTACTGCCTTTTCTTTTCTTTTCAGACTTTTTTTTTTATTCGCGTATGGAAACTATTAACTATCTCTGTATCTTCAATTTAAAGTAAAAGATTAAATATACAGTGAACTATGTAGAAAATTGGGAAATAGAGTATGCATAACGAACATAGGCTTAGATTGTAGAAAAATAAATTTAAAAAAAAAGGGCTTAGGTAAGAGCGGAAGGGAATGGAAAGAGAGAGGAGAAATATTGGAGATCGAGCAAAAGATAGATAGAAAGAGAGAGAGAGAGAGAGAGAGAGAGAGAGAGAGAGAGGGAGGGAGAGAGGGAGAAAGAGAAACCTTTTTTAAAACATTTATGAAACAAATCTATTTTAAAACTAATGAATATCCTTATTGATTAATTGCTCATTTAATCATATACTGGATATAGTCAGTCTGGTTTATATTTAAAATAACTTTTACTTTATTGTTCCTTTTTTTTTAAATGATAAAAGGCATTTTTTTGAATGATAAATGCTGCTTTCCTCTTATGACGTCATCTTTATTAAAAGCCGTAAATTCGTTCTTTTTTGTTATTTTTGGTTTTAATATTTTGTTGAAGAAAGCATCTTTATTCGAAATTTTTCTAATCTTTTAGATTTCTCTCTTCTATATTGTACAGATTGCTTTAAGGAGAGAAGCGATAAACAGAAAGAAGATTAATATACTTGTTTATATCAATGATAGAAAGAAAGAGAAGGGGAAGGGGAACGATAAGCAGAAAAAGACAGAATACAGTATTCTGTATATTACGTGTTAAAAAATTACAATACCAATCGTATTCTGTATAATTGTCTCATTGTATGCAATTAAATAAAGGAAAAGAAAGTAAAGTTCTTGAATTTCTTCCAAGTATAATGATAGAATATTAAGATAAAAGAAAAGAGAAAATGTTCTTTCATTAATAAATTAATCAAAAATTGCATTACTCAGCATAAACAATTAATGAAAGAAACAAGTATGAAAAAGAAAGAAAAGAAACACTCCTCAACTTAAAAAGGAAAATAAAGACATTAGTAAATAAATAGATAGATGGATGGATAGATAGATGGAGAGAAAGAAAGAAAGAGAGAAAGAATAAAGATATTCATTCATTAGTTGAATACTATAAAGAATATTAATTGCGCTAATTAAAATAAACCTCTCTTAGAGTTTATACGCTACTTTTCCGTTATATAAACACTGTAAGATATATTTATATATACTTCCTATTATATACTTAGTAGGAATACTTGGAAAAACTGGAAATCAACATAACCAAACGCTTATTAGAAAAGTAGAATCGATAAGCTTTGAAGTTTTTCAACATGGTTTACAGTTGTTATATAGAATAATTTTTTTTTTATGAAATATGTAATTTGCGTGAGCATCTACTTTCTTTCGGTTGTGTATTTTACTTTAGCATGAGAATGTGGAACGTCAAAGAATTTCCTAATTGAAGAATGAGCGATGCTAATAAAAATGAAAATATGTTTTGTATTTATGTATACTTAAGTAGTAATAGATTAAATAGTATACACTGTCTATACAATGTCTACTACTTGTATAATTAGTATTGTACTGCGTTTATGTATTGTATATAGTACAATGTTTGCGCTGAACGTGAGCGTATATGTGAAAATCTATTGCTTCTCTATGTACAAACAAACAATGTACGAGCGAGTGCGTGTGTATTTGTACTATATACAGTATATAGAGTATATATATATATATGTATATATACATCTGAACTTATCTAATGTTGTATTTTTGTAAATATTTAGACGATTTATCGTTACAAGTGCATTCTATTCCGGATTTTTACCTCTCTCTAATTAAAGAGAACGTATAGACTATATATATATACTGTATATATAAATATAGCTCTCTTCCGCCCATATATTTAGATTTAGATTCAATTCAATAAAGATGAAAAAAGAAAGTTTTTAGAGAAAAGAAGAGATAAGAATACTTACGGAATATAAAAACTACCCATGGACGAATAGATAAGAAAATCGGAATTGTAAAAAATGCAGTTTTCAGGCGTCTCCTTTCTTGCATTTGTATAATTCATGCCGCAAGCGATTGGAAGACTAATAGCTATTGATACTATCCAAACTAATATTAACATCCCTTTAACTCTGCCTGTTTAATAAGAAAAGAGATTTATGTTATTTAAATAAAGAGGAAAAGTTAACACAACTAAGACGGTCTAATTTATTTTTAACAAAACATCTATTTATTCCTTTCCTTCCTTCCTTTTTCTTTCATTCTTTATTCTTCTAACCATACCTTCACCTCCCGTCTCTCATTCCTATCTTTCAAATAGCAGTATCTAAGTCTACTTTAGTACTTCTTTCGTGCATATTTTTTGTTGTCAAATTTTAATTAGCCATACCAGTAGAATATTTAAAAGAGTAGGAAAAGGTGAAATCGCTGATGGCATGCGCACCCAATTCAATTTATTTACCGCTCATATAAATTTTACTTATTTTCGTGTACAGTATATTGTCGTCTCATGTTTAAGCCTAGTTAATTATCTCTTTTCTCTTCTTATTACTTTTTAGATACAATAAAAGGAGAGAGAGAGAGAGAGAGAGAGAGATGGACAGATGCCTACACAAATATAAGAGAAGATAGAGAGGGAGAACGAATTCATGGGAACTGTAGGGCAGAGGGATTAGGGAGTATAGCGAGGTAAAAGAAAAAAAGAGACGTTACCTGAGTATTAAACAGTATTATAATTGTTGTTAGTATATAGGTTTTTAAAGGAAATAGGTTGGGCGAAAATAATACACAAAACGCCTCTCTTTCTTATATTGGTATATATCACTTACAGTTCTGAAATAAAACATTACCTGCTATATAAAAAAAAGAAAAAACTGTATTGCCTGTCAGTGGCTTACGTTATAAATTGTAAAAATAAAATTGCAGTTGAGATCTGCAATTTTTTTCATTCTACTATAAAACTGAATCTTTTCTCTTTTTTGCTTTGGTTTTTATCCATAAATTATACTTTATCAAAGTACTAATTAAAGGGATAACTTTCTTAAAAATGAAAGTAGAATTAAGTATGTAAAGTTGATTATATCTTCCCGGATGGAAACAAATTACTTTCTAAAATGGCCTTTTGCTTCCACTTAACGGAAATCGAAGGGCAAAATTAAGTCAAATCTATATTGTAATGGGGTGTTTTTTAGTGTTTTGGTAAAAACTACCGATTATCATCTTTACAAGAGAATTTTATCCTTTCTTGTAAAATCTATGTAATCTATGGATAATTATTATCCTTGCGGCTTTAGTTGCTGTAAGCCCAACTGCTGGAACTTTTCATAACATTCTCTTTGCTATATTGCCCAAGGTTGTTAATTACGAATTCCTAAACGTTTTACGAGTAGCATCCGTTTCGCTACACTTCTCCAAAGGAAATAAGAAGTGAAAATTTAACGGAAGATATCACTTATAAGGAAAACATCTCTCATCTCCTTTTAACCAAGCGAAAACAGATAACAAAAAGAATATCTATACGTAAAATTAAACTAGCTCCACCTGGCGACGAGATAATTAATTTCCCTTTCCCTTTGGAGCTGGCTTCTTAAATGATATCGGTTGAACGCCCTAACGTGTTTAAGTTACAAGTTCATCATCTATTTTATAAAATCCAATTAATAAGAAGGAACTCGTTAGAAGATTCTGTTAGATTCTGTCGTTATAAAATACTGTTATATATCCTTTATCATACTCTTTGAGCTTTATTCATAATTTTTATTGTTCTACTTTTCATCATTTCTACTCCCGTCCTTCTCATCTCCCCTACGCTCTCTTTCTCTTACTTCTCGTGCACACATGCGACTGTATATATAATCTCTTGATGGAGTATTGAAGTAAAGAGGGCCTAGAATAAATAAACGCCGAAGGCTAACCCTTAATCAATGTAATACGATAACTTATTTCATTTAATTTACTTCAATTGCAATTGTACACGTTCTTACGCTTTTACTCGTAAGAAAAAATCTCTACGGGAGGGAGAGAACAAAGAGAGGTAGTAGAAAGGGAGGGGCAGTGGGAGGAGCAGGCAGAGAAGTAGGCAGATGAGGAATAAGGTATATAAATTAGATTGACAATTATATTGTAAGATAAAGAAAAGAGCAACAGGGTCAGAAACTTAGAGACATGAGAGAAGATGAAAAAGAAAGAAATAAAAGAGAAAGGAATGAGGACATGTATAATAATAGAATTATGTCTTGTCGAAAATTTTTCCTATTATCGGTTTTTAATTCTAAGAAGTATTTTAGTGGTAGCGTGTAAAAAGAAATCTATTTCCGGCTGTTAATGTTCTTTTTCTGCCAGACAGAACCTAGGTCCGTATCTTAAATTTGTAACGGACCAAGTATCTCTCCTCCTCCTCCTCCTCCTCCTCCTCTTTCTTTCAAAGAATCCCCTCTTGATACCAGCATTTGGCTTTAGATAGACAAAATTCCCATCTTTTATCCTTGAATTTTTTAACTATCTTTTCTAGTTTGATAAGAAAAGTATTGGGCTATCGGAGATGTATGATGTATACAGACGAGGAAAAATATTACGAGTTGGAGAAAGATATACAAAATAAAATAAAGTAAAAGATAGAAAGAGTGAGAGGAAGGAAGGAAGGGAGTGAGGGAGGGAGATAGATAGATAGATAAATAGAGAGAGAGAGAGAGAGAGAGAGAGAGACTAAGAGAGAGAGAATGGTAGCCGAAAATAACAAAATAAGAAAATGGTCAAGGATAGCCAGAGTGAGGATAAATTCTATTTTGTTTTTTCTTATCTACTGTTTCTCTTTAAGCAAAGACCATTCCATCCTATTACTTATCGATCACCGCGTGATGCAAAATGAATAAACTCGAAATATCTTCGCTTTTCTTAAAAGACTAATGATATTCTCATTAGTCTTGATTTACATCAATCAATGTCTCGTCCCACGTACAATACCCAAGACGAGAAGAAATTTCATAAAGTAAAAAATTATATGCCTATTCAACTTAACTTAACATGCAATGCGGATTTGTATGTTTTTCAAGATAGGATTGCTCTAGGGAAAATAAGGGAAACTTACGCCTCTTTACCCCTTCAACACTACTCTTGCTACTTCCTCCTAGTTTATTCATTTATAAATTCAAACATTCGTCATTTCGTAAATGATATCCGGTGTGCTTAGTACATTATGTATACATTATTAACTTCTTATATAAACTGGGCATGGTCAATACCGTAAGGTCATACTTAATTAATGCGCTTCATCGGAATCACTGGAATATGTCCAAGAGACAATAAATTAACGTTTTTGTAGGACTCTTAGAGGTCATGGGCCAAAAGACGCTTAGAATAATTACGAAATCGACACAATATTATTATTAATATAGCCTCTATTATTGTTTAAGTGCACCTTTTTCTTTTCAACTCGTTCCCTCCCACCTCCGTCTCTTTCTTTTTTGTTTTTTCTTTTTGCCTCGGCTCTTTTTTCCCACACACTCTCTCTCTTTCTCTCTTTCTCTCTTCTTCTTCTCCTTTGATAAGTAATTTTTTCCTATTAACAAAGGGATGGAAACTTTTTTGATTCAATCCTTGTTAATTGTTAGGAAATACTTTATCTCCTTATCATCTTATATAATATTAAACGATGTAATATCATTAAGAATTTCTTATCAAAGTAATAATTAACATTCCCAAGGGATTGGAAAATCTATTCAATTTAAATAGAATTTTAAAGGTTTAACTTCAAAAATATCTATTTAACTATGTAACTAATTTTTAGTTGAATTATATATGCGATATACTGTATATACTGTATATAGAACACCAGCGTTACTTCATTTTCTATGACCTGCCAAATTAGGAGGAAAAATTGAGCTATAACTAGTTTTAGAGGCTTTTTCTTTGATAAATTTTTGTGTGAAAAATATCCTCTTAATTTACTATTCGAATATTTTCACATCATTACTTTTCCTAAACACATTTAAACTTTTAATTAACTCTTTTTTTTACCCCTTTCTTTCTTTTTCTTAGTCGCTCACTCACTTACTCTCTCTCTCTCTCTCTCTCTCTCTCTCTCTCTCTCTTTTGCTCACACACACACACACACACCCCTATTCCTTCTTCCTTTCATTCAATCTCTTCTCTCGTCTCTAACCATCAATACACAGACCGTCTTAATTACGTAATATCATATCTATTATAAATACTAATTATGTTTAAAAATATTTCGTAATGAGGAAGGTAAATAGGAAAAAAATGGGGAAGAAAAGAATATTCCCCAGCAAAAACAAACGAACCAGAAGATTTGTGTCTGGCGTACTTGATAGGCTGAGTGACGGCGATGAATCGATCAACAGATATTGCAGTCAAATTGAGAATCGACGCCGTACAACCCATTACGTCCGTGGCAACCCAAGCGTCACAGAGTATGTCACCCAACTGCCACTTGTTGTTATTCACCTGTTCACCGGACGTTTCCAAACTAATTATACTTTCTCATAATAATATTGAATATATATGAATAAACTGTATGGATACATATATATATATATACTGTATATATGAAACTAAGAGTATCCTGTATATATATTAGTATATAAATATACTGTATATGTATGTTGAAATGTGTAAATTGCGTGCTTATCTGTATAATCTAGTATAAGAGTACACTATTGCTGTATGGTTGTAATGTCTGTTTTGTAAAACCTAAGTTTTTCAAAGTTACGTTCTGGGAAAGTATTTCAATATAAAATTACCTCAACGTAAACAGCAAGCGGCATTACACACATGGCAACGACAATATCGGCAATGGCTAGAGAGACTATAAAGTAGTTTGTCGCCGTCCTTAATTGGCGTTCCCTCTACAATTTCACATTTTTTTTATTAAAATATATTTTATTGCGAAATTTTCCACTTTTCTTTCAAGGATTCCCTCCTTAAGGACTTTTCTTTCTTTTTCCCTTTTTTCTTTCTTTTTAATAGTTTACTTTATTATATTTATAATTCAAATTTGATCTTTTTTCTTCCTAAGTTTAGCGAACAAGAATTAAAACACTACTGTATCTGTTTTTTGTATTGTAATGGCTTACTCTTTTTCTTTTCTCTCTATTTATCTATCTACATCCTCTCTCTTAATTCTATCTATCTCTTATCTCTCTCTCTCTCTGTCTCTCTCTGTCGCTCTCTCTCTCTCTCTCTCTCTCTCTCTCTCTCTCTCTCTCTCTTTATCCAACGTAACTGTTAGTTTGTTAGGAGGCTATGTTTTGCCACGTGACTTTTCTTTACTAACAATAATGGAGTAAGAAAATTACTAGGTAGATAGAGGTAGTACGCCTTCTATGTCAACTTTGTAGACTTATTAGACAAGTCGTTGACCCTTCTTCTATCTAGCAAGTAGGTCTGTATAAATGAAGCGATAAATGAAACTCTGATCTGGTGCATATTATTTAAAGCATATGAAATTCTCGTCAATTTATCATCGAGGAACATAAAAAAGGACGTTTTCTGATTCTTATTTAATTTACGAATATCACGTGATTTCTCCCTTGTATTTTTTGGCTTAGTTACATAGAGTTAATCCTTGAAGGAGAATGGAAATTCCTTGAGCAGTTATATTCTGTTTGAAACTTACGTAGACGCTTAAAACCACTAGCACGTTTCCAAATATGGTAAAAGCAGGAAAGAATAACAATAATAATTTAACAAGCGCCAAATCAGCTTCTCTGTTGTCTGTAGAATTCGTTGAGTAAGTAGAATTCGGCAAAAAGTCAAATAAGTCGCCATACAATTCGAAGCCTCGCCCAGTCGAATTCTCGTTCATTTCCGATCTTACGAATTAGCTTTTGTACTGGAATGAAAGTCGATTTGTTTGTCGTTGACGTACTTTTTTTTATTAGTTCGGCCTAGATGATATTTTATTAGTAGCGTAAAACGGTGATTGGTATAGGGGAATAAAATATTAGATCAAACTAGAAATACAGAATAAAGATGTTCAATCTTTAGTTGGATTTTCGAATATTCTTTATTAGTGATTTCATATTTTCTATGGATTTTTATCTATATTTACTGTCTATTCTCTATGTACTGCATTACAACTGTATGTAGGATACATCTATATAAACCTTTAGTACTATTCCGTTAATATTACAACTACTTTTTTCATTTGCTTGTCACACTCTGGCATTTGTTGTTGCAGACTGCAAAAAAATGTTTAATAGGCCGAAATGCAAGCATCTGGGAATTGGTCGTTACTATGACAAACTTTTGATATTTCGTACAATTTGTTAGGACAATTCTACGCACACATTCATTTTTTTTTCGTATTATGCCTTTTGTTATAAAGAAAACAAACCAAAAAGAAAAGAAAAAGAAATAGAACGCAAGCCAAATGTAATGATTCAGCAAGATTACCTTTTGTCTCTTTTTTTCTCTCTTTCTTATTTATTTATTAATTTTTCCTTATTTTTTATTTTCTTTTTGCCTTAACAATATAACAAAGGAAAAAAGAGAGGTGTGGTCAATCAGTAGAATATAGATAGAGAGGTGTGTTTATAGTAGATAAACTGGACCTATAGAAATATATGAATAAAATATGACAAAACTCCTATTGAATGGAGGACTTGTATATATAAATATATATATATATGTATATATATATATATATGAATTTGTATTAGAGAATGTTTACATTGTTACTAGAAAACATACACACGTATCTGTACATCAATCGCTTCCTTTCTATTACAACTTATACTCTATTTGCTGAAAATGGAAAAGTCAACTGCAAGAACTTGAAATAATTGGCACGAGATGAATGCTATATTATATGACAAACTGTCCAGTCAAACGTCCTAAATAATTATAATCAGATCAGTCATTCGTCCCAATATTTTTTACGATTGTCAAAAGAGTCTCAAATATTCCTGATGATACATTCCGCCTATTAATGATAACAGTAGTAGTTTATGTATGTAGATTTAACATTGGGTAAATGAAATTGCTCAAATATCACATTATAGCTTGTATTAAGTTAGATAATTTCTTTTTAAATCTTTAATTTATCAACTTTCATGTCATTTTACACTTACGTAATTAAAAATTACTAAAAAAGATGCACTAGCACGGTCAGCCTACCTTCGTAGGACGGACTGCTTCTGTTGTTTTGAACAGCCTGTTTCTTAGTTACGTCATATGTAAAAAAAAACAGTTTCGTGACGAATGGTTTTGTGTCTATTATAAATTAGATAATTAGTCAATTAATTAAATTATAGGCGTAATTTATTTCGGTCTTTTCATTTTTTTTTCTTTTACATAAAAAGGAAAAAAGTAAAGAGAAAAGAATTTAGGTCAATAGAAGAAAAATAATGAAAGAAAAACTTAAAAAAAAAAAAAATTATTCAAGTAGAGCTTTTAAAGTTATAGATAGATTTTATTTATTTTTACAAACGCGTTTATATATGGATTGTTTGTCTCGGATAAACTTGGACAAGCTAGTACTTTACTTTAATTGAAAATACAAGTCTAATGTACATAAAAGTATATTGATAAACGATTCCCATTTTAAAAAGCTTTGTAAATAATTTAAAACTGTTCAGTTTGTTAATTTCGTTTGTCACGCCTTACATTTTTATCTAGGGCATTAAAAGCTAATCTTTTTATTCTCAAAATCTATAAACTCTGCCGATAAGGCGGAGAATGTAAATGAAAAGAAATTAATCATCTATCCAACTAGCTGACAAACCCTATCTTATTCCTTTCCTTCTTCTCTCTTATCTGTAGACTTTTACAATACAATAACAACCCGTATACGGGTACGTCCTAAGTCGGACACCTCTCTTTACTCTTCTTCTCCTCCCCTCTCCACCGTGTCTGCCAGTTGTTTATTTTTAGACATTTTAGACATATAACTTTTAATAATTCGATCCTAAAACTCAAACTAATAAGGCTCAAACCAATACGTGTTTATTATTTATTTCTCGGTAGGGAAACGTTCTAACGTTTGTTTGTCGTAGTCTTTTTAATATAGAAATTTATATAAACACATCAGTTAAATGCCAGTTGAAAGCATGTTTGTCATTTTGTAAAGTTAAGCGAATAGTTAATTAATTTATTATTATTATTGAAGAAAAAAGGGAAAAGAAAAAATAAGCCTGGAAATCTCTTTAGATAAGATATCATCTTTAGCTTTTTACACATTTCTTTAGAAATACATTTTCCTCAGTTTGTTTTCCTTAGATTGCCAACTTATTTCAAACTTTGTACAAGATTTGGTTTGTAATACTATATGCTAGTTTGCCCTGTTTTCTCCATAATTATCTGAAAATAAGAACTCTTCCCCTTTCTACATGCCAGTTTTATGAACGTTTAAAGTTCAATCTGTGGGTTAGTTTAGCTAATCCTTGTTGGTCATTTTCTAAGAATTACTGATTAATTATTCATCCAATTAGAGACAAGACTATCTACGAAAGTAAACCTAGCATACTTACATATAAACACATACATACACACTGGCAGACATACACGCACGCGCACACACACACTCGCAAATAGAGAGAAAAATAAATTTAATTGAATAAGAAATCGCAAGTCATTTCAGTAAATATTGATATACGGCAGATTGGTACAATAAAGAAAATTATCTCTTATTAACGGTAAAACATCTTATCTATAGAGTATAAGAAAACATACATCTGTATTTATATATGAATATATAATCAAGACTAGGAATAGAAGAGGACAAAAGAAGGGAATACAGGAAACGTTGAAGAGGACGCGTATAAGAATATATCGAGCTAATTAAGTGCAATAAAATTAGTAGAGTAAATTCGTTGTATAAATTAGGCGATGGAACATAAGGATTCGATTAGTTCCTTTGTTCAAAGATTTCTAAGGAGAAGAGCTGTAAAAAGGAAACTTTTTTTCTTTTTCTTCTTTTCCTCCCTTCCCTTTTTTCGATTAGAGAATAGCGCACATATCTACTGTATACTTTCTATTAATTGAGGTAAATGGGGCCGAATCATAATCTTTTATTAATAAAGACTATCGTTAAAAAAGATTAGTGATAAATAATGAAAATAATAAACAAACAAGCAAGCAAGCGCACTTTTCCTGAAGAGTGAAAAAAGGGCAACAGGAGGAGGAGGAGGAGAAAGAGAGTGTAAGTATTGCAACAATGGGACGTTTTTTTTGTCTGCTAAGAGCTACGAGGATAGAGAAGAAGAAATTGATAACAAGTATCGATTTGTTTTGCGCCATCAACAAACAATTGTTTAACCACTCGAGCATTAAGTTATTTTTTTTTGTATTTAGCTTAAGTTCCTATTATTTCACCAATTGTTAATATTAATTATGCTTTAGAGACAAAATTTGACCTAAATAAAAGAATAAAACAACGTTTTTAACTTGATACATATTTATGCTATAATAAGCATTGCACAGTACATATACGGTAGTATTCATACGTTCTGTGTATTGTGTATATGACAAACCTTAATACTTATAGATTAATCACTTAAACTAATACTTAAATTAAAAGTAGCTCTTTAAATAAATATTAAATACACCAATACATTATAAAGCCACTACAGTGGTTATACGAACCCGTTTCATAAATTATCCGATCCATTAAAATGACAATAGATATAAAAATAAAGTCACTAACTCGTCGGCCTGTTTGTCGGGCCTAATTACAAACGCTATCCTTTATCAATATACGGGTTTTTTTCTCCCTTGTTTCCTTTTTGTTGCAATCAACTCCACAAGACAAGAGTCTTTGGATAGGAAAGACAAAAAAAACACACATAAATTGTTTGTAATGCGTTAAATTGGCTATAATGCCGTGTGTTTTATACCTGCAGTGATAAACTTATTAAAATATATTTATATATAAAAATTGGCGGTCATCTCTTAAATTGTCAAACTATCTTCTTGTATTCTTTTTCTTTTGTATGTCTAACTCTCTTTAGCTTGTCAAAATCTAAGCGAAAAATATGCAAAACTAAAAGTAATGGGCTTGCATAGGTGTATAATATTCCAGTACGCTAATGATATATATTAAATACAACATGGGTTAAAAGCAGTATATTCTATTTGCATATTTCTACACTGAATATACTAAACTGCAAAATCCTATTTGTTTGCTTGTTTATTCTTTTGACAGAATAGCTGAACAAAACTCTTGCGGTAGTAGAGGTGATTGGCGGCGATTTAATACAATTAAAACGTCTCATTTTATTTTAAGAGTTGCTGCTTGTTTGCCTACTGTTTGGCGTATACTCTGGAGTAAAGAAGAGAGCAAAATCCTATAAAACGGCGACGACAATGGGAGAGGATGAGAGATTAGAGGCAACGATAGATTATTGGGATAAAAAGTGATAAAAATGATTATTACTTAAGAAAATTAAAGGCTAAATGAGAAGAATTCTATTTTTCCTCTAGTTTGAATCTTCACCCAAATGCCAACTTGTGGAGCATGTTGAAGACTCTTCAAAAATTCACTTAACATTAACAGGTTTTTAGTTCTTTTCTTAATTGCAAATGAAAATATACGACTGCAAAATATACAGTATATACTGTATAGAACCTGTCCTACTATTATCTACTATATAATAGACTCTAAACTCTCCTTTGGATAGTATATTCACTCATTATAAAATGAGAAGTAATTACAGTCTTCTCAACAATAAACAATGTGTTATTTCACCTTAAATATTCAACTAAACTGTATAAACATACAATACATTGAATATTCATATAAATAAAAAACTCTGTAATATATATATATATATATATTTATATACATAGTATATTGTTTATAAATGACAAACTACGACTCTATTTACAGTATATATAAATACAAGTCTACTGTATAGGGTTTATTACTTTATATTAAATGCAATATATTTCTTTCGAAGACTATTTAATGATAACTTTCGAAAATCCAACTAAGCGTTTTGACCTGTTTGTAAAGAGCATGTAGACTTAAAAGAGGGTATAGCAAGCTAATGTCATTCACACGCTCCGGGAATTATGAAAGTGTACAAAATTTCCAAAAGCATCTGCCCGTTTATCAATGTTAGAGACCAACTTTATTCCTACCTAAGCCTACTTTTATAGTTATATATCTATTAAATATATACTCTGAACTGAAAGAGAGACATATATATATATATGCAGAATATATATATATATATATATATATATATATATATATATATATACAGTATATATATTAGATATACTGCATATACAAGTACGTACGTTCTAAATTAAAATACAATGAGAATTATGATTTCTAAACGGCTTTGTTATTTTTTAGTTTTACGCATCTGTTAAATATTGTTTGTCATTTACAAAACCATACCTAGTAAGTCGATGTGCAATCCATCATTCGAATCCAAATATCGATCGATCTGGTGGGAGATAAAAAAAATAATTAGCCTGACGTTCCTTTTTCTTTTTCTTCTTTTGCTTTTTCAAGAACGAAAAACTATATGAGGAGTAAAGTGGTACAAACAGACGTGACAAAAGCCTTTAAACACAATCGTCTAATAAGCCGAATCGCACAATTCCATTCCGCTTCTTGCTAGTTTGTCAAGCTCTCGCTGACAAGCTGTACCTGAACGGCGCAAAGTATCCTGCTTTTGTAGGGGGCGGAACACCCTAGACGTTATAGATGGCGTTTGTAACTGCTTTATTCTCAACAGTTTAGTATTAATCTATGAACGGAGATAATGGTTCTTTTTTTTTCTACTATTTTACTTTCCTTTTTATAGTTTGTCGCTTTTTTTTTCAGTAGGTTATAGGCAAGTCACACACAAAAAAATCACTTGTTTTAGACGTTTTAGACGCTCTAGTGAATTTCAAGTTCATCAACAACTATGCATAGATAGTCCATTAAAAAATGAGTGACCCTTAAATGAACAAAAATAGATATTTGGTCCCGGAATGTTAAAGATCAGCTTAGTGGAAAAGATAATAAGTTAACCTAACGTCATACTTCATTACTAGTACTTTTTTTTTTTCCAGTGCCTTTTATTTTTTTACTTTCTCTTCCGCCTTTCTACTCGACGATTAACATTGAGAATGAAATCGTTTTCATTTAACAGAAAGAACAGCTTAAAAATTTCAAAAAGAAATCCGCTTTTAAAGATTAAAAAGGAAGAGGTAAAAGAAAAGGTTAAGGCAGAAGAAAGGGATAGATAGTACTACTCTGTAGAGACGTATAGGTGGGGAATAGAAATTATAGACGTGAAATAATGAAAGAGTCATTAAATGAAATAGATCGGAGAGTAAGAAAGAGATTGGGAAATAGTAAAAGAAATATAGATGGTGAAATAGAGAGTATTATTCATTCTCATCTATATATAAATATATACTGTATATATAATATATAGATAAATTGAAAGATAAAAAGAAATCTAATTTCAGGTTGCACAATTGTAATTAAATAGACCTAGGCAGCCCAAGGACAATAACGAGCAAAATTGTAATTTCGTCTTTAAGGTCTACTAGGAGGAGAAAAATTTGCAATCTATCTCCTATAGCCTTTCATCTGTATGGTTTGAATTAGAAGAGGAATTTTCTTTGAATAAAACTGGAAATGGTGCAAGTAGACAAAAGAAATACCGTACAATCTCCAGATGATTGTTGAGGTATTTTATTAGTGCTATTAGTGCTTTGCATTATTAGAATTTTTCGCGATACTATTATCGTATTAATCCTGATTTTTGAAGAGAGAAACGGCAGATAACTCTTTCTTATGGAATCAACGTAAAGCCTACACTGATTAGAACATCAACTAATTGCTTTCTCATTCTAATTTCTTCTATTTTGCTTATATTCTGGATTTGTTCAATTCTCATATCGTTTTCTTTTTCTTTTGTTGGAAAAAGTAATTAGACCCTGGTCAATCAGTACTATATAATAAATAGTCCATTGGGAGAGTTGTCTTAAAAGGCCTAAATTATCTTTTATGTCGCTTCCTTTTACATTAAGGGGGGTGGGATGGGAGGATTGAATAAGGTAAGCGAAACATTTACATCTTGTAAAAACTTTTATGAAATTATCTCTATAGTTGAAAAATTAGTAGAAAAAGGTTAATTAAAGGAATCGTTTGAGAGAGAGAGAGAGAGAGAGGCAAAGACAGAGAGAGAGAGAAAGAAAGAGAGAGAAGAAAAGTATTTATATATATATATATAAACATAAAAAAAAATTTAAGGATGAGTTTCTAACCGAGCGAAAAACAGCCTAATTGCTACTTTCCAGTCACGCCAGTCGATGTAAACAAAGTTATCCCGCCACCTTTTTACCACCATTTTTTATCGACCGAATAATTACGGGAATCGCTCGAAAATTAGAGTAAAAAGGATAAAGTTTTTCCAGCTTTGATCTACATTTTGTACTGTCGTTCGCCATGTCAGAATGGTGAAATGGAGGAGAATAGGAAACGATAGAGAGAGAGAGAGAGAGAGAGAGAGAGAGAGAGAGAGAGAGAAAGAGAGAGATTTGAATATAATGTATAAAAGATGAATATACAAAATTATTTAAGTTTCTAGGTTTTTATTGAGTTAATTTATAAATAAATAATAAAATTTATTTAAAGATATCTTTATTGCTTTTTATTTACAATTTCCTAAGGAAAAATTCCGCAAAGCTGACGCTTTAAATCAATAGATGGGGAAATATTGTAGAGAAAAGAAAATAGCTGTACAGATATAGACTAAACATACATAAATCAAACGGGAGAATGCTTAAGGAGAAGGATAGAAAGTTGGGTGTTTTCTTCTTTGAAATCTTATCGTTAAAATTATCTTTTCCTTCTTTATTAAAATATTTAGTAAAATCGGTCCTTTTTGATATAATATACGAAAACTATCTATTGGGTGAAGGCCACCTTTAACACCAAATTGACCTTCTACGGTGCATATTAGGCACACTCGTGGGAGATTGCCCAAGAAAAGGTTCGTTACAACCTTGAAAATTAACGATAAACGTGATGATAAGAGACTAAATCGTGTTAAGAAACTTATTATTTTATTTTTCTTTTTTAGCCTCTCCCGAATCCACTATATCTTCTACCCAAGCTATTCCCTTCCCTCATTACTCTCTTTTTTCTTGTCTTGTACCTTTTCCTTCCCCTTCTCTTTCCTCTTTCTCTCCCTCTTTGCCTATGTCTCTCTCTCTCTTTCTGTCCGCTCTACTTTGTAATAAAAATAACTGGGGAGTAGACTTAAATTATTAAAAGGGGAAATTTTTCTCCTTTGTTTTTTTAAACCATGACAAAAAAAGGTTTTGTCAGGTTTTTCGGTGCCTTATTTCTATCAATTGACTGACAGAATTGTACAAAAACAATCGGCTTAAAGAGGGGTCTATAAAAGACAAACAAATGGAAAGAGAAAGAATAATGGGCATACGAAATGGTTACCATTCAACTTTAAACCTATTTATCTTAGAAAATGTGACAATAAAAGAAAGGGTTTAAAAAGAATAAATGGTAAAGAGTAGAGGAGATAGCGAAGCTATATGAAAGAGAGGTATGAGCAGGCGGAGTGGGAGAAAAAGTGAGAAGGGAACAGAAAAAAACAAGCAGAGGAGAAGGAGGAAGGAGGAGGAGGAGAAAGAAAAATATCATTACCATTAAGTAGAACAAAATGAAATATAAAACATCTTAGAATAAACCGATTAGAAAGAGAAGGTTGAGGAGATGGAGAAAACAACAGTCTTAATTCTATCCAACTCAGGCTGAGGTTAAACAGTAAAACTATTTTGAAAATGTTTTTCAAGACCCACGAAGGAATATAAGCCCTAAAGGTTTATTGAAATTGACTAGCTGGTCCAAGGAGATTTAAACGTAGAATAGAGAAAAAAGATAATAAAAAAAATTCCTTAGCAGATTTGCAGCTTTTCAATAATGGTTAGTAATAAGAGGAAGGGTAAAAAGTAAAAGGGAAATATGACAAGGTCGAGCTAGGAAACGTTATCGACAGACGCCATATAGGAAGGTCTTCTAAATCGTTTCCAAACAGGCTAAGTCGTGCCGACGAATGCTCAGACACGATAAGCGAGTCGGACAATGCTATTGCTAGACTGAATTAGATTAACGAACGTAATTAGTAGGCGAAAAGCTTTAAAGGCAGTCGTTAATATTCCAGCTTTGTAAATAGTATATCGGATTAGTTATAGAGTAGGCTACGTTGAGATCGGCACTGCAACAACTGCTAGTCGGACTAATTATATTGATCTACGAAATTTTCGCCCAGTTCGCACTGTTTATAGAATAGAATTAAATCATTTTTGCAATCTATCTTACCAGTTTTGAGAGTGTTGCCTATTCTCTCTCTCTCTCTCTCTCTTTCACACACACTTGTTTTGTTAATTCCTCCTTCCCTCACTCACTCACTCTCTCTCTCTCTCTCTCCCTCGTTTCACCTCTTTCTCTCAGTCTGCTCCCTTTTCCTGCACCCTTGTTAGTAGATTCATGGAATTTTAATTAAATTCCAAATTTACCTCGTAAAATAAAAAAAGAAATAATTTTGTCAATTCGAAGAAATGACAAAAAATAATCTGAAAAAAAAATTGCATACTAAAATGCTCACAATTTCATCACTCATTCTCTCTTCATTCTCTTCTTTGTCTTGTAGACATCGAGCATAATCAGCAATAAATATATATATATATATATATATATATATATATATATACAGTATATATGTATATATAATATATAGCTTGAACGATAAAAATTCCAGTTAATACATCTAATCGATGGGAAAAAACTACTATTGAATGGTTTTTGAACGATTTCAATACTTTTTTTTTTATTTTTATCATAAAATAGAAAAAGCAAGTTACATTCTTCTACATTTTTAATTCAATTTATTCATCAATTATGAATAATAAAATTAATCAATAAATAAAACGGTTAAAGGAGGAGTGGGCGGAGGAAAAAGGAGAAACGCGCTTGCTATTTCTTTCTCTCTTTCCATTTTGAAGAGCAAAAAAAGGGGGAATTAAATCAACTTTTACCAACAATTGTAAGAGAATATCGCGAATATCATAGTCTTAAATTATGAGCCTAAATATTCTACGTCACCCAAATAGAACCCAATACTAAAAAGTATTTACCCTATCTACGTTTTTTGCACTTTTTCATTATGACTACTTTTTTTTTCTCTTTGAGAAAAATAAGTAAAATTATTAAAAAGAAAATTAGAAACTTTTTTTTTACTATGGAAGAATAAAAGAAAAAAAAAATATTGTCATTAATTATCGCTATTCCTTTTACATCTGTTCTTTATCAATCTCCACAGAATGGGTGGTGTATATAGGTCAACTTTTCCTCCTCCTCCTCCTCCTCCTCCTCCTCCTCTCCTCTCCTCTCTTCCTTAATGGTTTAATAAATATGTTATCATGGAGAATTATATAGATTGATATTCAACGGAATGATGAATAAATCATTGGCAAAGTACCATTTTTAATAATCATTTTTTTTATTTATATTTATAGTTTTTTTTTCATTCTTTATGAAAAAGAATGAAAAAATAATTAAAAAGTAAAATATTTATTGTTAAAATAACAAATAATAACTTTTGTTTTATTCCTTTTTTCCCCTATTTTTTAA